TCCCGCTGCTTTTTCGATGAGCGCTTTAATATTGGCATTGCGAGTTTCTGCACAAATTGTGTGACGTGGAAATGCACACTTGTTTTTGACGTCACACTGCTTTAAAAGCTCATCACTGCCATATCTTCGTGCTAAAAGCTGATCCCAATTGTCTGTGCAGTAGATCAGAGGGGGCAAAAAAGCCCTGGACGGGGATCGTGAAGCTCGTATACTTTACTAATCAATCCAATTTTGGGCTGCTCGGCCCTTCAGCCTATCGCTATACTGTAAAGGATTTGCTTAATACTTTCCCGTCTTTATAAGGAAGTCCATGAGACGATGACCGCATCACTGGGAGCGTTGAGAAGTGCATGTTGGTCGGGAATGGCTGAGAGAAAAGTCATCAGCCTGTCTGGTTCAGCGCGGACGGCTGGCATGTATTTCTTCGTGCTGCTGTCGAAAGAGGAAAGGTTTCGCCAGTTGAGTCTGTCGATGACCCCGCTAATGCTTCCCACATATCATTTTACACTCTGATGGTAGTGAAAGGGATGTCCGTGTGCTCAACAGCTGTTTAGACCGACCCCAGTGGCCGAGTGGTTGACCACTGGAACTGGGACCAGGAGGTACCCAGATCGATACCCGGCGGGGGTTCGATTACAGGGCGCCGGAGATAGGCTAATAATGTAGACGAGCAATCACTAATGAGTGTCCGGTGCCGTCCGGAGGCCCTACAAGCCGAAAAGCCCTGTAGTGTAATGAGGGGTGCGGGTCCTGTAAGGAGCTTAAACTGAGTCAGAAAAACTCGCAGTTCACCCCCGGGTGATATAAAGGACCGCGCGGCATAAATCTTTCTCAATAGCTGCTTGTTTTTTTTCGGCTCTTGGGTCTGAAGAGATTGTGAGCTGACCTGTGCAGCGAAATACATCCTCGGCATGCGTGCTTATACTCGGATACTCTGCACGCCAAGGCGAGAGGCGAGTGGTGGTCGTACTATGATCTGCTTAGAAGAAAAATTCAGCTAGTATCGGTTGCATACGTGTTGCATTACTGTCCTCGGTACTTCGAATGTGGTCAATGTGACGAATGTGGTAGTCTATGTCGGTTCCGGATTGAGGATGCCGTAGCTGACTGACCTCGTATAGTAGTGAATGTCACTGCTCCAAGATGCTAGACGATCAAATTCATTGTCTTGTATCTTGATGATGTTCTAGCTGGTAATATCTGACAGGTCGTTTCACGCCAGGCGTTCCTGATCCGTTGAATTCAGAAGTGGGGCATCGGAGGTAAAAACTACCACCAATGCCTGGTACTAAATTAAGTTTGAGATTATGAATATATGATGGACTATGATTTGATGTCGTTGTGGTAGTGGCAGACAAAGACAGCGCACTGATATTCCTTATAATACATTGTTGTGCAGTGCCTAAACCTAAGATTCGCGAAGGCCACCGGTCATGCTGTCGTCGAGATAACGACTGCGTTCATGCTGTCGTCGAGATAGCTACTGCAAACCCCACTCTCATCGGCTTTAGAATCGTCCGCTTCCTCTTGTATGACGACATCTGTCACTTGTGAGAAATCAAATTAAAATTGTTTGAAACGTTTAAGTCATCAGTTTTAATTTTTTTGGCGGTATCCGAGTATGAATAAAGGCCAAGTAATGATATTCCGCATGACGTTACACGATTGGCGCCCTTCTCTCCAGCAGCTGCTTGTCCTGCGCAACGGATGAAAACAAACAGCCGCCGTCAGAAGCACGTGTTACCCAGTCTCGACATTCTTGTTCCGACGCGTAATTGAGCTGGGGCGGTACAGACTACATTGCCAGGTGCCAGTGACAAATTTGTCCCGCGTATAAATTATGTTTTACTGTGTAAGAATTTCCCCGCCATGCATAGCATGTCATAATTAATTCCTACGTGAGCACTGACTTCCGACTTGCGGTTGGATGAGTTTAAGGGACTCTTCCAGATGCCATTAAAATTGTTGATTGCCAGTGAACGTCCATCTTTTTCCAGCCTCGCTTGACACTGATCGGGGTGGCTCGCGCTGCGTGTGGAAACTGATCCCCTTGGTGAAATTAATCCTTGAATTTAACTCCCTTCTTCAGACTTGCGGTTTCGCCCGGAGTACCGAGTCTTGGTTGATCGAATCCGAGTCATATAGAGCTTGAATAAGAGACATCAGAAGACAGTTACCAAGCGCGGGAGTAGAAGCTATCTTTAACTGTAGTCGGGACGCCATGGTCTAGACTAAATGAAATGAGCAGTCAAACTGTTCTGAAACAGGCCGGGACTTTCGTTCTAAACGCGTAAATGGATCCACTACGTTGTGCAAATAATCTTGCTCTTGATGTTTGAGGCCAATCAATTGGTGCGCTGCCGGTATGGCCGGTAGCCTTTTGTGCAGAATTTGTAGCTGCGCTAGATCGTCGGCCGTTTGGACATGGCACTAAGAGCTCTCTTCTGTAAATGAGACTTTCATGGCTCTTCCGCTGGCCTAGTCATCTGGGAAATCACAGGATCTGTTAGACTGGCATCGGTTATACTATTTTTGTCTAGGGCCGCAAATCGGGGTGCCACAATTGAAAATGACGGTTTGCTCCACCGTTGTGAACATACTTTGTGACGGCCACGCCTCACAGGCACCGTGGACCGTTTGCCTTGAATTAAATCTCAGCGAGGGTGTATTTTCCGTCCGTAGTCGGTGGATAAGCAATGCGTCAACTACGGACAAAAATACATCCTTATTGTTAATGGAGCAGTTGTGGTATAGTCATTCATCAAATGATGGGACATGGATCGTTGACAACCCAGTTAAGACGTCACTTACTGGCAGAGAATGATGCCATTTTCCGACCTGGCGATCCAATAAAGAGATGGAAGGTGATCCCAACGGAGAAAAACGATCCACTCCAACTGTCGTCAGACTGATGGGTATGGAACGATTTGAGATGGGGCGTAGAAAGGGGGAGATTTCGCGGTGCGATCTGGGACGAGGGACTGGATTGAACCAAACGACCGCTCTGAAGGCTGATCAAAGGCAAGGATGTGGATGTTAAAGCAGAATCATTCTGAGAAAGATACACCTGGGACCAGGCGATGCGACGTGACTCTGTGACAAGGTTCAGCATCCAGCAGATTGAGGATACACATCACCGATTCCCCAATGGGAGTACTGATTTGGTTAAGTATAGCCTGATCTGAAAGTGTGGATGTTCGTGGGAGTCTGTGGGACCTTTGTAAGAACTGCGGATGGTCCCGTTGAGCAGATAACCCTTGAGGATGGTATAGGAGTACGCACAATGAACGGAAGAACAGATATGGCCAGATTGTACTGTGTCGATCCTCAACAATCTCGAATTGGACATCAGGTCGGTCTTGTTCCATGCTGGGTATGTATATATCGCTGATGAGATTTTTGGATCATGACAAACATGCTTGTTGAAGGTCCATGAGTGGTGTCTCAAAAGTTCAGATCGAAAGAGCCAGTGGAAGCCGGTTAAATTGACGTCGCAAAATGGATTAAGCATATTCGGCATTTGGGCACTATTTCGGGCTCTCTAGTACCAAAAATGGGTATTTGGTACCACATTTGGAATTTGGTCCCTTTTTGGTGTCTAGGTACGATATCGGGAGTATCGGCGCTATCTTTGGAGTACAGGTCACGAAATTTCGACACGTGCTCAAGGGGCGGTCAAACTTAAAGGTGATATTGGTTTGGAGAGCGACCTAAGGTTAGGGATAGGCCCAGAGATAGGTTGGCTAGTATTTTGGCTGGTAAATAAACAGGCCTAAACTCTACTTCTTCTACTCACGACGCACGTTCCCCCCCCCACTTCCGGGAAAGATTTCTTTGGCTTCCCCGACGGTTTGAGGCACGCGTGCTACAAGGACATTAAAGACCAATCTTGGAAAGCTGGCCAAGATCGAGAAGAGCGATCTAGGGAAGTTTGGCCCGGATCGATGAAGTAATCAAACTCAGCTCAACTGCTAGGGTAGCAGACACAAGGAAAAGGATTGGACACAAGATCGCGAGGAGGCTCAAGTGGTCAAAAGATATAGACAAGGAGTTCAGGACAAGACCGAGCAAGACCAAAACGATCTACAGGACAGATCGGCACGTTTCATTTTGGCGAAACAAGACACCGATCTGCCCAAATTGCGTACTTCCAGCAAGATCGGCCGACCCCAAGACCAAATCGGACCGATACCAAGGCAAGATCGACGCAAGAATACTATTTGCTGAGTAAAGATTTCCGCACAGCAAAGACCCCGATCCCGAAGACAAATCGATATCGGTGCGATTCAAGATCGAGAACGCGACATCTGTAACTAGAGATTGCCGCGACTCGAGATCAAGATCGCAGAACCCCTGTTCGTGGTGTGAAGATTTTCGCACCGGAAGCGAACTCTCAACCCAATCTCTCAGCGAGATCGACATCCTCCAAGGCCGTTACGAAGAGCTCAATCCAGTCCAACCGACTGGTACACAAGATGAGCACATGGTTATACAGCAAGGCACGGATAGGAGTGCCCCCTCCGTGAGTCGGCAAGTCTGGGCAAGTGGAAGATCGACACTCACTAAAGTAATTTTGTGAGATCGATTTCACCACATCTGTGTGATTCCTGAAGGCGTTGAACTTGATAGTGCGTTCGACTGCCTAGAATGGGTGAAGTCAATTTACGGCCTCAAGCAAGCGTCGTGAGTGTGGAATGAGATGTTCGACGAGTTTGTGTGCTTCATTGCATTTCGAGTATCGGACTTCGACCCATGTCTCTACATCAAGACTTCGGACGGCCATCGTGTATTTGTACTGGTCTACGTGGACGACTTCTTGGTGACTGGAAGCTCGCTCTAACAAATTGCGCGAACCAAGAACGACCTGAAGACACGTTTCGAGATGACAGACAGCGGCAAATGTACATTTGTTCTTAGGATAGAGCTTTTTGGACGGTGAAGATGGCAGTGTGAATATTTGTCAGCGCCGTTGTGTCGATGATATCTTCAAGCGCTTTGGAATGGAGGAGTGCAAGGCTGTGGCGAGTCCTGTGGATGTCAGCTCTCGACTGATGTCAAGAAACGCTGCGAGCAAGATCGATGTTCCATTCCGTGAAGCTGTTGGTGTTTTGATGCATCTGAAGACTGAAACACGACCGGACATCGCCTATGCTGTGAGCTTTGTGTCGCGCTTCATGGAGAGTCCCCAAAAAGAACACTGGGTTGCGGTCAAGCGCATCTTTCGCTACATACAAGGCACTGTGGCAAAGTCACTACTCAAATTTTGTACGAGGATCGGTGGCCACACCTTTAAAGCGCCGCTTACTGGTGGAAAGTGAGGCCATGGGACCTGGCGATCCAATACGGAGGTGGAAGATGATATTAACGGGATCGGCGAACCGGTCCAACTGTCGATTAGACTAATGGGTGTGAATCGACCTGGGACGGAGCGATCTGGAACGATTTACATGGAACAATCTGGGACAAGGATCTGGGACCGGGTGATGGGATATGACTCTACGACGAAGGTGTAACATCTTGCAGAATGTTATGGGGCGATCTGGAACCAGACGTCGGGATGAAGTCATACAGCTCATTGGAATGCCGGTCAAGAAGAAGTATACGTACATTGAAGCAGGCTAAGATCAGATCGCAGATCGACATGTTGTGGCAACGGTTTGTTGGAGAATTGACACATCTGGGACAAGGTGACTCCCCAAAGTGCATCTGGGACCAGGTGGTACGGGTCGGTGAATCGGCAAAGAAGGTGCAACACCATACGGATCGGTGATACTCTTTACCGATCCTAAATTGGGAGTACTGATTTTGGTTAATTATACACCGATCTGGAAGTTTTGCATACTCAGGGGAGTCAAGGAAACCGATGTCGAGACGTATTAATGAAGTTGTCGATTGGATAACACTGGAGGATGATATTGAAGCACGTATGAGGAGATGAAAAAGTGTTAATTGCCGATTCAGACCGGATCGACCTCCAACATCTCGATATTGGATGACAGATCGGTCATGTTCCACACTGATCATGAATATATGGTTGATGAAGATACTGGATCATGTGGAATATACTTGATAGAGGTCACTAAGTGATGTCAAGAAGTTTCATGCCGAAAGCGTCAGTGGAAGCTGTCCGAATTGACGTCGCAAAGTGAATTTGGACACATTCGGCATTTTGGGTCATATATTGGGTACTTGGGTGCCAAGAATGGGTATTTGGTACCATATAGGAGATTTTGGTCCATTTGGTGCTCTAGGTACGATATCGGGGATATTGGCGCTATCATTGGAGTACAGGGCACGAAATTTCGACACGTGGCAAGGGGGCAAACCAGATTCAAGGCGATATCGGTTTGAAGAGTGACCTATAGTTAAGAATAGGCTTAAGGGTAGGTTGGATAGTAATTTGGTTGGTTAATAAACAGACTTGAACTCTACTTCTTCTGCTCACGACGCACGTTATCCTCCCCTCTTCTCCAGGCAAGATTGATTTGGCTTCTCCGGCGGGTTAAGGCACGCGTGTTACAGGGACACAGAAGACCCATCTTGGATTATTGGCCAAGATCGAGAAGAGCGATCCCGGGATATCTGGCCCGGATCGATCAAGTACTCACACTCAACTCAACTGCTAGGGTAGCAGCACACAACGGAAAAGGAAAAGGATTTTGGACACAGGATCGCGAGACAGCTCAAGTGGTCAGAAGATCTGGACAAGGCGTTCAAGACAAGACCGAGCAGGATCGAAGCGATCCCCTGGACAGATCGGCACGTTTCATTTGATCCCAAGACCAGATCGGACCGATCCCAAGGCAAGATCGACGCAAGACTACTATTTGCTGAGTGAAGATTTCCGCACAGCAAAGACCCCGATCCCGAAGGCAAATCGATATCGGTGCGATTCAAGATCGAGAACGCGACATCTGTACCTGGAGATTGCCGCGACTCGAGATCAAGATCGCAGAACCCCTGTTCGTGGTGTGAAGATTTTCGCACCGGAAGCGAACTCTCAACCCAATCTCTCAGCGAGATCGACATCCTCCAAGGCCGTTACGAAGAGCTCAAGCCAGCCCAACCGACGGGTACACAAGGTGAGCACAAGGTTATACAGTAAGGCACGGATCAGAGTACCCCCTCCGTGAGTCGGCAAGTCTAGGCAAGTGGAAGATCGACACTCATACAAGCAATTTTGTGAGATGGACTCCACCACAATGGTCCGCATGCCCGGAACTTCTGAGGCCTCTGGATTTTACCGTGCGTCCACTGGCGAAGATGTCAAGATCAAGCAAGAACCTGGGATTGAAGTGTCAGCGACGGAGGGATCGACGCAGACACGCAGAATCACAAGATCCTCAGGTCATCAGAGTGTTAGGAGGGGCTCTGACGAAATGAAAATGAAAGTGCAAGATCGAGAGATCGATCTGGAAGATAAACCTCAACCCCCTCCTAGGGTCCATTCGGGGGCCACCGCAGATCGCTCTGCAAAGAGCGATCTGCTGGATGAATATCCAATGGTGAAAACCAAATCGGCGAAAGCCAAACCCTATATCGTAGTCGATAGATCGCCCGACCTCAAGCCGAAAAGCACAATCGCGAGATCGACCACATCAGAACGATCCGCGACGAGATCGATGGGATCAGATGTCAAAGATCGCCAGATCGGCCGAACCGTGCAATCAAAGATCGGAGCCAAAGAGGAATACGATGAAACACCAGATAAGATCGCGATGCCAAAGACGCAATATGTAACCCAATAAAGATCGCGTCCAGGGAGAATGAGACGACGGGTGAAGCGCGGGAGCGTGCAAAATGGCAGTACTTGAATGGCCAGTTGAAGACGCTGCTCAAGACGGACCCAGTGTTCAAGATATTAAGGCCCAAGGTGATTGGTCCTCTGGATAAGCCGATCTCGGTCCCACTTCACGGGACCAACAAAGTCGACGAGATCAATTTGATTTTGCAGATGTTGGACGACATGGGTATCTGCCCTGACGCTTTTGATGGAGATGAACTGCTGAGTTGCAGCTTGGAACAGTTGAAGGACGCGGTGAATGAGTTTGTAGAGATCATGATAATGCTGGTGGGCAAAGCGAATACTCCTGAAGACAAGATCGGGACGCCCTCGGGCTCGCTCCGTAAACACCCCGCGGGATCGCCCCGCTACTCCTCGGATGACTCCGAGAGCGAGTCAGATGGATCCATCAGCATTCGTCAGATGTCTCTAGGACCATCGGGTGGAAGGTTCTTAAAGGACAAGATCGGACAAGCCAAGATCGACGCCTATAAGGGACAAGCCAAGAGCAGCATGCCGCAGAGATCGGCCAGTACCCGCACTGGGCTGGAGGATCAAGAAGAGGGCGATCTAAGTCGGTACTTCAATTCAGCCATGAAGAAGTACGAGGCGGATCAACGTACAGCTCAGCGAATGAATCGACAGCCAAACCGCTACCCAGATCGACGTACTTTGCTCAAACCTTCACACGAAAGCCTTGACATGCCGGATGTGGAGATGGAGTCGGTGGGGTCGGACACTTACCAACAGATCCATCATGGGACGGAATACGACCCGGATGATTTATGGATGCCCGAACCACGGCGCCCTCACGTAGCCGCGACCGGTGTGACTACCGGAGGGGAAAACATCACGCAAAGGATCAGAATCTCAGCGATTTCTGAGCTGAAAGAATTCTCAGGGAAGGATCGGGAAGAAGGCAAAGCGCGAACCTGGATCGGAAAAGTGAATTCAGCGTTTATCCGGGAACAAGCACCGGACGAAGAGAGATGTCTGGTCTTCGGTAATCTCGTGGTGGGCCCAGCCCGCTACTGGTACCGACAGCTGAGTAGATCGACGAGATTCAATTGGAAAGAATTGATGAGCAGTTTTCTTGTGGAATATGCGGGACACGGGATGTACGCGAGCCAGCAATATTACCATGCAAAGAAACAATCGGAGGAAGATCCTTTACAGTACCTGTATCGGCTTAATGTGATGGGAATGCAGGCGAAGATACCGGTGATGACTGGATTGCCAGCTGCGCGCAAGGAACATGTCAATCATTTCATTGACACCTTGGACGACCCCGATCTGTCCAATCAATTGTTACTGCTGAATGTAGAAGACACGGATGCCATGCAAAAGACACTGCATGGATATCAACAAGGGAGATCGCGTCAAGGGAAAGTGATGATGGGATCGTCCAAATTCAGGCAGAAGGGAACTCCGGGTCCAGCGCTGTCTAAGCCTGCACGAGCGGTGAAGATGGTCCGTACCGAGGACGTCAGCAGCGAGTCAGGATCGTACACCTGCGGATCGGATTTGGAAGATCGATTGAGATCGATCCATGTGGCTGCTACTGCGGATCGGCGTTCATCCCCCAATGACGTTGCAGCAAACGCTAGATCGGCCGACCCGAACACTCGTCAAGATTATCAAGATCGCAATATGCCACTGAAGCCGTGTACTCATTGTGGATCGACCAAGCATAGAGATCTCGGTTGCTGGAAGCGGCTCACTTGCCAGAAATGTGGGCGTAAAGGACACCCCTCTGACAATTGTTTTTTCGTGTGTCGTGCTTGCGGTGAGATGCACGACCCGGGGAAGTGTCCCATGGAGGAGTTCTACAACATGATCCGTCAGTGGTACGTCCCGAATAAGCATGCGGGGATGCTACCAGAGAAGGCCGAGAAGATGTTAAACTAGGACGCTCGCCAGGTTTGAATCTGGTACGAGTCGAGCGTTCTGGGCTCTGCATTATTGCATACGTGGAAAAAAAGAAGACAGATCGCGAGAGTAAGCAGGATACAGAGAAGGAAACAAATACATCTCGTCCAAAGTCAAGACGTGTCACTTCTGTCTCTCATCTGAGGAGGATCGATGAGTACTCGCGATCTGAACCAACTATGGAGATCGAGCTCGCTTACGGTGAATCTTGCGAATACTGGAAACATTACTCGCCCGGGAAGTGGTTTAAGCAGGCGAAAGCTGTTGGCAAGATCAACAATGTAAAAGCTACTCTGTTATTTGATTCTGGTGCTGAAGTGTCGATCATTGACACCACCTTTGCTCGTGAGGTCGGTTGCAATATTGACGAAAGTCAACGACAAGAATGTATTAGGATTGGAGAAACTCCGTACATGACAGTAGGACGTACCAAGATCAAGGTGACCCTCGCGGGATCGCTGGTATACTATTTGAATGTATGGGTAGGCGATCTGGCAGGGCAAGAAGCGATTCTGGGTATGGATTTTATGGTGCCTGCTGGAGTGCGGCTCGATCTAGCGAATGGCGCGCTATGTCTACCAGAATAAATCCGCATTCATCTCGCAGGACGTCGCCCCGCGTATGGATCGAAGATACAACATATAACGGCGAAGGACCAACACGTGGTGATCCCGGTCGGAGAGTCAAGGGAAGTGAAGATCGGGATCGGAGGGGCTAAGATGAAGTTGTGGGTCGCTAGAGGACTAGATTGGGTCCCCACTGTGATCTCGGGGTGGGGTAAGACGAAATACCTGCAGATGACCAACATTGGCGACCGTGAGATCATACTGCCTACCCACACTATATTAGGCATGTGGGTCGAAGGCGATATGGTACCGCGAACTCAAGGTTTGGTGACAGTCGGGTCAGGGAAGTACAAGTAATGGCAAACTCTGGCATATGAGGCTACGACGGATCGAGTGAACGAACTCCCGAAAGAACAGATCGGACCATTGGTAGACCGTCCTACGTATGCCGCTCCCAAACGCATCTTGAAACGTCCGTCTGATGCGTTACAGAACCTGTCTCCGGCGATCTCCACGGTAACGCCGCAAGCTAACGATGACGATTCGCAAAAGGCAGATGCTGTAGTTGCGAGGGAAGTAACGGTCAGGGGAGCCGAACTATCGCGGATGGAGAACGGTCATGAGATCGGTACCCAACATGCAACGAAGGGAGACCGCGACACCGGTCAAGAAGGGCTACGTGACAGATCGTCTCTACCGAAGGCTGAGCCGACTGACCGACTGTTGAAATTGGGCCAGCCGGAAGAGACGAAGGGGCCTAAAGAAGAAATAATGCTAAATACTGAAGACGTCGAGATTGCAGAAATACCAGTTTATCACCACGAGAGCGGAGATTTGTTTGCGGAAGATATCGAGCAGCATATGGCCGTGCTACCAGAGATGTCGGCGACTACGGAAGAAGTTACGATTGAGGACATTCAGATCGGTGATCCCGATGTGCCTCTCACCACAGATCAACAACGGCTCAGATCGCTGATCTGGAAGAGCCGTCACCTCCTCATGGGTAAAGGTAATGCTCTACCACCAGCAGCACGAGGCGCGATCTGTGATATCGATGTCGGTGGGGCAGCACCGATAGCGCAAAGAGTGCGTCCGGTCGTAATCAAATATCGGGAGAAGCTGTCAGATCTCATCAAAGGACTATTAGCAGCCAAGATCGTTCAGCCATCCACGTCACCTTGGGCGTCTCCGATAGTGGTGATCATCAAGAAGAACGGAGTGGATATTCGCCTTTGCATTGATTATCGAAGAGTGAACCAGCTGACGCGTCTGATGGTTTATCCCATGCCGTTGATCAGCGATCTGTTGGAAGATCTGGATAAAGCTCTATGGTTCTGTTCGCTAGACATGGCTAGTGGATTCTAGGTCGTCGAAATGACTGAACGATCAAAACTGATCTCAGCGTTTGTCAACCGTTTGGCTTGTTCGAGTGGCTGCGAATGCATTTTGGGCTTAAGAACGCTCCCCAGATCTACCAACGTCTGGTGGACAATGCGTTGTATGGATATCTCAAGATCGGTCAGAGATCAGCCTCTGATGGCCCGATCGACGTGTTCAAAGATGGAGAGCCTGAGACAGATCGACGACCGTCTATACTGGGACGCCGATCTTACATTGACGATATTCTCATACCAGCCACGTCATGGGGATCTTTGTACACAAAAGTAGAACGGTTGCTGGAGGCATGTGATAAGTGGAATCTGTCTATCAGCCTCACGAAGAGCTTTTGGGGGTGCCGTAAGGTCGATTATTTGGGACCTCGAGTGTCGATGGATGGTCTGGAGGCTCAGCCCAAGAACCTAGAGTCGTTGGTTAACATCCCGTTTCCTAGCACGCTACGAGCTATGCAATCCTTTCTCGGGAGCTTGAACTACTACCGTCGCTTCATTGAGGATTTCGCGGTGTATGCCGCGGTGTGTATGAGTTAAGAGAATCGGATTTCTTCGAGATCGGCCGATCTCAGCTTGCAGCAAGAGACGAATGCTCCAACGAGGGTCGATGGACGGAAGCCAAGGTTGCTTTCACTATGCTAAAAGCTAAGATAGCTACAGCTCCCATGCTCAAGCATTTCGACCCAGATCGGTCCCCCGTAATCGTGGTCTACGCTAGCAAGTGGGCTGTCTCAGCGGCCCTAATACAGGAGTACGATGGCGTGTACCATCCGGTGACGTTTACTAGCCGCACTTTAAAGCCTAATGAGCTTAACTACGGAACGGTAGAAAAAGAAGTGCTGGCGCTACTTCGTGTGCTGGATGTATGCTATACTACGCTTGCCTCGCGGGAGATCACTGTACTGACCCGACATTCTACGTTAGCCTGGTTGATGCAGTCTCGAGGGCTCAACGGGAGATTAGGACGGTGGGCTGCTTTGTTGTCAAATTGGACTATGGAGGTGAAGAAATGTGAAAGAGGAGAGGAAGAGATCCTGGGCATGTTAGCAGCGAGTATCACTCCGAGAGGAGAAGTGGAAGAGATGCTGATTGCGATCTCCCCACGAAAAGACTGTCGACTCAAAATATCGATGCCTCCTCCAACGGTGGAAACAAGTGAGGAGTTGCTGGTGGCCAGTTTCGATGGATCGGCTAGGATAAAAAAGAAAGGAGGGTCGTTCAGTGCCGTGATATGGAAGTTACCCGAATGGACGATCGTGGCGGCCGAATCGAGATATGTTCACGATCTGACTGTGAATGAAGCTGAGTATAATGGCTTGCTACTGTGCTTTGAGTTACTCGCCGATCTGGATAGGGGGCGAGTAATACTGTGTGGAGATTCCAGTCTGGTGATTCGACAGATGCGCGGTGAGATCGACTGCAAGGCACCGGGCCTTCAGCTTCTGAGACACAAAGCGTTGGAGAAGCTGCAGTCATGGCCTAGTCACGAGTTTCTGCATATGAAGCGAGAGTGGAATCAGAGCGCAGATCGACTAGCCAGCACAGCATTGCAGAGCGAAAAGGGAAGAACGGTTGTAGCTGAAGAGGATCGGCAAGATCTGATGACTCTGAACCGTCTCGATGAATTGTTGAAGCCCAAGCAAGATGGTCAGCTGGCTCGGGTAACTGCGATCGCGAGATCAGCCAGGAGGATACGTCATGAACCTGAAGTGATACAGGAGGAGATAGTACAGAGGATCAGGATTCAACGAATTGTCCAAGCTCAAGATGAAGAGCGTTGGATTGTCAATCTCAAGAAGTATCTACGTGGCGACGTATCAAACTTGGATGCGGTAGAAGTGAAGATGTGCGCCAAACTGGCGCCGGAATACGAGATCGATGAGAACAATCTGCTATTTGTTTGCCCCATGGCGAAAAGAGAGTCAGAAGATCGCGATGGTTTGATGCGGTTGGTGATCCCTGAGACGTTGCGGCAGGAGTTTTTGCATCACTATCACACGAGTCTGAAAGGAGGCCATCAGGGTATTGGCCGAACCTATCAGAGGATCAGATCGCGATTTCATTGGAGAGGACTGTATCGGAGCGTTCAACGATATGTGGGCGAATGTACCGACTGTGAGACCGGGAAAGGAAACCCGATGATTCATGGGAAATCCCCGGGCAATCTACACGCAACCTATCCATTCCAGATCATCGCCATGGATCATATACCGTCGTTGCCCAAGTCCATCAAGGGGAACACCGAACTGCTCATTTGGGTCGACCTTTTCTCGGGATATGTGATTGCAAAGGCTAGCTCCTCTCGGACGGCACAAACAATAGCGGAGAATTACGAAGAATGTGTGTTTCGACGCTTCGGAGCTAGCGAGGCTATCAGGCACGATCGAGAACCGGGATTTATGTCCGACTTCTTTCGAGCCTTCAGTCGGATCGTAGGACAAAAACAGCGTGCTACTATGGCTAACAGGCCACAAGCAAATGGAACAGCCGAACGAATGGTGCAAACCCTGACACATTCGCTCAAGATGTACGTGGCTGAAGTTGACCAGCGAGACTGGGATGAGTATGCTGAGCGGCTCACATTTGCCATTAACACTGCACAAGATCGGATCCGGGGGGATACCCCATTTTATCTGATTCATGGGTGGGACCCGCGATCGACTTTGGAGGCTACGCTACCAGTGGGGAATACGGGGACACGAGATCGCGATCCAAAGAGGTGGAGATACAAAATCCAAAGACAATACCAGCGAGCCCAATCTGCAGTGAACGATCGTTTACGAGCCGCGATCCAGGAGCGAGCGGATCGACACAACGAAGATCTGGAACCACACGAGATCGAAGTAGGAGCGCAAGTTTGGCTATACCTGGACCGAGTTAAAGAGGGATATGCGAAGAAGCTAGCGCACATGTGGCATGGGCCATTCCGAGTTGCGGACGTATGTGGAGATCATGCTGTAAAATTGGAGATCGCTGGAACCCCATATCGGCTATATTCGATTGTACATCTATCGAAGCTGAAGAAGGTAAAGACGCTCCTTGAACGGCCGAAGGAATAGCTTACGATAGACGAAGCAGATCGTTTGGACTTTGATGAAGCTTTGTTACCAGAAGACAGTTGGGATGGCGATCTTGAAGAAGGGCGAATACGAAGTAGGAGAAATATTGGACGTGCGATCTGGTAGGAAAACCCGTTATGGGCGAGTACACCGACAGTTTCTGGTAAAGTGGAAGGGACATCCCGATTTAAGTTGGGTATATGATGCCGATCTAAGTTGTGGGGCGATCTTGCAGGAGTTTGAGCGGAACCGAGTGAGTCGAAACCGTTTCGAAGCGATGCAGTCTCACGAAGGCAAGTCGGACGAACCTTAACAGTTTAAACAAGTATGCTTGGAGGCAGAATATACGGATGGAAGGGTTGAAAGATGTGCTAGGAGGTAGCACATGTTGGTGGATGAGGTTGCAAGATGTGCCAGGAGGTAGCACATGCTGACGGATGGTGGTTTGTGTGTGAGTATGGAGACAGTCAAGTGAATTACCTTGCTGAATGATTTGAAGCTAGAATAATCGAGGTCGTGGAAGTTGCAAAGAATGAAATATCATAAAGAAGATGATTGAATGACTTACACGATTATGAAAGACGATTGAGCTTGGACATCGACCTTATACTAAGATGATGGAGCAGGCTTGAACTTGTCCTGTAGACGAGGGATCTGCGATCCGGGGTGATCCCAATAGGCGTTACGGAACGGATTGCGCCAAGGATCCTTTTGGTCCGCCATGGTCAATGCCTCTAGCAAGTCGGCTGGGTCGTTAGAATGTCCCAACCCTGGATACCAAACTCGCTTTTCATTTGATCGCGGATAGTGGAGGAAGAAGGGATCTAGCAAGATGTCGAGATCGCAGTGGCAAGCGATCATGCCGCTGAGTATCATCTTCAAGAAGTTCTACCAACGCGCTCCAAAGCGAGAACGGCGTTGTTTTCGTTGGCGCCAGAATGTCTGCATGAACCGTTCAGATCGCCGTTGAGCCGGAGGAATCGGGAAAGCATGAGTGGATTCCCACAGAGCTTGTCGATGAGTGGACTCAAGCTCCAGGTACCGATGACTCATATCACGATACCACCCAGCCATGGTGAACGATATCGGGTTCACTGGGACTATGATATTATCCCAAGGGGCTGTAGCGTAAAGAGCCTCGATGTGTCGCCGCGAGATCAGGGCAGAAGCCCAAGTCCTCGTAGGCGGAGCTCGTCCATGATTGTAGAAGGGAAACAGAAAATTCCTGGGCTTGGAGTAGTGGTGAAACAACAGCTCAATGGTCATGGTCCTCACGCAAACCATCGCGATCCGCGAAACAGACCATGGAGCGATCTCGGAAGCTACCCGTCGGGAGGGCGCCAGATAGTTGGGAATCTACCGATCCCGTGGTTGCTGGAGTGGCGGAAGATTGTCGAAGTCAACGGAAGAGAAAACTCTGTTAGCCACTTGGCGCGCCGGAAGGGTGATGCTGTTTTCGCTATCGGACGAATGGCGATCCGAAAGCGCAGTGGACTCCGGAGGCGGACTAACAGAGCCAGTCTCGCTGTGTGTCTCCCCTGTCGGCGATACCTCCACGTCTTCTACGCCGCCATTATCTTGAATTTCGACTACGGGGACAGTCGCGACCGAAGTGGATGGGTACGAAAAATAACGAGGCTTCGGAACGTCTGGAGAAGGCGAACGCAACAGTGCTTGAGCCAACGCAGTAGCTGCGGGAGAAGCGGGAACAACCCGAGCGGCCGGAGAGGGGTTCGAAGTCGAAGATCGGACATCCGATCTAGGTTGACGACGAGCGGCCGATCTAGATTGGGATAATGCAGCACGAGTCAAATTATCCGAGCTAGAATCCGACTCGGTCAGCTCCTCACTTCCCGATCCAGTCCCAGAAGCCATGGACGAAAGCGGAGAACAAGAAGAATTGGGTTGAGGCTCGGGTGGGGCCAATCTGGGAAGTTTGTTTTAAGGCAATGAAGGGTTCAACGACAATAGCCGGGAGGCCACACGGGCGGTGAAAGAATCTCTGGATCGTGACCTTGGCTGAATATGCCGACGCTTGGCAGGCGGGCCGGACGATCTCGATCTGGACCTACGGGCAAGCGATCTCGATCCCGGGGTAGTGGGAGCAGGGGGCGATCCGGCCGGAGTAGCACTCTTAGGCGTCGATCGAGCGGTCAACGCAGACGACCGGGATCCGAGTATAGCACTGTTCAGTGTGTCGAGGAGAGCACGGTGTTCAGCTATAGCCTGATCCCGATCATGCTCCACCACCTGCAATTGGTCGTGTATCTCGAGGTGTTCCGCAAGCTGACGACGTAGGTTAGCGTTCTCCGCCTGCGAAAGTGCCAACTGACCCTATAGGGGAGTCAAACCATCCACTTGTTGTATGAGATCGCTGATCGAAGACAGTCCATCTGCGATCTCCTCCTGAGACTGAGCCAATTGCTCCTTCAAGTGCAAAAAATCTATGTGAAGGAAGGACATGTTCATGGTCAGCTAATCACGCTGCTGTCGGAGAGAATTGAGTTCGGCTTGGAGCGAACGAAGCTGAGCCCTCAAAGCATCCACCTGTCGTTCCAAGTTACCCTGAGCCTCGTCGTTGGCACATATCAAAGTGCGTAGCCGACGAATCTCCTCCGATTGATCTCGATATGTCCGCAGAGCTCGATTGCAATCACTCAAAGAATGCACTGCGTCGACGTAGCGGCCCTGCATCCAGTCATATCGACGCTGGACGAAGGAGACAAAAGGAGCGGCTGATCTGTACAGCGAATCAAGCTCGTCTTGTAAGCGATCCCCCCGGACGACGGCATCTCGGTAGGACTGCTGGAGCGCATGAATGGTGTCGGCTTGGCTGCAGAAGGTAGCCTCTCGATCCCACAAATACGAGATCGTGGCCATCGTGAGACGAACGTCGTCGGCAGAAACTCTGGGAACGAAGCCGGTGACGCCCACAGCTGGAGCAGACCTTTCACGAGATTCATTAGCGGCCGGGACGTCGGATCTGGACGCATCTGGGGCCGCCGGAGGAGTGGGAAGCGGGAATGGCTCGGAAGAACGATCTGATAATTCCGCGTCGGTCGAGAGCGATCCGACCGATCTGGGATTACTGAGAGACTCATGTTGATCTGGGACGATAGGAGCATACCACCCGCGATCCAGCGATCTAGATGGCGAGTCTCGGGATGGAGACGAGGGTCTGGTCGGCTGTCGATCTGGCGATCAAGTGGGGATTGTGGGCGATCCGGTTGTGCCTAGATGGCGCGGAGACATAGGCCGATCGGGGACCGCTGGGGTGTGTCCTCCGAGATCGGGCGATCCGGGCGACAGGTCGCGATCCGGAGACAGAAACATGGTGGGTCCTTCTGATGAGATCAGCGAGGTGGGTGGATGCGTCGGAAAGGCCATGAGACGGACTTGAGTGCTTGGAACGAAGTTGATGAGTGACTGTACTGAGGTCAATTGCTGTGCAAAAGACTTCAGTACAGGGGGCGGTTGTGGCAAAGTCACTACTCAAATTTTGTACGAGGATCGGTGGCCACACCTTTAAAGCGCCGCTTACTGGTGGAAAAGGAGGCCATGAGACTCGGCGATCCAATACGGAGGTGGAAGATGATATTAACGGGATCGGCGAACCGGTCCAACTGTCGATTAGACTAATGGGTGTGAATCGACCTGGGACGGAGCGATCTGGAACGATTTACATGGAACAATCTGGGACAAGGATCTGGGACCGGGTGATGGGATATGACTCTGCGACGAAGGTGTAACACCTTGCAGAATGTTATGGGGCGATTTGGAACCAGACGTCGGGATGAAGTCATACAGCTCATTGGAATGCCGGTCAAGAAGAAGTATACGTACATTGAAGCAGGCTAAGATCAGATCGCAGATCGGCATGTTGTGGCAACGGTTTGTTGGAGAATTGACACATCTGGGACAAGGTGACTCCCCAAAGTGCATCTGGGACCAGGTGGTACGGTTCGGTGAATCGGCAAAGAAGGTGCAACACCATACGGATCGGTGATACTCTTTACCGATCCTAAATTGGGAGTACTGATTTTGGTTAATTATACACCGATCTGGAAGTTTTGCATACCCAGGGGAGTCAAGGAAACCGATGTCGAGACGTATTAATGAAGTTGTCGATTGGATAACACTGGAGGATGATATTGAAGCACGTATGAGGAGATGAAAAAGTGTTAATTGCCGATTCAGACCGGATCGACCTCCAACATCTCGATATTGGATGACAGATCGGTCATGTTCCACACTGATCATGAATATATGGTTGATGAAGATACTGGATCATGTGGAATATACTTGATAGAGGTCACTAAGTGATGTCAAGAAGTTTCATGCCGAAAGCGTCAGTGGAAGCTGTCCGAATTGACGTCGCAAAGTGAATTTGGACACATTCGGCATTTTGGGTCATATATTGGGTACTTGGGTGCCAAGAATGGGTATTTGGTACCATATAGGAGATTTTGGTCCATTTGGTGCTCTAGGTACGATATCGGGGATATTGGCGCTATCATTGGAGTACAGGGCACGAAATTTCGACACGTGGCAAGGGGGCAAACCAGATTCAAGGCGATATCGGTTTGAAGAGTGACCTATAGTTAAGAATAGGCTTAAGGGTAGGTTGGATAGTAATTTGGTTGGTTAATAAACAGACTTGAACTCTACTTCTTCTGCTCACGACGCACGTTATCCTCCCCTCTTCTCCAGGCAAGATTGATTTGGCTTCTCCGGCGGGTTAAGGCACGCGTGTTACAGGGACACAGAAGACCGATCTTGGATTGTTGGCCAAGATCGAGAAGAGCGATCACGGGATATCTGGCCCGGATCGATCAAGTACTCACACTCAACTCAACTGCTAGGGTAGCAGCACACAACGGAAAAGGAAAAGGATTTTGGACACAGGATCGCGAGACGGCTCAAGTGGTCAGAAGATCTGGACAAGGCGTTCAAGACAAGACCGAGCAGGATCGAAGCGATCCCCTGGACAGATCGGCACGTTTCATTTTGGCAAAACCAAGGACCGATCTACCCAAATTGCGCACTCCCAGCAAGATCGGACGATCCCAAGACCAGATCGGACCGATCCCAAGGCAAGATCGACGCAAGACTTTTATTGCTGAGTGAAGATTTCCGCACAGCAAAGACCCCGATCTCGAAGACAAGTCAAGATCGGTGCGATCCAAGATCGGGACCGCAGAACCCCCGTTCGTGGTGTGAAGATTTTCGCACCGGAAGCGAACCCTCAACTTAACCTCTCAGCGAGATCGACATCTCCCAAGGCCGTTACGAAGAGCTCAAGCCAGCCCAACCGACGGGTACACAAGGTGAGCACAAGGTCATACAACAAGGCACGGATCGGAGTACCCCCTCCGTGAGTCGGCAAGTCTAAGCAAGTGGAAGATCGACACTCATACAAGCAATTTTGTGAGATCGACTTCACCACAGCACCAAGGTGTATGAAATTTGCTACAAGCCAAGCGCAAGGATCTACTTTCGTGGCTATTCGGACGCAGACTGGGCCGGCGACCTTACTGATCGCAAGTCAATGTCTGGCCACGTCTATGCTATTGGGTGCTCCAGTGAGTTGGGGCAGCAAGAAGCATCCAACTATGTCACTGTCTACAAGTCAAGCGGGGTACATTGCACTAAGTCTGGCCATCCAGGAAGGCAAGTGGAATTACCGCTTACCATGCGGGATCATGGCGGCTGCCAACGAGGACTGACCCGAGCTCACGATCCGCAAAGACAACTAATCCTGCATCAAAATGACCAAGAATCCAGTTAACCACGGCCGTGCCAAACACATTGATATCAAGTACCATCACACTCGCGATGAAGTCAAGCGTGGTGAAGTGAAGCTTGGATAATGCGAGACGACGGTGATGTTGGCAGACATTATGACCAAGGGACTTCACGGACCGCGCCACAAGGACTTAACGGCGGCGCTAGGCATCTGTACCCGTTCGGATCGAGGGGGCGTGTTGACGGTCATCGTTTTTCTACCAGTATTCGTAGCCGTGACCGGTTCAATCCGAGCCGCCTGCTCAGCTTAGTCTATACAACGTAGTTCTTACGGTAATTACCATAGTTGATTAGACGCGTAGGATGATGAGATGCTTCACATAATTTATATGTGCACCACATATAAATCATGTAGTAAGTAGTGAGCCCCGATAATCAATTACTTTCGAATCTTCCAACTAGTGAGGAAATGTCTTCTGCTCTACTCTCTTCAGCCTCTCCGCTCCATTCGCTCCGCTCTCTACCAATCCAACAGGTTAGGAGCCCAAGCTCCATGTCGTCCACCACCAAAGCATCATCCAACGTCTCTTTTGATGAGCTCTATGGAGACAACTACGCGACTTGGAGTCGATACATGCGCGGTGTTTTTTTGAAGAAGTCCGTCTGGTACGTCGTAAACCGTGAAGCGACTCCGACTTTCACCGACTCGCGAGCGTCTGATGAGTACATTAAGGCGAGCAACGTCGCGTTTGGTATAATGCTGCTACGCATAAATGCGGACTACCACCATGTGCTTGACAGCTGCGAGGAAGCGTGGGTTGCGTGGACACGTCTGAAGACGCTGTACGGTGGGTCGCAGAAGGCAGGACGAATCTTCCTCAAGCGACAACTGTTCTGCACCAAGATGGCTGAAGGCGCGAACGTCATGCACCCCTTCAACGAGGTCCTCAACATATCCTTCAAGCTTAGCGGCATCAGTGCAAAGATGGAAGACGAAGACGTTGCGATCTGTCTGCTGCTCATTCTTCCAAAGAGCTACAAAAATGTGGTGCTCAACATGGAAATGAGCAGCGCCGAGCTTCGTACCCAGGATATGGTGAGAGGGGATGACGAATGAGCATGCCAAGCGTCGAGGAGAAAAAGGGACAACAACAGCGACTACGGTGAAGGCTGAAGATGCAAGCAAGGCATTCAGCACCGAACGTGAGCCCTGTCAATGCACGTATTGTGGCAAGGAGGGACATACGGTGGATCGCTGCTGGACAAAGCAGAAGAACGAAGGTCGAGCAGCCCGACGCGGTGGCAATGGTCGTGGACGCGGGGATAATAACGTCCAGTGGGGACATTATGATGAAGGCAATGGCTACGATCGAGTGGCGTTTGCAGTCTCGTTCGAATGTGGAGTTTCGACGAGCAAGGACGTGTTTGGAATGGGGACCGTCGATAGTGGTGCAACACACCACAGTTGCCACGACAAGACCAAGTTTGCAAGCTTGGCAGAGTGCAATGAAGGCTAACTATTGGTGGCTGATGGCAACAAGGTGGCCATCAAGGGTGTGGGAACCATCATGGAAAAGGTGGTTCTGCCCAACGGTGAAGAGCGCGAGATCGAGATCAAGAACACACTATTTGTTCCAAGTATGAGCAACAACCTGCTTTCGGTGCCACAGATCAACAGACATGGCAAGTTTCAAGTCGTGTTTGACGGGTCCAAGATGTATGTGATTCTCAAGAACTCACAGCAAGCGGTGGCGACAGCGGATTTTGTGGATGGACTTTACTGGCTTCGTACGACTCAGCGATCACCAAATGTGACAACAAATGAAACCAGCTGTGCTGATCTACATGCGCGAATGGGTCACACTCCAGTTGACGTACTTCGCAAGATTATCACGACCAACATGATCAAGGATGTGCGAGTCCCTCTTAAGTCGAATGGAGCAACTGCATGTCGAGGGTGTCAACAAGGGAAATGGTCCAAAAACCATTCCCGAGCAACCGTGACAAGCGTAACTACTATACGTTCGAGCTGCTTCATCTGGACATCTGTGGGATCATGGAAATCGAATCGCTCGGTGGCAGCAGATATCTGCTACTGATCGTAGAAGAAGCCAGTGGATGTATGAAGGGCTTTTGTTTACGAGTGAAGTCCGAGAGTGAAGACTGCATCCGGAAGTACATCACTATGATACAGACGCAGTTCAGTATGAAGCTCAAGTTTGTTCGACACGACGGAGTCCGCAAGTTTGCAACCAGGTCGCTGTGAATGCTCTACTAAGACGAAGGAATTGAACAGCAGACAACGGTGCAATATGCACATCAAACCAACGGAACAGCATAGCGTGCCATTTGGACTATCGTCACGATCGGCCGCAGCATGTTTCATCATGCTAAGTTGAAAAAGTGTTTCTGGGCCGAAGCAGCAATGACGGCAATCTACGTCAAGAATCGACTACCGTCACCTAAAGTCGTACACAAGACTCCGTTTGAGATCGTCTACAACTCGAAACCAAGAGTTAAGCACATGCGAGCATTCGGGTGTCAGACGTACATACTGACGCCGAAAGAAAGTCGACTCAAGTGGGATCCAAAGGCTCGCGCTGGCATGTTCGTGGGCTACGAAGAAGTGTAGAAGGCGTATCGAATTTACGACATCGAGGCGGGGCAGGTGGTTATTAGTCGCCATGTCAACTTCGAAGAGTCCACATTTTGAATTTCGCCGCCGATCACTGATGAAGATGCCGATGATCTGGACTTCGAATTGCTTGACCTCAATGATGAAGAGCCGCTTCAGGTGGAGTACAAGCAAACAGGAAAGCGCAAAAACCTCCTTAGTGATGAAAAAACAGCTTCTCCACGACCGCGTGCAGTGCGTCCACGACCTGGACTAGAAGGGTCAAGCGCGTCGGAAAACAACTCGTCACGCCAAGAAGAAGACGAAGAAACGAAGGATTCTGATGAATCAACTCCTCCTGTGTTTTGGCGTGCGAGTGCAAATGCCGTTGAAACAGCAGCGGACTTATCGGATCCCTCAACCTTTGAGGCGGCAGTGAGCGGCCCTGAATAAGTGCACTGGCGAAAAGCTATTCATGCAGAGCTCGAGGCAATGCGACTTCGTGGTGTGTTTCGTGCAGCCAAGCTGCCCAACGGACAACGCGTCATTAGCACAAAGTGGATGTTCAAGATCAAGCGCAAGGCGGATGGGTCAATCGATAAGTACAAGGCACGACTTGTGGTCAAGGGTTTCCACCAAAAGTATGGCATCGACTACACGAATACATTTTCGCCCGTGGTCAAGTATGTGACGGTGCGAATGGTGATCGCAATTTCCAAGCACTTTGGATGGTCCATCGACCAGCTTGATGTGGTGACGGTTTCCTGTTTGACGTCGTGAAGGAACAAGTGTTCTGTGTGATTCCTGACGGCGTTGAACTTGATAGTGCGTTCGACTGCCTGGAAATGGCGAAGTCAATTTACGGCCTCAAGCAAGCGTCGTGAGTGTGGAATGAGATGTTCGACGAGTTTGTGTGCTTCATTGGATTTCGAGTATCGGACTTCGACCCATGTCTCTACATCAAGACTTCGGACGGCCATTGTGTATGTGGTAAAGTCACTAATCAAATGACGGGACGTGAATCGGTTTCCACCCAGTGAAGACGTCACTTACTGGTGGAAAATGATGCCTGGGACCAGGCGATGTGACGTGATTTGAGACGGAGCGTAGCAAGGGGTGATTTCCACGGTGCGATCTGGGATGAGGGACTGGATCGAACCGAACGACCACTCTGAGGGCTGATCAAAGGCAAGGATGTGGATGTTAAAGCAGAATCATTTGAGAAAGGTACGGCTGGGACCAGGCGATGCGACGTGATTTGAGACGGGTCGTAGAAAGGGGTGAATTTCACGGTGCGATCTGGGACGAGGGACTGAATTGGACCAAACGACCGCTCTGAAGGCTGATCAAAGGCAGGGATGTGTATGTTAAAGCAGAACCTTTCTGAGAAAGGCATCGAAGTACGCACAATGAACGGAAGAACAGATATGGCCGGATTGTACTGCGTCGATCCTCAACGATCTCGAATTGGACATCAGATCGGTCATGTTCCCTGATGGGTATGGATATATCGTTGATGAGACTTTTGGATCATGACAAACATGCTTGTTGAAGGTCCATGAGTGGTGTCTCAGAAGTTCAGATCGAAAGAGCCAGTGGAAGCCGGTTAAATTGACGTCGCAAAATGGATTAAGCATATTCGGCATTTGGGCACTATTTCGGGCTCTCTAGTACCAAAAATGGGTATTTGGTACCACATTTGGGATTTGGTCCTCTTTTGGCGTTTAGGTACGATATCGGGGATATTGGCGCTATCTTTGGAGTACAGGTCATGAAATTTCGACACGTGTTCAAGGGGGCGGTCAAGCTTAAAGGTGATATCGACTTGGAGAGTGACCTATAGTTGGGAATAGGCTTAAAGATAGGTTGGCTATTAAATTGGCTGGTTAATAAGCAGACTTGAACTCTACTTCTTCTGCTCACGACACACGTTCTCCTCCCCTCTTCTCCGGGCAAGATTATTTTGGCTTCCCCGGCGGGTCAAGGCACGCGTGTTACAAGGACACAGAAGACCGATCTTGGATTGTTGGCAAAGATCGGGAAGAGTGACATCGGGAAGTTTGGCCTGGATCGATCAATTACTCACTCTCAACTCAACTGCTAGGGTAGCATCAACAAAAGAAATGGATTTTGGACACAAGATCGCGAGACGGCTCAAGTGGTCAGAAGATCTAGACAAGGTGTTCAAGACAAGACCGAGCAAGATTGAAGCGATCCACTGGACAGATTGGCGTGTTTCATTTTGGCGAAACCAAGGACCGATCTGCCCAAATTGCGCACTCCCAGCAAGATCGGACGATCCCAAGACCAGATCGGACCGATCCCAAGGCAAGATCGACGCAAGACTACTATCTGCTGAGTGAAGGTTTTCGCACAGCAAGACCCCAATCCCGAAGACAAATCGATATCGGTGTGATTCAAGACCGAGACCGCGACATCTGTACCTAGAGATTGCCGCGACTCGAGATCAAGATCGCAGAACCCCTGTTCGTGGTGTGAAGATTTTCGCACCGGAAGCGAACTCTCAACCCAATCTCTCAGCGAGATCGACATCCTCCAAGGCCGTTACGAAGAGCTCAAGCCAGCCCAACCGACGGGTACACAAGGTGAGCACAAGGTTATACAGTAAGGCACGGATCAGAGTACCCCCTCCGTGAGTCGGCAAGTCTAGGCAAGTGGAAGATCGACACTCATACAAGCAATTTTGTGAGATGGACTCCACCACAATGGTCCGCATGCCCGGAACTTCTGAAGCCTCTGGATTTTACCGTGCGTCCACTGGCGAAGATGTCAAGATCAAGCAAGAACCTGGGATTGAAGTGTCAGCGACGGAGGGATCGACGCAGACACGCAGAATCACAAGATCCTCAGGTCATCAGAGTGTTAGGAGGGGCTCTGACGAAATGAAAATGAAAGTGCAAGATCGAGAGATCGATCTGGAAGATAAACCTCAACCCCCTCCTAGGGTCCATTCGGGGGCCACCGCAGATCGCTCTGCAAAGAGCGATCTGCTGGATTAAAATCCAATGGTGAAAACCAAATCGGCGAAAGCCAAACCCTATATCGTAGTCGATAGATCGCCCGACCTCAAGCCGAAGAGCACAATCGCGAGATCGACCACATCAGAACGATCCGCGACGAGATCGATGGGATCAGATGTCAAAGATCGCCAGATCGGCCGAACCGTGCAATCAAAGATCGGAGCCAAAGAGGAATACGATGAAACACCAGATAAGATCGCGATGCCAAAGACGCAATATGTAACCCAATAAAGATCGCGTCCAGGGAGAATGAGACGACGGGTGAAGCGCGGGAGCGTGCAAAATGGCAGTACTATTATGGCCAGTTGAAGACGCTGCTCAAGACGGACCCAGTGTTCAAGATATTAAGGCCCGAGGTGATTGGACCTCTGGATAATGCGATCTCGGTCCCACTTCACGGGACCAACAAAGTCGACGAGATCAATTTGATTTTGCAGATGTTGGACGACATGGGTATCTGCCCTAACGCCTTTGATGGAGATGAACTGCTGAGTTGCAGCTTGGAACAGTTGAAGGACGCGGTGAATGAGTTTGTAGAGATCATGATAATGCTGGTGGGCAAAGCGAATACTCCTGAAGACAAGATCGGGACGCCCTCGGGCTCGCTCCGTAAACACCCCGCGGGATCGCCCCGCTACGCCTCGGATGACTCCGAGAGCGAGTCAGATGGATCCATCAGCATTCGTCAGATGTCTCTAGGACCATCGGGTGGAAGGTTCTTAAAGGACAAGATCGGACAAGCCAAGATCGACGCCTATAAGGGACAAGCCAAGAGCAGCATGCCGCAGAGATCGGCCAGTACCCGCACTGGGCTGGAGGATCAAGAAGAGGGCGATCTAAGTCGGTACTTCAATTCAGCCATGAAGAAGTACGAGGCGGATCAACGTACAGCTCAGCGAATGAATCGACAGCCAAACCGCTACCCAGATCGACGTACTTTGCTCAAACCTTCACACGAAAGCCTTGACATGCCGGATGTGGAGATGGAGTCGGTGGGGTCGGACACTTACCAACAGATCCATCATGGGACGGAATACGACCCGGATGATTTATGGATGCCCGAACCACGGCGCCCTCACGTAGCCGCGACCGGTGTGACTACCGGAGGGGAAAACATCACGCAAAGGATCAGAATCTCAGCGATTTCTGAGCTGAAAGAATTCTCAGGGAAGGATCGGGAAGAAGGCAAAGCGCGAACCTGGATCGGAAAAGTGAATTCAGCGTTTATCCGGGAACAAGCACCGGACGAAGAGAGATGTCTGGTCTTCGGTAATCTCGTGGTGGGCCCAGCCCGCTACTGGTACCGACAGCTGAGTAGATCGACGAGATTCAATTGGAAAGAATTGATGAGCAGTTTTCTTGTGGAATATGCGGGACACGGGATGTACGCGAGCCGGCAATATTACCATGCAAAGAAACAATCGGAGGAAGATCCTTTACAGTACCTGTATCGGCTTAATGTGATGGGAATGCAGGCGAAGATACCGGTGATGACTAAATTGCCAGCCGCACGCAAGGAACGTGTCAACCATTTCATTGACACCTTGGACGACCCCGATCTGTCCAATCAATTGTTACTGCTGAATGTAGAAGACGCGGATGACATGCAAAAGACACTGCATGGATATCAACAAGGGAGATCGCGTCAAGGGAAAGTGATGATGGGATCGTCCAAATTCAGGCAGAAGGGAACTCCGGGTCCAGCGTTTTCTAAGCCTGCACGAGCGGTGAAGATGGTCCGTACCGAGGACGTCAGCAGCGAGTCAGGATCGTACACCTGCGGATCGGATTTGGAAGATCGATTGAGATCGATCCATGTGGCTGCTACTGCGGATCGGCGTTCATCCCCCAATGACGTTGCAGCAAACGCTAGATCGGCCGACCCGAACACTCGTCAAGATTATCAAGATCGCAATATGCCACTGAAGCCGTGTACTCATTGTGGATCGACCAAGCATAGAGATCTCGGTTGCTGGAAGCGGCTCACTTGCCAGAAATGTGGGCGTAAAGGACACCCCTCTGACAATTGAATTTTGGTGTGTCGCGCCTGCGGTGAGATGCATGACCCGGGGAATTGTCCTATGGAGGAGTTCTACAACATGATCCGCCAGTGGTACGTCCCGAATAAGCATGCGGGGATGCTGCCAGAGAAGGCCGAGAAGATGTCAAACTAGGACGCTCGCCAGGTTTGGATCTGGTGCGAGCTGAGCGTTCTGGGCTCTGCATTATTGCAAACGATAAAAAAAAGAAGACAGATCGCGAGAGTAAGCAGGATACAGAGAAGGAAACAAATACATCTCGTCCAAAGTCAAGACGTGTCACTTCTGTCTCTCATCTGAGGAGGATCGATGAGTACTCGCGATCTGAACCAACTATGGAGATCGAGCTCGCTTACGGTGAATCTTGCGAATACTGGAAACATTACTCGCCCGGGAAGTGGTTTAAGCAGGCGAAAGCTGTTGGCAAGATCAACAACGAAAAAGACACTCTGCTATTTGATTCTGGTGCTGAAGTGTCGATCATTGACACCGTCTTTGCTCGTGAGGTCGGTTGCAATATTGACGAAAGTCAACGACAAGAATGTATTAGGATCGGAGAAACCCCGTACATGACGATAGGACGTACCAAGATCAAGGTGACCCTCGCGGGATTGCTGGTATACTATTTAAATGTATGGGTAGGCGATCTGGCAGGGCAAGACGTTACTATGAGAATGGACTTTATGGTGCCTGCCGGAGTGCGGCTCGATCTAGCTAATGGCGCGCTATGTCTACCAGAATAAATCCGTATCCATCTCGCAGGACGTCGCCCCACGTACGGATCGAAGATACAACATGTAACGGCGAAGGACCGACATGTGGTTATCCCGGTCGGAGATTCAAGAGAAGTGAAGATCGGGATCGGAGGGGCTAAGATGAATTTGTGGGTCGCTAGAGGATCAGATTAGGTCCCCACCGTGATCTCGGGGTTGGGTTAGACGAATACTTGCAGATGATTAACATTGGCGACTTTGAGATCACACTGCCCACCCACACGATATTAGGCTTGTGGACCGAAGGCCATATAGTACCACGAGCTCAAGGTTTTGTGACGGTCGGATCGGGGAAGTACAAGGAGTGGCAAACTCTGGCGTATGAGGCTACGACAAATCGAGTGTTGAACTCCCAACAGATCGGATCGTACAATTGGTAGATCGCCCTACGTACGCCACTCCCAAATGCATCATGAAGTGTCCGTCTGATGCTTTAAAGGACATACCTCCAGCGATCTCCATGGTAACGCAGCAAGCTGGCGACGACGACTTGCAAAAGGCTGATACTGTGGTTGCAAGGGAAGGAACGGTCAACGGAGTCGGATTGAATCCACTCGATGGAATAAATCTATCGTCGAAGGATAACGATCGTGAGATTGAAACCAAGATCGCGATGAGAAGAGATCACAAGACCGAACGAGAAGAACAAGACAACAGAATGTCTTCATTGGACGTCAATCTTGCAGACAACAGAGCAGGACTCGATCGGTCCGAGGCGACGCAAAGATATGAAGAGGACAAGCCGTCTAAGATCGACGAAGCTGACTTCGCAGAAGCACCAGTCTACTATCACGAGAGTGGAGATTTGTTTGCCGAAGACATCGAGCAACACCTGGCGGTGTTACCAGAGATGTCCACTGCTACGGAAAAAGTGACAATTAACGACATCAAGATTGGCGATCCAGACGTTCCTCTCACCATAGATCAACAAAGACTTAGATCGCTGATTTGGAAGAGCTGTCACCTTCTTATGGGCAACGGAAACGCTCCACCACTAGCGGCACGAGGGGCGATTTGTGATATCGATGTCGGTGAACCCGCACCAATTGCGCAAAGAGTCCGTCCAGTCGCACCTAAATATCGAGAGAAGCTGTCAGATCTCATCAAAGGACTGTTAGCAGCCAAGATCGTTCAGTTATCCACGTTACCTTGGGCGTCTCCGATAGTGGTGATCATCAAGAAGGACGGAGTAGATATTCGCCTTTGCATTTATTATCGAAGAGTGAACCAGCTGACGCGCCTGATGGTTTATCCCATGCCGTTGATCAGCGATCTGCTGGAAGATCTGGATAAAGCTCTATGGTTCTGTTCGCTAGACATGGCTAGTGCATTCTAGGTCGTCGAAATGACTGAACGATCAAAACTGATCTCAGCGTTTGTCACGCCGTTTGGCTTGTTCGAGTGGCTGCGAATGCCTTTTGGGCTTAAGAACGCGCCCCAGATCTACCAACGTCTGGTTGACAATGCGTTGTATAGATATCTCAAGATCGGTCAGAGATCAGCCTCTGATGGCCCGATCGACGTGTTCAAAGATGGAGAGCCTGAGACAGATCGACGACCGTCTATACTGGGACGCCGATCTTACATTGATGATATTCTCATACCAGCCACGTCATGGGGATCTTTGTACACAAAAGTAGAACGGTTGCTGGAGGCATGTGATAAGTGGAATCTGTCTATCAGCCTCACGAAGAGCTTTTGGGGGTGCCGTAAGGTCGATTATTTGGGACCTCGAGTGTCGATGGATGGTCTGGAGGCTCAGCCCAAGAACCTAGAGTCGTTGGTTAACATCCCGTTTCCTAGCACGCTACGAGCTATGCAATCCTTTCTCGGGAGCTTGAACTACTACCGTCGCTTCATTGAGGATTTCGCGGTGTATGCCGCGGTGTTGTATGAGTTAAGAGAATCGGATTTCTTCGAGATCGGCCGATCTCAGCTTGCAGCAGGAGACGAATGCTCCAACGAGGGTCGATGGACGGAAGCCAAGGTTGCTTTCACTATGCTAAAAGCTAAGATAGCTACAGCTCCCATGCTCAAGCATTTCGACCCAGATCGGTCCCCCGTAATCGTGGTCTACGCTAGCAAGTGGGCTGTCTCAGCGGCCCTGATACAGGAGTACGATGGCGTGTACCATCCGGTGACGTTTACTAGCCGCACTTTAAAGCCTAATGAGCTTAACTACGGAACGGTAGAAAAAGAAGTGCTGGCGCTACTTCGTGTGCTGGATGTATGCTATACTACGCTGCCTCGCGGGAGATCACTGTACTGACCCTACATTCTACGTTAGCCTGGTTGATGCAGTCTCGAGGGCTCAACGGGAGATTAGGACGGTGGGCTGCTTTGTTGTCAAATTGGACTATGGAGGTGAAGAAATGTGAAAGAGGAGAGGAAGAGATCCTGGGCATGTTAGCAGCGAGTATCACTCCGAGAGGAGAAGTGGAAGAGATGCTGATTGCGATCTCCCCACGAAAAGACTGTCGACTCAAAATATCGATGCCTCCTCCAACGGTGGAAACAGATGAGGAGTTGCTGGTGGCCAGTTTCGATGGATCGGCTAGGATAAAAAAGAAAGGAGGGTCGTTCAGTGCCGTGATATGGAAGTTACCCGAATGGACGATCGTGGCGGCCGAATCGAGATATGTTCACGATCTGACTGTGAATGAAGCTGAGTATAATGGCTTGCTACTGTGCTTTGAGTTACTCGCCGATCTGGATAGGGGGCGAGTAATACTGTGTGGAGATTCCAGTCTGGTGATTCGACAGATGCGCGGTGAGATCGACTGCAAGGCACCGGGCCTTCAGCTTCTGAGACACAAAACGTTGGAGAAGCTGCGGTCATGGCCTAGTCACGAGTTTCTGCATATGAAGCGAGAGTGGAATCAGAGCGCAGATCGACTAGCCAGCACAGCATTGCAGAGCGAAAAGGGAAGAACGGTTGTAGCTGAAGAGGATCGGCAAGATCTGATGACTCTGAACCGTCTCGATGAATTGTTGAAGCCCAAGCAAGATGGTCAGCTGGCTCGGGTAACTGCGATCACGAGATCAGCCAGGAGGATACGTCATGAACCTGAAGTGATACAGGAGGAGATAGTACAGAGGATCAGGATTCAACGAATTGTCCAAGCTCAAGATGAAGAGCGTTGGATTGTCAATCTCAAGAAGTATCTACGTGGCGACGTATCAAACTTGGATGCGGTAGAAGTGAAGATGTGCGCCAAACTGGCGCCGGAATACGAGATCGATGAGAACAATCTGCTATTTGTTTGCCCCATGGCGAAAAGAGAGTCAGAAGATCGCGATGGTTTGATGCGGTTGGTGATCCCTGAGACGTTGCAGCAGGAATTTTTGCATCACTATCACAAGAGTCTGGAAGGAGGCCATCAGGGTATTGGCCGAACCTATCAGAGGATCAGATCGCGATTTCATTGGAGAGGACTGTATCGGAGCGTTCAACGATATGTGGGCGAATGTACCGACTGTGAGACCGGGAAAGGAAACCCGATGATTCATGGGAAATCCCCGGGCAATCTACACGCAACCTATACATTCCAGATCATCGCCATGGATCATATACCGTCGTTGCCCAAGTCCATCAAGGGGAACACCGAACTGCTCATTTGGGTCGACCTTTTCTCGGGATATGTGATTGCAAAGGCTAGCTCCTCTCGGACGGCACAAACAATAGCGGAGAATTACGAAGAATGTGTGTTTCGACGCTTCGGAGCTAGCGAGGCTATCAGGCACGATCGATAACCGGGATATATGTCCGACTTCTTTCGAGCCTTCAGTCAAATCGTAGGACAAAAACAGCGTGCTACTATGGCTTACAGGCCACAAGCAAATGGAACAGCCGAACGAATGGTGCAAACCCTGACACATTCGCTCAAGATGTACGTGGCTGAAGTTGACCAGCGAGACTGGGATGAGTATGCTGAGCGGCTCACATTTGCCATTAACACTGCACAAGATCGGATCCGGGGGGATACCCCGTTTTATCTGATTCATGGGTGGGACCCGCGATCGACTTTGGAGGCTACGCTACCAGTGGGGAATACGGGGACACGAGATCGCGATCCAAAGAGGTGGAGATACAAAATCCAAAGACAATACCAGCGAGCCCGGTCTGCAGTGAACGATCGTTTACGAGCCGCGATCCAGGAGCGAGCGGATCGACACAACGAAGATCTGGAACCACACGAGATCGAAGTAGGAGCGCAAGTTTGGCTATACCTGGACCGAGTTAAAGAGGGATATGCGAAGAAGCTAGCGCACATGTGGCATGGGCCATTCCGAGTTGCGGACGTATGTGGAGATCATGCTGTAAAATTGGAGATCGCTGGAACCCCATATCGGCTATATTCGATTGTACATCTATCGAAGCTGAAGAAGGTAAAGACGCTCCTTGAACGGCCGAAGGAATAGCTTACGATAGACGAAGCAGATCGTTTGGACTTTGATGAAGCTTTGTTACCAGAAGACAGTTGGGATGGCGATCTTGAAGAAGGGCGAATACGAAGTAGGAGAAATATTGGACGTGCGATCTGGTAGGAAAACCCGTTATGGGCGAGTACACCGACAGTTTCTGGTAAAGTGGAAGGGACATCCCGATTTAAGTTGGGTATATGATGCCGATCTAAGTTGTGGGGCGATCTTGCAGGAGTTTGAGCGGAACCGAGTGAGTCGAAACCGTTTCGAAGCGATGCAGTCTCACGAAGGCAAGTCGGACGAACCTTAACAGTTTAAACAAGTATGCTTGGAGGCAGAATATACGGATGGAAGGGTTGAAAGATGTGCTAGGAGGTAGCACATGTTGGTGGATGAGGTTGCAAGATGTGCCAGGAGGTAGCACATGCTGACGGATGGTGGTTTGTGTGTGAGTATGGAGACAGTCAAGTGAATTACCTTGCTGAATGATTTGAAGCTAGAATAATCGAGGTCGTGGAAGTTGCAAAGAATGAAATATCATAAAGAAGATGATTGAATGACTTACACGATTATGAAAGACGATTGAGCTTGGACATCGACCTTATACTAAGATGATGGAGCAGGCTTGAACTTGTCCTGTAGACGAGGGATCTGCGATCCGGGGTGATCCCAATAGGCGTTACGGAACGGATTGCGCCAAGGATCCTTTTGGTCCGCCATGGTCAATGCCTCTAGCAAGTCGGCTGGGTCGTTAGAATGTCCCAACCCTGGATACCAAACTCGCTTTTCATTTGGGCGCGGATAGTGGAGGAAGAAGGAATCCTGCAAGATTTCAAGATCGCAGTGGCAAGCAATCATGCCGCTGAGTACCATCATCAAAAAGCTCTTCCAACGCGCTCCAAAGCGAGATCGGCGTTGCTTTCGCTGGCGCCAGAATGCTTGCATGAACCGTCCAGATCGCCGTTGAGCCGGAGGAATCAGGAAAGCATGAGTGGTTTCCCACAGAGCTTGTCGATGAGTGGACTCAAGCTCCAGGTAGCGATGACTCATATCACGATACCATCCAGTCATGGTGAACGATATCGGGTTTACAGGGATCACGATATTATCCCAAGGGGCTGTAGCGTAAAGAGCCTCGATGTGTCGCCGCAAGATCAGCCCAGGTGCCCAATTATCCGTAGGTGGAGCTCGCCCATGAGGGTGGAAGGGAAACAGAAAATTCCTGGGCTTGGAATCGTGGTGAAACAGCATCTCAATGGTCATTGTCCTCACGCAGACCATCGCGATCCGCGAAACTGACCAAGGAGCGATCTCGGAAGCTACCCGTCGGGAGGGTGCCAAATGATTGGGAATTCACCAATCCCGCGCTTGCTGAAGTGGTGGAAGATCGCCGAAATCAACTGGAGAGAGGACTCTGTTTGCCACTTGGCACGCCGGAATGGTGATGCTATTGTCGCTATCGGAGAAATGGCGATCCGAGAGCGCAGTGGACCTAGGGGGCGTACTAACAGAGCCAGTATTGCTGTGTGTTTCCTCTGTCGGCGACACCTCCACATCTTCTGAGTCGCCATCATCTTGAATTTCAATTACGGGGACAACCGCGACCGGAGTAAATGAGTACGGAATATAACGAGGCTCCGGAACGTCTAGAGATGGCGAACGCGACAGTGCTTAATTAAACGCGGTAGCTACGGATGAAGTGGAAGCAGGCCTGGGCAGACGGAGAGGGGTCTGGAGTCAAAGATCGGACATCCGATCTAGTTTGACGACGAGCGGTCGATCTCGAGTGGGACAACACGAAACGAGTCAAATTATCCGAGCTCAAGTCCGACTCGGTCAGCTCCTCACTTCCCGATCCAGTCCCAGAAGCCGCGGACGAAGGCGGAGAAGAAGAAGGATTGGATGAAGGCTCGGGTGGGGCCGATCTGGGAAGTTTCTTGGAAGGTGTTGAGGGATTCAACGACAATAGCCGAGAGGCCGAACGGGTGATGGAAGAATCCCTGGATCGTGACCTTGGTTGAACACGCCGACGCTTGGCCGGCGGGCCAGACGATCTCGACCTGGACCTACGGGCAAGCGATCTCAATCCCTGGGGTGCGGAAACAGGTGGCGATCCGGCCGGAGTAGCACTTCTAGGCATCGGTCGAGCGGTCAACGCAGACGACCGGGACCCGAGTATAGCACTGTTCAGTATGTCGAGGAGAGCACGGTGTTCTGCTATGGACCGATCCCGATCTTTCTCCGCCACCTGTAACTGGTCGTGTACCGTGCGGTTTTCCGCAAGCTGACGACAGAGGTTGGCGTTCTCCGCCTGCGAAACTGCCAACTGACCCTCCAGAGGAGTCAAACAATCCAATTGTTGTACGAGGTCGCTGATCAAGGCCAGGCCATCGGCGATCGCCTCCTTAGACCGATCCACTTCCTCCATCAAATGCAAAACGTCTATTTGAAGGAAATACCCGTCGGAGGTCAGCTGGTCACGCTGCTGTTGGAGAGAATTGAGTTCGGCTTGGAGCGAATGGACTTGAGCCCATAAAGCTTTTACCTGCCGTTCCAAGCTGCCTTGATCCTCATCGCTGGCACGTAACAAAGTGCGTAGCCGAAGAATCAGCGCCGATTGATCTCGATGTGTCCGCAGAGCTCGTTTACAGTCGCTCGAAGAATGTACTGCGTTGACGTAGCGGCCTTCCATCCAATCAGATCGACGCTGGACGAAAGAGACGAAGGGGTGGCTAATTTATCCAGCGAATCAAGCTCGTCTTACAAGCGATCCTCCCGGGCGACCGGATCTCGGTATGACTGCTGAAGCGCATGAATGGTGTCGGCTTGGCTGCAGATGGTAGCCTCTCGATCCCATATATAAGAGATCGTAGCCAACGTAAGACGAACGTCGTCGGCAGAAACTCTGGGAACGAAGCCGGTGATGCCCACAGCTGGAGCAGACCTTTCACGAGATTCATTAGCGGCCGGGACGTCGGATCTGGACGCATCTGGGGCCGCCGGAGGAGTGGGAAGCGGGAATGGCTCGGAAGAACGATCTGATAATTCCGCGTCGGTCGAGAGCGATCCGACCGATCTGGGATTACTGAGAGACTCATGTTGATCTGGGACGATAGGAGCATACCACCCGCGATCCGGCGATCCAGACGGCAGGTCCCGGGCTGGAAACGAGGGTCTAGTCGGTCGTCGATCTGGCGATCCCGTGGCGATCGTTGGCGATCCGGCTGGACCTAGATGACGTGGAGATCCAGGCCGATCTGGGACCGTTGGAGTGTGTCCTCCGTGATCGGGCGAACCGGGTGACAGGTCGCGATCCGGAGACAGAAACATGGTGGGTCCTTCTGATGAGATCAGCGAGGTGGGTGGATGCGTCGGAAAGGCCATGAGACGGACTTGAGTGCTTGGAACGAAGTTGATGAGTGACTGTACTGAGGTCAATTGCTGTACAAAAGACTTCAGTACAGGGGGCGGTTGTGGCAAAGTCACTACTCAAATTTTGTACGAGGATCGGTGGCCACATATTTGAGACGCCACTTACTGGTGGAAAATGAGGCCATGGGACCTGGCGATCCGATAAGGAGATGGAAGGCGGTCTCAACGGGGATCGGCGATCCGATCCAACTGTCGTCAGACTGATGGGTATGGAACGATCTGAGACGGAGTGATCGGGGACAAGACGGCCTATAGAACGATTTCCATGGACCGATCTGGGACAAAGATCTGGGACCAGGTGATGTGATATGACTCTGTGACGAAGGTGTAACATCCTGCAGATCGGTGACACTCCATACGGGTCTCCCAAAGAGAGTACTGATTTGGTTAAGTATAGCCTGATCTGAAAGTGCGGATGTTCGTGGGAGTCTGTGGGACCGTTGTAAGAACTGTGGATGGTCCCATTGAGCAGATAAACCCTTCGGGATGGTTTTGAAGTACACACAATGAACGGAAGAACAGATATGGCCGGATTGTACTGCGTCGATCCTCAACGATCTCGAATTGGACATCAGATCGGTCATGTTCCCTGATGGGTATGGATATATCGTTGATGAGACTTTTGGATCATGACAAACATGCTTGTTGAAGGTCCATGAGTGGTGTCTCAGAAGTTCAGATCGAAAGAGCCAGTGGAAGCCGGTTAAATTGACGTCGCAAAATGGATTAAGCATATTCGGCATTTGGGCACTATTTCGGGCTCTCTAGTACCAAAATGGGTATTTGGTACCACATTTGGGATTTGGTCCTCTTTTGGCGTTTAGGTACGATATCGGGGATATTGGCGCTATCTTTGGAGTACAGGTCATGAAATTTCGACACGTGTTCAAGGGGGCGGTCAAGCTTAAAGGTGATATCGACTTGGAGAGTGACCTATAGTTGGGAATAGGCTTAAAGATAGGTTGGCTATTAAATTGGCTGGTTAATAAGCAGACTTGAACTCTACTTCTTCTGCTCACGACACACGTTCTCCTCCCCTCTTCTCCGGGCAAGATTATTTTGGCTTCCCCGGCGGGTCAAGGCACGCGTGTTACAAGGACACAGAAGACCGATCTTGGATTGTTGGCAAAGATCGGGAAGAGTGACATCGGGAAGTTTGGCCTGGATCGATCAATTACTCACTCTCAACTCAACTGCTAGGGTAGCATCAACAAAAGAAATGGATTTTGGACACAAGATCGCGAGACGGCTCAAGTGGTCAGAAGATGTGGACAAGGCGTTCAAGACAAGACCGAGCAAGATCGAAGCGATCCACTGGACAGATTGGCGTGTTTCATTTTGGCGAAACCAAGGACCGATCTGCCCAAATTGCGCACTCCCAGCAAGATCGGACGATCCCAAGACCAGATCGGACTGATACCAAGGCAAGATCGACGCAAGACTACTATTTGATGAGTGAAGGTTTTCGCACAGCAAGACCCCAATCCCGAAGACAAATCGATATCGGTGTGATTCAAGACCGAGACCGCGACATCTTTAACTAGAGATTGCCGCGACTCGAGATAAAGATCGCAGAACCCCTGTTCGTGGTGTGAAGATTTCCGCACCGGAAGCGAACTCTCAACCCAATCTCTCAGCGAGATCGACATGCTCCAAGGCCGTTACGAAGAGCTCAAGCCAGCCCAACCGACGGGTACACAAGGTGAGCACAAGGTTATACAGCAAGGAACGGATCAGAGTACCCCCTCCGTGAGTCGGCAAGTCTAGGCAAGTGGAAGATCGACACTCACTAAAGTCATTTTGTGAGATAGAATCCACCACACTGCCATGGACGCCTCCTTTCTCCGCATCTCCAAGCTCGATGGAACTAACTATCACGCCTGGAAGTTCAAAATGGAGATGGTGCCGGAGGAACGGGACCTGTGGGAGGTCGTCAGCGGCGAGATCAAGGCGGAACAGTGCGTGACTCAGTTGTACCAAGAGGCGTACAAGAGGAAGTCAAGAAAGGCGATGGCAGTGATCTGTCTAGCCATGGAAGATTCCCAGCTACCATTGGTCCGGTCGGCAAGTGGCGCATGCGACGCATGGTCAAGGTTGGAAGACCACTTCGAGAAGAAGAGTCTTGCCAACAAACTGTTCTTGCGCCGTGCTTCTTCACGACGATGATGGAAGAAGGCGACGATGTGCTTTAATACATCAACAAGCTCAAGACGTTGCCGGAGCAGCTAGAAGCGGTGGGGGCTCCGGTCTGCGAGGAAGATCTGGTGATCACACTCCTCGGCAGCCTGAGTGACTCGTATCAATTCTTGATCACAGCTTTGGAGTCGCGCTCAGACACTCTTAGCTGGGAGCTCGTGACATCTCGACTGCTTCATGAAGAAATGGAGCAGAAGGAGCAAGGAAGTAAAGGTGATGAAGCTTCTCAAGGTCAAGCGTTCATTACAAGGGACAATCAGTGCAAAGGGAGAACAGTGAAGAAGTCTTGGCCGTGCCACAATTGCGGAAAGATTGGTCACTGAATGGCGGAGTGCCCCTCGCGCATTCAAGAAAACACGGAGAGACACCGTCCACAGTGCGCTCAAGACAGCGGCGACCGTTATCGATCACAACGTGCAAATGTCGCTCTAGAAGAAGGCTCGGGCGGCTACCCCTTCTCGATCGGTGAAACGACATCTGCTAAATAGAGCGGCATCTGGCTGGTCGACTTCGGAGCGACGCAGCACATGTCGTGCTCCAAGAAGTCCATGCGGAACTACAAGGTGTTTAACGCTGTGGATGTTCAGATCACGGATGACGAAATCGTCCAAGCAATCGGCAGTGGCGACATTGTCATGTCGATGAAGACACCCCAAGGGATAAAGAAAGGTGTGCTCACAAACGTGTGCCACATCCTAAAGTTAGCCAGAAACCTGCTCTCAGTCGGCCGCTTCACCAAGGATGTTGGCCCAGTGACGTTCACAAAGGATGGGTGCTATGGAGAAGCGAAAGGGACCAAGTGAAAAATTAGTGCCCGTGAAGGTAAAGGACTGTTCAAGCTGCAAATGACTTCAGTGGCGCCGGAACAAGCAAATGCAGCCAAGTCGTCGGGATGTCAAAGGGGCACCAAGTCGCACCTCTGGCACCTTCAGCTTGGCCACATAGGTCATGATGGACTCAATTGCATCGTGACGAAGAACATTGGAATTGGCATCGACATATCTTCGGTGAAGAAGTGTGACGTGTGTGAAGGTTGTGCTCTGGGAAAACAGACTCGAATGCGCTTCGAATCGAACACTACAGCTCGCACCTCCAAACTTCTCGAAGTGATTCACAGCGACGTATGCGGACCGATGTCGATGGCAACTTTCAGTGGAAAGCGGTACTTTGTGACATTCATCGACGACGAGTCAAGATAATGTGTCGTGTAACTGCTCAAGAGCAAATCTATAGTTGCGGTGAAGTTCATGGAATACGCTGCGATGGCCGAAACGCAAACCGGAAAGCGAGAAGTACCTTCAAAGTGACAATGGGGGTGAATACAAGTCCGACAAGTTGGCACGATTCTGCGCGGAACGGGGGACGCAACAAAGGTTCACCCCCCCAAATACTCCTCAGCTCAACGGAGTAGCTGAGAGAATGAATCGCACGCTGGTCGAGTGTGCACGCTGTATGATGGAACATGCTGGACTGGTAAAGAGCTACTGGGGTGAAGCAGTGATGACGTCGATGTTTCTTCGAAACCGCTGTCCAACACGTGCCATCCATCAAGACAAGTCTCCATATCAAGTGTGGACGATGAAGAAACCGATTCTGGCCAACCTTAAAGTGTTTGGATGCCACGCGTATTTTCAAGTGCCTCAAGACAAACGCGCGAAGTTCGACTCCAAGTCATCACTCTGTCGTTTCCTGGGGTGTTAAAGTCTGAAGAGCACTGGGCGAGAGAACGAAGCTGGAAGAACGCTGAAGAAGTCTGCACTGCGAAGTGTAGACTACTTGTGTAGGAGAAGGAATATTTGGAAGTGACTTTATTTGTGGGTTTGCTTAAGCTACCTGATTTATCTGTGTCCTGATTTATATGTTGTGCACATATAAATCGTGAATCAAAAATCATGTAGATCATCCAATCATCCTATGCGTCTAATCATTGGTCAGAACTCACCGTAATTACGCGAGATCGACTTGGACAGGTTTACGGTTTCCATGGTAGCTGATAACAGTACCTCAACCGTCAGCCCACAATACGCCCCTCGATGCGAACACGCGTGTATGCCGAGCGCTGCCGTCAAGTCCTTGTGACGCGGTCCTGGCAGTCCCTTGGTCATGATGTCCGCCAACATAATCGTAGTCTCACAGTACTCCAACTTGACATCACAACGCTTTGACTTCATCACGAATGTTATGGTACTTGATGTCGATGTGCTTGGCCCGACCATGGTTCACAGGATTCTTCGTCATCTTGACGCACGATTGGTTGTCTTCCATGATCTTGAGCTCGGGTCCAGACTTGTCCTCTGCTATATCCAGAATCTCGCACAGCAATCGATGCACCCACTTGCCTTCTTGAATCGCCAGACTTTGTGCAATGTACTCAGCTTCACTTGTTGACAGCGACACACTTGACTGCTTTTTGCTTCCCCAGCTCACCGGAGCACCCATCAGGATGAACGCATATCCCGAAGTCGACTTGCGGTCTGCATGGTCGCCGGCCCAGTCTGCATCCGAGTAGCCGCAGAAGTCTATCGTGTCATCAGACTTGAAACAGATGCCATGCGACTTAGTCCCTTGTAAGTATCGCAGAATGCACTTGACCGCCATCCAATGCTCGACTTGGGGGTTTTCCATGAAGCGCGAAACGTAACTCACCGCAAAGGCAATGTCCGGTCGTGTCGCGGTCATCAAGTGCATCAAAGCACCTACTGCTTCACGAAACGGGGCGTCGATTTTGGTTGCTGCGGTGCTTGGTATGAGTCGAGAACTGATGTCCGTTGGGCTGGTGACGGCTTTGCAGTCGCGCATGTCAAAACGATTGAGAACATCTTCGACGTAGCGTCGCTGGCACATCGTCACGCTACCGTTGTCGTTGTCCACCAGCTCGATGCCCAACACGAATGCGCACTTGCCGCTGTCGGTCATTTCGAAACGCGCCTTTAAGTCACTCTTGGTGCGCACAATTGGCTCAGTCGACCTTCCAGTCACCAACACATCATCGACGTATATCAGCAAAAGCACGCACTCGCCACTTGCAATCTTGAGATAAAGACACGGGTCAAAATCGGAGACTTGAAATTTAATGGAGCAGACGAGCTCATGAAAAGTCTCGTTCCATACGCGCGATGCTTGTTTTAGTCCGTAGATCGCCTTGACCAGTTCAAAGCAGTCAAAGTCTTCATCAACTTCGACTCCTTCTGGAATCGCACAGAATACCTTTTCCTTCATCTCTCCGTACAGGAAAGCTGTTACCACGTCCAGTTGGTCCAGTGTCCAGTCAAAGTACTTCGTGATTACAACCACCATGCGCAGCTTCACGTACTTGACTACCGGCAAAAACGTTTCCGTGTAGTCGATGCCATATTTCTGCTTGAACCCTTTTGCCACGAGACGCGCCTTGTATTTCTCGATGGATCCATCAGCTTTCCGTTTGATCTTGAATACCCACTTGGTGCCAATGGTATGCTGTCCAGCTGGCAGTTTGGTCGCTCGAAACACGCCACGAAGTTTCATCTAGTCCAACTCGGCACAGTTTGCTTTATGCCAATGCACTTGATCTGGTCCACCAACAGCATCTTTAAACGTTGTCGGCTCAGACAAGTCAGTACCTTCGACTGCATTGGCACTCGCTCGCCAAAAGACTTGAGGTGTAGCATCCTCGTTATCTTCGTCACTGCCCTTTTGCTCTTCGTCCAGATTGTCTCGAGCACTTGATCGTCGCTTCGCTTGGTGCGAATCAAAGTCATCCGGGGCACTTGCTTCTTCTAACCCGGTTCCACGACGCTCAAGAAGTGTCCGTTGTAGAACTTGTTCTTGACTGTTTGAACGGCTTTTGCGTTTTCCAGTTTGCTTAAACTGCATGGGGTGAGGCTCATCGCTGATGTTCATCGATTCGATATCCAGCGCAGTGTCATCAACAATTTCTTGTGGTAGCATCGGCGAGAAACCAAGCGTTGATTCGTCGAATGTGACATCGCGAGACATCACCACTTGGTCCGCTTCAATGTCGTAAACGCGATATGCCTTTGACACTTCTTCGTACCCCATGAATAGCCCTTCACGAGCCTTCGGATCCCATTTCGATCTCTTTTCCTTAGGGGTCAGCACAAACATTCGGCAGCCTGTTGCATTGTAGATCGGAGCGAGGAAAGCGGAGCGAACGGAGCGGAGAGACCGAAGAGAGTAGAGCAGAAAACACTTGCCCAATAGTTGGAAGATTCGAAAGTGATTGATTATCGGGGCTTACTACTTACTACATGGTTTATATGTGGTGCACATATAAATCATGTGAAGCGTCTCATCATCCTACGCGTCTAATCAACTATGTTAATTACCGTAAGAACTACGTCGTAAATACTAAGCTGAACAGGCGGTTCGGATTGGACCGGTCACGGTTACCAATACTGGTAGGAAACCGATGACCGTCAACACAGCCGAAAACCCGCATGCGCTTCACACTTGGTCGAAATCCGTTGACGATCTCGAATGGGGTTCGATCTTGGCACTTGGGCGATGGTAGGCGATTCTTGATGTAGATCGCCGTCATTGCTGCTTCAGCCCAAAAACACTTGTCCAGCTTGGCGTAGTGAAGCATGCTGCGCCCGATCGTCACAATGGTCCGAATTGCCCGTTCCGCCGTGCCGTTGGTCTGATGCGCATACGGAACGGTAACCTGCTACTCGATTCCTTGATCATTGAAAATGCCTTGAGTAAATTTGCCGCAAATTTGTGTGCACCATCGTGTCGAACGAACTTGACCTTGAAGTTAAACTGCGTCTGTACTGCCATGATGTACTTCTTGATGCACTCTTCGCTGTCGGACTTGGCGCGCAGACTGAAACCCTTCATGCATCCGCTGCCTTCATCGACGATCAGTAGCAAGTACTTGCTTCCACCTAGCGAGTCGTCTTCCATTGAACCACAAGTGTCGATGTGTAGAAGCTCAAACGAATCGTAGTGGCGCTTGTTTGGATTGCTTGGGAACGGTCGTTGAACCATTTTTCCTTCTAGACAACCTTGACACACGCTTGGTCCGCTCAATTTTGTTGGCATCTTGGCATCCTTGATCATGCCCTTGGAGACCATTCTGCACAAGACATCAACCGGTGCGTGGCCCATACGCGCATGAAGGTTTTCGACTCTTAGTCCTGAAGCCGCATTCGCGGATCGCTGGGATGTACGAAGCCAGTAGAGGCCATCCACAAGATCGGTCATCGCCATTACTTGCTTGGAGCCTTTGTTCGAAATCTTCATCTCGTCACCATCAAACACCACTTGAAACTTGCCGCTTTTGTTGATTTGTGGTATCGAAAGCAAGTTCTTGTTCATGCTTGGGACGTAAAGCGCGTTCTTGATCTCGACTTCACGCTCTTCACCATTGGACAGGATCACCTTTTCGACGATTGTCCCGACACCGTTGATTGCAGCCTTGTTCCCATCTGCAACCAACACTTCACCTTCATTGCGCTCGTCCAGAACTTCGTGTTGCATTGTAGATCGGAGCGAGGAAAGCGGAGCGAACGGAGCGGAGAGATCGAAGAGAGTAGAGTATAAAACACTTGCCCAATAGTTGGAAGATTCGAAAGTGATTGATTATCGGGGCTTACTACTTACTACATGATTTATATGTGGTGCACATATAAATCATGTGAAGCGTCTCATCATCCTACGCGTCTAATCAACTATGGTAATTACCGTAAGAACTACGTCGTAAATACTAAGCTGAACAGGCGGTTCGGATTGGACCGGTCACGGTTACCAACACTGGTAGAAAACCGATGACCGTCAACAATCACAGTTACCAATACTGGTAGAAAACCGATGACCGTCAACAACTCTCACCACATCTTGAGTGCGAAGATCGGTGCTGCTCATTTCCATGTTGAGCACCACATTTTCGTAGCTCTTCGGAAGACTGAGTAGCAGACAAATTGCAACGTCTTCGTCTTCCATCTTCGCACCGATGCCGCTAAGCTTGGCGGAGATGTTGAGGACCTCGTTGCAGTGATGCATGACGTTCGCGCCTTCAGCCATCTTGATACTAAAAAGTTGTCGCTTGAGGTAGATGCGTCCTGCCTTCTGCGACCCACCGTACAGCGTCTTCAGACTTGTCCACGCAACCCAGGCTTCCTCGCAGTTGTCCAGCACATGATGGTAGTCCGCGTTCATGTGCAGCAGCATCATACCAAACGCGACGTTGCTTGCCTTGATGTAGTCATCGGACGCTCGCGGGTCGGTGAAAGTCGGAGTCACTTCACGGTTGACGACGTGCCAGACGGACTTCGTCAAAAACACACCGCGCATGTACCGGCTCCACGTTGCGTAATTGTCTCCGTTGAACTTGTCAATGGAGGCGTTGCTGGTGGACGACACGGCGCTTGGGCTCATAACCTGCTGCATTGTAGATCGGAGCGAGGAAAGCGGAGCGAACGGAGCGGAGAGACCGAAGAGAGTAGAGCAGAAAACACTTGCCCAATAGTTGGAAGATTCGAAAGTGATTGATTATCGGGACTTACTACTTACTACATGATTTATATGTGGTGCACATATAAATAATGTGAAGCGTCTCATCATCCTACGCGTCTAATCAACTATGGTAATTACCGTAAGAACTACGTCGTAAATACTAAGCTGAACAGGCGGTTCGGATTGGACCGGTCACGGTTACCAATACTGGTAGGAAACCGATGACCGTCAACACAGCCGAAAACCCGCATGCGCTTCACACTTGGTCGAAATCCGTTGACGATCTCGAATGGGGTTCGATCTTGGCACTTGGGCGATGGTAGGCGATTCTTGATGTAGATCGCCGTCATTGCTGCTTCAGCCCAAAAACACTTGTCCAGCTTGGCGTAGTGAAGCATGCTGCGCCCGATCGTCACAATGGTCCGAATTGCCCGTTCCGCCGTGCCGTTGGTCTGATGCGCATACGGAACGGTAACCTGCTGCTCGATTCCTTGATCATTGAAAATGCCTTGAGCGAATTTGCCGCAAATTTGTGTGCACCATCGTGTCGAACGAACTTGACCTTGAAGTTAAACTGCGTCTGTACTGCCATGATGTACTTCTTGATGCACTCTTCGCTGTCGGACTTGGCGCGCAGACTGAAACCCTTCATGCATCCGCTGCCTTCATCGACGATCAGTAGCAAGTACTTGCTTCCACCTAGCGAGTCGTCTTCCATTGAACCACAAGTGTCGATGTGTAGAAGCTCAAACGAATCGTAGTGGCGCTTGTTTGGATTGCTTGGGAACGGTCGTTGAACCATTTTTCCTTCTAGACAACCTTGACACACGCTTGGTCCGCTCAATTTTGTTGGCATCTTGGCATCCTTGATCATGCCCTTGGAGACCATTCTGCACAAGACATCAACCGGTGCGTGGCCCATACGCGCATGAAGGTTTTCGACTCTTAGTCCTGAAGCCGCATTCGCGGATCGCTGGGATGTACGAAGCCAGTAGAGGCCATCCACAAGATCGGTCATCGCCATTACTTGCTTGGAGCCTTTGTTCGAAATCTTCATCTCGTCACCATCAAACACCACTTGAAACTTGCCGCTTTTGTTGATTTGTGGTATCGAAAGCAAGTTCTTGTTCATGCTTGGGACGTAAAGCGCGTTCTTGATCTCGACTTCACGCTCTTCACCATTGGACAGGATCACCTTTTCGACGATTGTCCCGACACCGTTGATTGCAGCCTTGTTCCCATCTGCAACCAACACTTCACCTTCATTGCGCTCGTCCAGAACTTCGTGTTGCATTGTAGATCGGAGCGAGGAAAGCGGAGCGAACGGAGCGGAGAGATCGAAGAGAGTAGAGTATAAAACACTTGCCCAATAGTTGGAAGATTCGAAAGTGATTGATTATCGGGGCTTACTACTTACTACATGATTTATATGTGGTGCACATATAAATCATGTGAAGCGTCTCATCATCCTACGCGTCTAATCAACTATGGTAATTACCGTAAGAACTACGTCGTAAATACTAAGCTGAACAGGCGGTTCGGATTGGACCGGTCACGGTTACCAACACTGGTAGGAAACCGATGACCGTCAACAATCACAGTTACCGATACTGGTAGAAAACCGATGACCGTCAACAACTCTCACCACATCTTGAGTGCGAAGATCGGTGCTGCTCATTTCCATGTTGAGCACCACATTTTCGTAGCTCTTCGGAAGACTGAGTAGCAGACAAATTGCAACGTCTTCGTCTTCCATCTTCGCACCGATGCCGCTAAGCTTGGCGGAGATGTTGAGGACCTCGTTGCAGTGATGCATGACGTTCGCGCCTTCAGCCATCTTGATACTAAAAAGTTGTCGCTTGAGGTAGATGCGTCCTGCCTTCTGCGACCCACCGTACAGCGTCTTCAGACTTGTCCACGCAACCCAGGCTTCCTCGCAGTTGTCCAGCACATGATGGTAGTCCGCGTTCATGTGCAGCAGCATCATACCAAACGCGACGTTGCTTGCCTTGATGTAGTCATCGGACGCTCGCGGGTCGGTGAAAGTCGGAGTCACTTCACGGTTGACGACGTGCCAGACGGACTTCGTCAAAAACACACCGCGCATGTACCGGCTCCACGTTGCGTAATTGTCTCCGTTGAACTTGTCAATGGAGGCGTTGCTGGTGGACGACACGGCGCTTGGGCTCATAACCTGCTGCATTGTAGATCGGAGCGAGGAAAGCGAAGCGAACGGAGCGGAGAGACCGAAGAGAGTAGAGCAGAAAACACTTGCCCAATAGTTGGAAGATTCGAAAGTGATTGATTATCGGGACTTACTACTTACTACATGATTTATATGTGGTGCACATATAAATCATGTGAAGCGTCTCATCATCCTACGCGTCTAATCAACTATGGTAATTACCGTAAGAACTACGTCGTAAATACTAAGCTGAACAGGCGGTTCGGATTGGACCGGTCACGGTTACCAATACTGGTAGGAAACCGATGACCGTCAACACAGCCGAAAACCCGCATGCGCTTCACACTTGGTCGAAATCCGTTGACGATCTCGAATGGGGTTCGATCTTGGCACTTGGGCGATGGTAGGCGATTCTTGATGTAGATCGCCGTCATTGCTGCTTCAGCCCAAAAACACTTGTCCAGCTTGGCGTAGTGAAGCATGCTGCGCCCGATCGTCACAATGGTCCGAATTGCCCGTTCCGCCGTGCCGTTGGTCTGATGCGCATACGGAACGGTAACCTGCTGCTCGATTCCTTGATCATTGAAAATGCCTTGAGCGAATTTGCCGCACATTAGCGTGCACCATCGTGTCGAACAAACTTGACCTTGTAGTTAAACTGCGTCTGTACTGCCATGATGTACTTCTTGATGTACTTCTTGATGCACTCTTCGCTGTCGGACTTGGCGCGCAGACTGAAACCCTTCATGCATCCGCTGCCTTCATCGACGATCAGTAGCAAGTACTTGCTTCCACCTAGCGAGTCGACTTCCATTGAACCACAAGTGTCGATGTGTAGAAGCTCAAACGAATCGTAGTGGCGCTTGTTTGGATTGCTTGGGAACGGTCGTTGAACCATTTTTCCTTCTAGACAACCTTGACACACGCTTGGTCCGCTCAATTTTGTTGGCATCTTGGCATCCTTGATCATGCCCTTGGAGACCATTCTGCACAAGACATCAACCGGTGCGTGGCCCATACGCGCATGAAGGTTTTCGACTCTTAGTCCTGAAGCCGCATTCGCGGATCGCTGGGATGTACGAAGCCAGTAGAGGCCATCCACAAGATCGGTCATCGCCATTACTTGCTTGGAGCCTTTGTTCGAAATCTTCATCTCGTCACCATCAAACACCACTTGAAACTTGCCGCTTTTGTTGATTTGTGGTATCGAAAGCAAGTTCTTGTTCATGCTTGGGACGTAAAGCGCGTTCTTGATCTCGACTTCACGCTCTTCACCATTGGACAGGATCACCTTTTCGACGATTGTCCCGACACCGTTGATTGCAGCCTTGTTCCCATCTGCAACCAACACTTCACCTTCATTGCGCTCGTCCAGAACTTCGTGTTGCATTGTAGATCGGAGCGAGGAAAGCGGAGCGAACGGAGCGGAGAGATCGAAGAGAGTAGAGTATAAAACACTTGCCCAATAGTTGGAAGATTCGAAAGTGATTGATTATCGGGGATTACTACTTACTACATGATTTATATGTGGTGCACATATAAATCATGTGAAGCGTCTCATCATCCTACGCGTCTAATCAACTATGGTAATTACCGTAAGAACTACGTCGTAAATACTAAGCTGAACAGGCGGTTCGGATTGGACCGGTCACGGTTACCAACACTGGTAGAAAACCGATGACCGTCAACACGCCCCCTCAATCCGAATGCTCACGAATCCCGAGAGCCGTCGTCATCTCCATGTGGCGATGTCCATGAAGTCCCTTCGTCATGATGTCCGCTAACATCACCGCAGTTTCACAGTACTTGAGCTTCACTTCACCGCGCTTGACCTCATCACGGATGTGATGGTACTTGATATCAATGTGCTTGGCACGGCCGTGGTTGACCGGGTTCTTCGTCATCTTGATACATGACTGATTGTCTTCATGAATCATGAGTTCCGGTCCTTCTTCATTGGCAGCCATCACGATCTCACAAAGCAGACGATGAATCCACTTGCCCTCTTGAATCGCCAAGCTGAGTGCGATGTATTCAGCTTCAGTCGTGGACAACGAAACACTTGGCTGCTTCTTGCTGCCCCAACTCACTGGCGCACCGAGTAGCATGAACGTGTACCCCGATGTTGACTTGCGGTCGGTAAGATCACCAGCCCAATCCGCATCCGAATATCTACGGAAGTCGATCCTTGCACTTGGCTTGTAGCAAATTCCATGCGTCTTGGTGCCTTGTAGATAGCGAAAGATACGCTTAACTGCAACCCAGTGTTCTTCTTGGGGATTTTCCATGAACCGCGACACATAGCCCACACCAAACGCAATGTCCGGACGCGTTGCAGTGGTCAGGTGCATCAACGCACCAACAGCTTCGCGAAAAGGAGCATCGACCTTGGTAGTTGCATCACTTGAAACAAGTCGAGAGCTCATGTCGACTGGACTTGCGACTGCCTTGCAATCATCCATGCCAAAGCGCTTGAGGATATCATCGACATACCGACGCTGACATAGTGTCACACTGCCATCTTCACCGTCCAAAAGCTCGATCCCAAGAACAAACGCACACTTGCCGCTGTCCGTCATCTCGAACCGCGTCTTCAGGTCGTTCTTGGTTTGTGCAATCAGCTCGAGCGAGCTTCCAGTCACCAAGACGTCGTCCACGAAGACCAGTATAAACACGCAATGGCCGTCCGAAGTCTTGATGTAGAGACATGGGTCGAAGTCCGATACTTGAAATCCGATGGAGCACACATACTCGTCGAACGTCTCGTTCCACACTCGCGACGCTTGCTTGAGGCCGTAAATTGACTTCACCAATTCCAGGCAGTCGAACGTACTGTCAAGTTCGACGCCTTCAGGAATCACACAGAACACTTGTTCCTTCATGATGCCATACAGGAAAGCCGTCACCACACCAAGCTGGTCGATGGGCCATCCAAAGTGCTTGAAAATTGCGATCACCATTCGCAGCGTCACATACTTGACCACAGGCGAAAACGTCTCCGTGTAGCCGATGCCATACTTTTGGCGGAAACCCTTGGCCACAAGTCGTGCCTTGTACTTCTCGATTGACCCATCCGCCTTGCGCTTGATCTTGAACACCCATTTTGTGCCAATGGCGTGTTGTCCGTTGGGCAGCTTGGCTGCACGAAACACACCGCGAAGTCGCATTGACTCGAGCTCTGCATGAATTGCTTTTCTCCAGTGCACTTGCCCAGGGCTGCTCACTGCCGCCTCAAATGTTGAGGGCTCTGATGAGTCCACTGCTGCTTCAACGGCATTTGCACTCGCACGCCAAAACACAGGTGGTGTTGAATCACCAGAATCCTTCGTTTCTTCGTCTTCTTCTTGGCGTGACGAGTTGTTTTCCGGCGCGCTTGACTCTTCTAGTCCTGGTCGTTGACGCACTGCACGCGGTCGTGGAGCTGCTGTATCTTCATCATTGAGTCGGTTCTTGCGCTTGCCTGTTTGCTTGTAATTCATTTGACGCAGCTCTTTGTCATCAAGATCCAGCAATTCGAAGTCCAGGTCATCGACATCTTCATCAGTGATCGGCAGTTGAAGTCCAAAGGTGGACTCGTCGAAGTTGACATCGCGGCTGATAACCACCTGCCCCGCCTCGATGTCATAAACACGATATGCCTTCGAAACTTCTTCGTAGCCCACGAATATGCCAGCGCGAGCCTTTGGATCCCACTTGAGTCGATTCTCTTTCGGCGTCAGTATGTATGTCTGACACCCGAATGTTCGCATGTGCTTGACGCTTAGTTTCAAGTTGTAGACGATCTCAAACGGGGTCTTGTGCACGACTTTAGGTGACGGCAGTCGATTCTTGACGTAGATGGCCGTCATCGCTGCTTCGGCTTAGAAACACTTGTCCAGTTTGGCATGATGAAGCATGTTGCGGCCGATCGTGACAATAGTCCTAATGACACGCTCTGCTTTTCCGTTTGTTTGATGTGCATACGGCACCGTTGTCTGCTGTTCAATGCCTTCGTCTTCGTAGAAAAGTTGAAGCGAGTTGGTTGCAAACTCGCGAGCTCCGTCGTGTCGCACGAACTTGACCTTCTTACAGAATTGCGTCTGTACCATGGTGATATATTTCCGGATGTAGTCTTCACTCTCGGACTTCACTCGTAGACAAAAGCCCTTCATGCATCCACTGGCTTCGTCGATGATCAGCAGCAAATATTTGCTGCCACAGAGCGAATCCTTTTCCATGGGCCCGCAGATGTCCAGATGAAGCAGCTCAAACGTATCGTAGCTGCGCTTGTCTCGGTTGCTTGGAAATGGTTTTTGGACCATTTTCCCTTGTTGACATCCTCGACATGTAGTTGCTCCACCCGACTTGAGAGGGACTCGCACATCCTTGATCATGTTGGTCGCGAGGGCGTCATCTTGCGAAGTACATCGACTGGAGCATGACCCATTCTCGCATGTAGATCGGCACAACTGGTTCCACTTGTTGTCACATTCGCTGATCGTTGAGTCGTCCGAAGCCAGTAGAGTCCATCCACGAGATCCGCTGTCACCACCACTTGCTGTGAGTTCTTGAGAGTCACATACATCTTGGACCCGTCAAACACGACTTGAAACTTGCCATGGCTGTTAATCTGTGGTACCGAGAGCAGGTTCTTGCTCATACTTGGAACATATAGCGCGTTCTTGATTTCGATCTCACGCTCTTCACCGTTGGGCAGAACCACCTTTTCCATGATGGTTCCCACACCCTTGATGGCCACCTTGTTGCCATCAGCCACCAAGAGTTCGCCCTCATTGCGCTCTGCCAAACTTGCGAACTTGGTCTTGTCGTGGCAAATGTGGTGCATTGCACCACTGTCGACGGCCCACATTCCAGACACGTCCTTGCTCGTCGAAACTCCACATTCGAACGAGACTGCAAACGCCACTAGATCGTAGCTATTGCCTTCATCATGATGTCCCCACTGGACATTGTTAGCCCCGCGTCCACGACCATTGCCGCCGCGTCGGGCTCCCCGACCTTCGTTCTTCTGCTTTGCCCAGCAACGATCAACCGTGTGTCCCACCTTGCCACAATACGTGCATTGGTAGGGCTCACGCTCGGCGCTGAATGCCTTGCTTGCATCTTCAGCCTTCACCGTAGTCGCTGTCGTTGTCCCTTTTTCTCCTTGACGCTTGGCATGCTCATTCGTCAGGACTCTCACCACATCTTGAGTGCGAAGCTCGGTGCTGCTCATTTCCATGTTGAGCACCACATTTTCGTAGCTCTTCGGAAGACTGAGTAGCAGACAAATTGCAACGTCTTCGTCTTCCATCTTCGCACCGATGCCGCTAAGCTTGGCGGAGATGTTGAGGACCTCGTTGCAGTGATGCATGACGTTCGCGCCTTCAGCCATCTTGATACTGAAAAGTTGTCGCTTGAGGTAGATGTGTCCTGCCTTCTGCGACCCACCGTACAGCGTCTTCAGACTTGTCCACGCAACCCAGGCTTCCTCGCAGTTGTCCAGCACATGATGGTAGTCCGCGTTCATGTGCAGCAGCATCATACCAAACGCGACGTTGATCGCCTTGACGTAGTCATCGGACGCTTGCGAGTCGGTGAAAGTCGGAGTCACTTCACGGTTGACGACATGCCAGACGGACTTCGTCAAAAACACACCGCGCATGTACCGGCTCCACGTTGCGTAATTGTCTCCGTTGAACTTGTCAATGGAGGCGTTGCTGGTGGACGACATGGCGCTTGGGCTCATAACCTGTTGCATTGTAGATCGGAGCGAGAAAAGCGGAGCGAACGGAGCGGAGAGACCGAAGAGAGTAGAGCAGAAAACACTTGCCCAATAGTTGGAAGATTCGAAAGTGATTGATTATCGGGACTTACTACTTACTACATGATTTATATGTGGTGTACATATAAATCATGTGAAGCGTCTCATCATCCTACGCGTCTAATCAACTATGGTAATTACCGTAAGAACTACGTCGTAAATACTAAGCTGAACAGGCGGTTCGGATTGGACCGGTCACGGTTACCAACACTGGTAGAAAACCGATGACCGTCAACACGCCCCCTCAATCCGAATGCTCACGAATCCCGAGAGCCGTCGTCATCTCCTTGTGGCGTGGTCCATGAAGTCCCTTCGTCATGATGTCCGCTAACATCACCGCAGTTTCACAGTACTTGGGCTTCACTTCACCGCGCTTGACCTCATCACGGATGTGATGGTACTTGATATCAATGTGCTTGGCACGGCCGTGGTTGACCGGGTTCTTCGTCATCTTGATACATGACTGATTGTCTTCATGAATCATGAGTTCCGGTCCTTCTTCATTGGCAGCCATCACGATCTCATAAAGCAGACGATGAATCTACTTTCCCTCTTGAATCGCCAAGCTAAGTGCAATGTATTCAGCTTCAGTCGTGGACAACGAAACACTTGGCTGCTTCTTGCTGCCCCAACTCACTGGCGCACCGAGTAGCATGAACGTGTACCCCGATGTTGACTTGCGGTCGGTAAGATCACCAGCCCAATCCGCATCCGAATATCTACGGAAGTCGATCCTTGCACTTGGCTTGTAGCAAATTCCATGCGTCTTGGTGCCTTGTAGGTAGCGAAAGATACGCTTAACTGCAACCCAGTGTTCTTCTTGGGGATTTTCCATGAACCGCGACACATAGCCCACACCAAACGCAATGTCCGGACGCGTTGCAGTGGTCAGGTGCATCAACGCACCAACAGCTTCGCGAAAAGGAGCATCGACCTTGGTAGTTGCATCACTTGAAACAAGTCGAGAGCTCATGTCGACTGGACTTGCGACTGCCTTGCAATCATCCATGCCAAAGCGCTTGAGGATATCATCGACATACCCACGCTGACATAGTGTCACACTGCCATCTGTTAAAGTTAAACAGAGCGTTGAAGTGAAGATGACTGTTGGTCGAAGTAGCAAAACCAAAAGTGAATTTTGTTCGAGTGCCAACTCGATCCTACCGTTGCTACTCATCCTTCCGATCCATTTTTTATGCTTCCCGTCCCATCAATGCAGCAAATCCTTTCCCATGTTCCGTTCCCATGTTCCGTTCCTATAACGGGATCTCTGGTGTGGCACACAGCTTTCCGTTGACACACAAAATGGACACAAAATGGGGGACGTCACTGTCTGGCAGGACAGTGCTGGTGAACCCCAAACACCAGGACCCGAAGGTTTAACTTTTGCCGCCGGGTATCGAACCAGTGACCTCTGGGTTATGGCTGCCACACATAACCACTTGAACTACAGCAAGCTTGGTCTACGAGTAGTACTACTGATTCTAACCTCTAACCCATGGACACACTAATCCATCCTAATGTCCATCTCACACATGTCGCATCACCTAATGTTAACACTCTCCCTTGATGCGCACACGTATTCCTGGAATCGCTTACACTTCCAGATGTAGACCTTGCAGAAAAACGGCATGCTTGGTACGCCCGAGAGCCTTCGTCAAGCCGTCTGCAATCATCGCTTCTGTTGGCATGTACTCAAGCTCAATGACGCCTTCCTCAACCTTGTCGCGAAGGAAGTGATACTTGATGTCGATATGTTTTGTTCTTGCATGGTAGACTGGATTCTTCGCCAGCGCAATACAGCCTTGATTGTCTTCATAGATGGTTGTAGCCGCTCCAAGTTCTACGCCAATGTCGGATAGTAATAGTCGTAGCCACACCGCCTCTTGCGCTGCAGCGTACAAAGATATGTACTCAGCCTCGGTGCTAGACGTCGCCACTGTCGGTTGTCTCTTCGACTTCCACGACACCACATTGCCGTGCAGAAAGAAAACGTAGCCTGTCGTCGAGCGGCGAGAATCCAGGTCACTTGCCCATGACGCATCAGCAAAACCGAGCAACTCTCCCTTATCGGTGCCGTGAAATACAATGCTGTAATCTGCAGTTGTCGTCAGGTATTTCAGAACACGCTTGGCCGCGATCCAGTGGCTTTTTCCATGCCTTTCGCAGTATTTAGCCACTTCTCCTACCGCGTGCATGATGTCTGGTCTAGTGCACGTTGCAACGTACATAAGTGCACCAACTAGCTCACGGTAAGGCCACTTCGGCACGAATTCATCATCGTCCCCCAGCTTGGTCAGCTTTTCACTTTCGTTTGACGGTGTGTGCACGTCCTTGCATTGGTCGACGCCGAATTTCTCAGTCAAACGCTTGATGTAAGCACGCTGATTCATTCGAATAGATTTGCTCTTGCGATCACGCGTCAATTCGATGCCAAGACAGTACTTCAGTTCGCCGAGCTCTTTAATACTGAACTCGGTCTTGAGTGCACGCTTGATGTCATCGATGTGTTCTTGCGTCCGAGCGAAGAGCATCAAGTCGTCAACGTGAATGATCACCGGACTAAATTGAGTATCCGATTGTCGCACATAGACACAGAGATCGGCAGACGTACGCGTGAACCCTTGGCTTTCAAGGTGTGCGTTAAGACGATGATTCCATTCTCGTGCCGCTTGCTTTGTACCGTACAAAGCTTTGTTTAGCAGACACTTCTTGTCACGGTGTTGCTTGTCCACAAATCCATCCGTCTGATCCATGTAGATCTCTTCCTTGACTTCACCGTAGAGGAAAGCGGTGTCAACGTCAACGTTCTCCATTATCAAATCTTGCTCCGCCGCAAGTGCTATAGCAACGTTGATTGACTCTTTTCGTGCTACTAAAGCAAACGTCTCAAAATAGTCCACACCAGGACGCTGGGAGAATCCCTTCGCTACGAGTCGTGCCTTGAACTTCACGATTTCTCCGTTAGGTTTGCGCTTTATGCGAAATACCCACTTGCAACCTATTGATCTTTTGTCCGAGGGTAAATCTTGAAGCGTCCATGTGTCGTGCTGTGTCAAAGCTTGAATCTCACTTTTCATTGCACGTATCCAGTCGTCCTTGTACTTGCTTTCCAACACTTGAGAGTATGTCGATGCGCTTTCACCATCCTCTTTAGCGCTCAAACAGTACTGCGTCGCGTAGCTAGCGTCATAGTCGTCAAGGTTGAAGGTTCCTCGCCGTAGATTGGGAAACTCTTGCTCGTAGCGCTTGATTGCTCGCTTCTTGCGTGCTGGTCTCACATTCCACTCTTGTTCGCCGTCTCGTCCTGGTGTGCTTGATTGTCGTGTGGTTACTGCTCCGGTTGGTCTGTCCATCGGTACTGTACTATTTGGTGTCATAATTGGACTTCCTGGTACCGGCGTGCAGGTTCCCTCATCGCTTATTGCGTGGTCCCTCGGATCCTGCAGATCGTCGCCATCGCCAACGACGTCAATTACACTAGGCGTATCTTCGTAGCGTGTCTGTTCCACGGCAGTCTCCACAAAAGTCACACTCCGGGAAACGAACACTTTTCCAGTCGCTGTATTTAGAAGTCGATACGCTTTGTGTTGTTTGGCGTATCCGAGCAGCATACACCGCACACCGGAGGGGTCCAACTTGTTCCGATTTTGTTTGGGAATATGCACGTAGCAAAGACTTCCAAATACGCGCATTATATCCATACGAGGTTTGCGCTTGAACACCATCTCGAACGGGTTTAGGTTCGGACTTGAAGCTCGTGGAAGAACGTTGAGAATATCCACAGCGGTCAGCATCGCCTCACACCAGAATGTTTTATCCATCTTGGATTCGCTCAGCATACAGCGCGTCATCTCGACTAGTGTGCGATTAAGCCGCTCCGCCATGCCATTCTGCTCCGGATTATACGGCACTGTGAACTCTTGCTTTATCATCTCTTGATGGCAGAATCGAGTCATCTCGTCATTACGGTACTCACCGCCGTTATCACTGCGTAGTACCTTCACGTCCAAACCGCATTCGATTTTGATATCGTGACAGTACCTTTTAAATGCTTTCGTGACTTCACTCTTTTTTCGTAGCGGGAATACCATCGCAAAGCGGCTGTTCATCATCATGAACGTCGCAACGTATCGATAGTTCGATCTTGATGCTGGTGTTATCGGTCCTAGAACATCCGAGCATATGACTGAGTCCATACGATGACTCTCCCTCGCTTCTGCATCAGCCTTAGTGCTGTGGAAAGTCTTGCGTACTTGCTTGGCTGTTGCACATATGTCACAGACGACATTCGAGTCCAAGCATTTTCCTTTAATGCAGCCGTCTTGAATCAGCTTGTTCACAGTCGAGTATGACACGTGTCCAAGTCGGCGGTGCCACAGTTCAGCTTCACCCTCCACCATATGGCATTGTGGACTTTCTTCGACATTTAGATTGATAAGCATACCACATCGCTTTCCTGTCGCGACGATTCGCCCGCTCTTTAAAACAGTGCACCCGTCGCTGGTGATTTCAACCGTCATCCCGCGTGCAGTAGCTGCTGTCAGTGGGAACAGGTTCTTAAGGAGATCTTGCACGTGCAGTGTATTTTCCAGCTGGGCATTAATCCACAACGTGCCATTCCAAACACGCAAGATCACCGTGCCTTGTCCAAGCACCTTTAAGCTTGCACTGTTTATCGCGCTTTTCACATTGCGTGCCGTCGGTGATGCCGTATAGTCGATAAACGCGTCTTTGTCCTTGCACATGTGCGCCGTTGCGCCGCTGTCCATGATCCAGCAGTCGCTCGTATTTCCTTGAGTTACTGTGACCGCCACATTCGAGTGGTCTTCTTGTCTCTCGCCATTAGCAGCTTTCTTTTTCCTGCAGTCTCGCGCGTAGTGTCCGCGCTTACCACAATTAAAGCACTGAACACTTGACCCTGTCTTCCGCGGACCACCGCTCCTTTTGTTAAAGCTTTTCTTCTCCTGTCGTTTCCCGACATGTAGCGCTGTCTCGTCTTCAATGCGCGTCGAATCCTTCTTGCGCACTTCCTCGGCGATCAGCTTGCTCACCAGATCTTTAAAGCTGAATTGTGTGACGCTCATGCGAAAAGCCTGCACCAGTCCCTCGTATTGCGCCGGGAGACTTCGCAGCAACGTTGCACACGTATCTTCTTCACTTGGTCCACACGAAGCTCCATTCATTTCCAGCACGAGCCGCTCCAGCTCCATAACGTGGGCGCTCATGTCCGATGCCGTAAACTTGAATGTCGCAAACTTCTCCTTTAGCCACAGCCGACTTGCCATGTCTTGGGTCCGATGAACTCGCGCGAGTGCTCCCCATGCTTCGCATGCACTACTCGTTGTAATGACATGCATGAGCTGAGTATCGCTCAAGTTGAGCACGATTGCCGCATGCGCCTGCTGCTCCTTCGCCTCGGAGACGCCAGATGTGGCGTTAACCGCTTCCCATAACCCCTTGGAGATGAGGTACATCTTCATCTTGAACGCCCATAACGGATAGTTTGTGCCGTCAAACTGTGCCACCTTGGGCGTGGAGTCGTTACTTGGGCTCATAACCTGTTAAAGTTAACAGAGCGTTGAAGTGAAGATGACTGTTGGTCGAAGTAGCAAAACCAAAAGTGAATTATGTTTGAGTGCCAACTCGATCCTACCGTTGCTACTCATCCTTCCGATCCATTCTTCATGCTACCCGTCCCATCAATGCAGCAAATCCTTTCCCATGTTCCTTTCCCATGTTCCTTTCCCATGTTCCGTTCCCATGTTCCGTTCCTATAACGGGATCTCTGGTGTGGCACACAGCTTTCCGTTGACACACAAAATGGACACAAAATGGGGGACGTCACTGTCTGGCAGGACAGTGCTGGTGAACCCCAAACACCAGGACCCGAAGGTTTAACTTTTGCCGCCGGGTATCGAACCAGTGACCTCTGGGTTATGGCTGCCACACATAACCACTTGAACTACAGCAAGCTTGGTCTACGAGTAGTACTACTGATTCTAACCTCTGACCCATGAACACACTAATCCATCCTAATGTCCATCTCACACATGTCGCATCACCTAATGTTAACACCATCTTCACCGTCAAAAAGCTCGATCCCAAGAACAAACGCACACTTGCCGCTGCCCGTCATCTCGAACCGCGTCTTCAGGTCGTTCTTGGTTTGTGCAATCAGCTCGAGCGAGCTTCCAGTCACCAAGACGTCGTCCACGAAGACCAGTATAAACACGCAATGGCCGTCCGAAGTCTTGATGTAGAGACATGGGTCGAAGTCCGATACTTGAAATCCGATGGAGCACACATACTCGTCGAACGTCTCGTTCCACACTCGCGACGCTTGCTTGAGGCCGTAAATTGACTTCACCAATTCCAGGCAGTCGAACGTACTGTCAAGTTCGACGCCTTCAGGAATCACGCAGAACACTTGTTCCTTCATGACGCCATACAGGAAAGCTGTCACCACATCAAGCTGGTCGATGGGCCATCCAAAATGCTTGGAAATTGCGATCACCATTCGCAGCGTCACATACTTGACCACAGGCGAAAACGTCTCCGTGTAGTCGATGCCATACTTTTGGCGGAAACCCTTGGCCACAAGTCGTGCCTTGTACTTCTCGATTGACCCATCCGCCTTGCGCTTGATCTTGAACACCCATTTTGCGCCAATGGCGCGTTGTCCGTTGGGCAGCTTGGCTGCACGAAACACACCGCGAAGTCGCATTGACTCGAGCTCTGCATGAATTGCTTTTCTCCAGTGCACTTGGTCAGGGCAGCTTACTGCTGCTTCAAATGTTGATGTGCATACGGCACCGTTGTCTGCTGTTCAATTCCTTCGTCTTCGTAGAACAGTTGAAGCGAGTTGGTTGCAAACTCGCGAGCTCCGTCGTGTCGCACGAACTTGACCTTCTTACAGAATTGCGTCTGTACCATGGTGATATATTTCCGGATGTAGTCTTCACTCTCGGACTTCACTCGTAGACAAAAGCCCTTCATGCATCCACTGGCTTCGTCGATGATCAGCAGCAAATATTTGCTGCCACCGAGCGAATCCTTTTCCATGGGCCCGCAGATGTCCAGATGAAGTAGCTCAAACGTATCGTAGCTGCGCTTGTCTCGGTTGCTTGGAAATGGTTTTTGGACCATCTTCCCTTGTTGACATCCTCGACATGTAGTTGCTCCACCCGACTTGAGAGGGACTCGCACATCCTTGATCATGTTGGTCGCGAGGGGCGATCATCTTGCGAAGTACATCGACTGGAGCATGACCCATTCTCGCATGTAGATCGGCACAACTGGTTCCACTTGTTGTCACATTCGCTGATCGTTGAGTCGTCCGAAGCCAGTAGAGTCCATCGACAAGATCGGCTGTTACCACCACTTGCTGTGAGTTCTTGAGAGTCACATACATCTTGGACCCGTCAAACACGACTTGAAACTTGCCATGGCTGTTAATCTGTGGTACCGAGAGCAGGTTCTTGCTCATACTTGGAACATATAGCGCGTTCTTGATTTCGATCTCACGCTCTTCACCGTTGGGCAGAACCACCTTTTCCATGATGGTTCCCACACCCTTGATGGCCACCTTGTTGCCATCAGCCACCAAGAGTTCGCCCTCATTGCGCTCTGCCAAATTGCGAACTTGGTCTTGTCGTGGCAAATGTGGTGCGTTGCACCACTGTCGACGGCCCACATTCCAGACACGTCCTTGCTCGTCGAAACTCCGCATTCGAACGAGACTGCAAACGCCACTCGATCGTAGCCATTGCCTTCATCATGATGTCCCCACTGGACATTGTTAGCCCCGCGTCCACGACCATTGCCGCCGCGTCGGGCTCCCCGACCTTCGTTCTTCTGCTTTGTCCAGCAACGATCCACCGTGTGTCCCACCTTGCCACAATACGTGCATTGGTAGGGCTCACGCTCGGCGCTGAATGCCTTGCTTGCATCTTCAGCCTTCACCGTAGTCGATTTTGTTGTCCCTTTTTCTCCTTGACGCTTGGCATGCTCATTCGTCAGGACTCTTGTTGCATTGTAGATCGGAGCGAGGAAAGCGGAGCGAACGGAGCGGAGAGACCGAAGAGAGTAGAGCAGAAAACACTTGCCCAATAGTTGGAAGATTCGAAAGTGATTGATTATCGGGACTTACTACTTACTACATGATTTATATGTGGTGTACATATAAATCATGTGAAGCGTCTCATCATCCTACGCGTCTAATCAACTATGTTAATTACCGTAAGAACTACGTCGTAAATACTAAGCTGAACAGGCGGTTCGGATTGGATCGGTCACGGTTACCAACACTGGTAGAAAACCGATGACCGTCAACAGTCACGGTTACCAATACTGGTAGAAAACCGATGACCGTCAACACGCCCCCTCAATCCGAATGCTCACGAATCCCGAGAGCCGTCGTCATCTCCTTGTGGCGTGGTCCATGAAGTCCCTTCGTCATGATGTCCGCTAACATCACCGCAGTTTCACAGTACTTGAGCTTCACTTCACCGCGCTTGACCTCATCACGGATGTGATGGTACTTGATATCAATGTGCTTGGCACGGCCGTGGTTGACCGGGTTTTTCGTCATCTTGATACATGACTGATTGTCTTCATGAATCATGAGTTCCGGTCCTTCTTCATTGGCAGCCATAACGATCTCACAAAGCAGACGATGAATCCACTTGCCCTCTTGAATCGCCAAGCTAAGTGCAATGTATTCAGCTTCAGTCGTGGACAACGAAACACTTGGCTGCTTCTTGCTGCCCCAACTCACTGGCGCACCGAGTAGCATGAACGTGTACCCCGATGTTGACTTGCGGTCGGTAAGATCACCAGCCCAATCCGCATCCGAATATCTACGGAAGTCGATCCTTGCACTTGGCTGGTAGCAAATTCCATGCGTCTTGGTGCCTTGTAGGTAGCGAAAGATACGCTTAACTGCAACCCAGTGTTCTTCTTGGGGATTTTCCATGAACCGCGACACATAGCCCACAGCAAACGCAATGTCCGGACGCGTTGCAGTGGTCAGGTGCATCAAAGCACCAACCGCTTCGCGAAACGGAGCATCCACCTTGGTAGTTGCATCGCTTGAAACGAGTCGAGAGCTCATGTCGACTGGACTTGCGACTGCCTTGCAATCATCCATGCCAAAGCGCTTGAGGATATCATCGACATACCGACGCTGACATAGTGTCACACTGCCATCTTCACCGTCCAAAAGCTCAATTCCAAGAACAAATGCACACTTGCCGCTATCAGTCATCTCGAAGCGTGTCTTCAGGTCTTCCTTGGTGTGTGCAATCAACTTGGGTGAGCTTCCTGTCACCAACACGTCATCCACAAAGACCAGTATAAACACGCAATGGCCGTCCGAAGTCTTGATGTAGAGACATGGGTCGAAGCCTGACACTTGAAATCCAATGGAACACACATACTCGTCGAAAATCTCGTTCCAAACGCGCGAGGCTTGCTTCAGGCCGTAAATTGCCTTCACCAATTCCAGGCAGTCGAACGTACTGTCAAGTTCGACGCCTTCAGGAATCACGCAAAACACTTGCTCCTTCATTACTCCATACAGGAATGCTGTCACCACATCAAGCTGGTCGATGGGCCATCCAAAATGCTTGGAAATTGCGATCACCATTCGCAGCGTCACATGCTTGACCACGGGCGAAAACGTCTCCGTGTAGTCGATTCCATACTTTTGGCGAAAGCCCTTTGCCGCGAGACGTGCCTTGTACTTCTCGATTGACCCATCCGCCTTGCGCTTGATCTTGAACACCCATTTTGTGCCAATGGCGCGTTGTCCTTGGGCAGCTTGGCTGCACGAAACACACCGCGAAGTCGCATTGACTCGAGCTCTGCATGAATTGCTTTTCTCCAGTGCACTTGGTCAGGGCCGCTTACTGCTGCTTCAAATGTTGATGTGCATACGGCACCGTTGTCTGCTGTTCAATTCCTTCGTCTTCGTAGAACAGTTGAAGCGAGTTGGTTGCAAACTCGCGAGCTCCGTCGTGTCGCACGAACTTGACCTTCTTACAGAATTGCGTCTGTACCATGGTGATATATTTCCGGATGTAGTCTTCACTCTCGGACTTCACTCGTAGACAAAAGCCCTTCATGCATCCACTGGCTTCGTCGATGATCAGCAGCAAATATTTGCTGCCACCGAGCGAATCCTTTTCCATGGGCCCGCAGATGTCCAGATGAAGCAGCTCAAACGTATCGTAGCTGCGCTTGTCTCGGTTGCTTGGAAATGGTTTTTGGACCATTTTCCCTTGTTGACATCCTCGACATGTAGTTGCTCCACCCGACTTGAGAGGGACTCGCACATCCTTGATCATGTTGGTCGCGAGGGGCGATCATCTTGCGAAGTACATCGACTGGAGCATGACCCATTCTCGCATGTAGATCGGCACAACTGGTTCCACTTGTTGTCACATTCGCTGATCGTTGAGTCGTCCGAAGCCAGTAGAGTCCATCCACGAGATCCGCTGTCGCCACCACTTGCTGTGAGTTCTTGAGAGTCACATACATCTTGGACCCGTCAAACACGACTTGAAACTTGCCATGGCTGTTAATCTGTGGTACCGAGAGCAGGTTCTTGCTCATACTTGGAACATATAGCGCGTTCTTGATTTCGATCTCACGCTCTTCACCGTTGGGCAGAACCACCTTTTCCATGATGGTTCCCACACCCTTGATGGCCACCTTGTTGCCATCAGCCACCAAGAGTTCGCCCTCATTGCGCTCTGCCAAACTTGCGAACTTGGTCTTGTCGTGGCAAATGTGGTGCGTTGCACCACTGTCGACGGCCCACATTCCAGACACGTCCTTGCTCGTCGAAACTCCACATTCGAACGAGACTGCAAACGCCACTCGATCGTAGCCATTGCCTTCATCATGATGTCCCCACTGGACATTGTTAGCCCCGCGTCCACGACCATTGCCGCCGCGTCGGGCTCCCCGACCTTCGTTCTTCTGCTTTGTCCAGCAACGATCCACCGTGTGTCCCACCTTGCCACAATACGTGCATTGGTAGGGCTCACGCTCGGCGCTGAATGCCTTGCTTGCATCTTCAGCCTTCACCGTAGTCGATTTTGTTGTCCCTTTTTCTCCTTGACGCTTGGCATGCTCATTCGTCAGGACTCTTGTTGCATTGTAGATCGGAGCGAGGAAAGCGGAGCGAACGGAGCGGAGAGACCGAAGAGAGTAGAGCAGAAAACACTTGCCCAATAGTTGGAAGATTCGAAAGTGATTGATTATCGGGACTTACTACTTACTACATGATTTATATGTGGTGTACATATAAATCATGTGAAGCGTCTTATCATCCTACGCGTCTAATCAACTATGTTAATTACCGTAAGAACTACGTCGTAAATACTAAGCTGAACAGGCGGTTCGGATTGGATCGGTCACGGTTACCAACACTGGTAGAAAACCGATGACCGTCAACAGTCACGGTTACCAATACTGGTAGAAAACCGATGACCGTCAACACGCCCCCTCAATCCGAATGCTCACGAATCCCGAGAGCCGTCGTCATCTCCTTGTGGCGTGGTCCATGAAGTCCCTTCGTCATGATGTCCGCTAACATCACCGCAGTTTCACAGTACTTGAGCTTCACTTCACCGCGCTTGACCTCATCACGGATGTGATGGTACTTGATATCAATGTGCTTGGCACGGCCGTGGTTGACCGGGTTCTTCGTCATCTTGATACATGACTGATTGTCTTCATGAATCATGAGTTCCGGTCCTTCTTCATTGGCAGCCATCACGATCTCACAAAGCAGACGATGAATCCACTTGCCCTCTTGAATCGCCAAGCTAAGTGCAATGTATTCAGCTTCAGTCGTGGACAACGAAACACTTGGCTGCTTCTTGCTGCCCCAACTCACTGGCGCACCGAGTAGCATGAACGTGTACCCCGATGTTGACTTGCGGTCGGTAAGATCACCAGCCCAATCCGCATCCGAATATCTACGGAAGTCGATCCTTGCACTTGGCTGATAGCAAATGCCATGCGACTTGGTTCCTTGTAGGTAGCGAAAGATACGCTTAACTGCAACCCAGTGTTCTTCTTGGGGATTTTCCATGAACCGCGACACATAGCCCACACCAAACGCAATGTCCGGACGCGTTGCAGTGGTCAGGTGCATCAATGCACCAACAGCTTCGCGAAAAGGAGCATCGACCTTGGTAGTTGCATCACTTGAAACAAGTCGAGAGCTCATGTCGACTGGACTTGCGACTGCCTTGCAATCATCCATGCCAAAGCGCTTGAGGATATCATCGACATACCGACGCTGACATAGTGTCACACTGCCATCTTCACCGTCCAAAAGCTCGATCCCAAGAACAAACGCACACTTGCCGCTGTCCGTCATCTCGAACCGCGTCTTCAGGTCGTTCTTGGTTTGTGCAATCAGCTCGAGCGAGCTTCCAGTCACCAAGACGTCGTCCACGAAGACCAGTATAAACACGCAATGGCCGTCCGAAGTCTTGATGTAGAGACATGGGTCGAAGTCCGATACTTAAAATCCGATGGAGCACACATACTCGTCGAACGTCTCGTTCCACACTCGCGACGCTTGCCTGAGGCCGTAAATTGACTTCACCAATTCCAGGCAGTCGAACGTACTGTCAAGTTCGACGCCTTCAGGAATCACGCAGAACACTTGTTCCTTCATGACGCCATACAGGAAAGCTGTCACCACATCAAGCTGGTCGATGGGCCATCCAAAGTGCCTGGAAATTGCGATCACCATTCGCAGCGTCACATACTTGACCACAGGCGAAAACGTCTCCGTGTAGTCGATGCCATACTTTTGGCGGAAACCCTTGGCCACAAGTCGTGCCTTGTACTTCTCGATTGACCCATCCGCCTTGCGCTTGATCTTGAACACCCATTTTGTGCCAATGGCGCGTTGTCCGTTGGGCAGCTTGGCTGCACGAAACACACCGCGAAGTCGCATTGACTCGAGCTCTGCATGAATTGCTTTTCTCCAGTGCACTTGGTCAGGGCCGCTTACTGCTGCTTCAAATGTTGATGTGCATACGGCACCGTTGTCTGCTGTTCAATTCCTTCGTCTTCGTAGAACAGTTGAAGCGAGTTGGTTGCAAACTCGCGAGCTCCGTCGTGTCGCACGAACTTGACCTTCTTACAGAATTGCGTCTGTACCATGGTGATATATTTCCGGATGTAGTCTTCACTCTCGGACTTCACTCGTAGACAAAAGCCCTTCATGCATCCACTGGCTTCGTCGATGATCAGCAGCAAATATTTGCTGCCACAGAGCGAATCCTTTTCCATGGGCCCGCAGATGTCCAGATGAAGCAGCTCAAACGTATCGTAGCTGCGCTTGTCTCGGTTGCTTGGAAATGGTTTTTGGACCATCTTCCCTTGTTGACATCCTCGACATGTAGTTGCTCCACCCGACTTGAGAGGGACTCGCACATCCTTGATCATGTTGGTCGCGAGGGGCGATCATCTTGCGAAGTACATCGACTGGAGCATGACCCATTCTCGCATGTAGATCGGCACAACTGGTTCCACTTGTTGTCACATTCGCTGATCGTTGAGTCGTCCGAAGCCAGTAGAGTCCATCGACAAGATCGGCTGTTACCACCACTTGCTGTGAGTTCTTGAGAGTCACATACATCTTGGACCCGTCAAACACGACTTGAAACTTGCCATGGCTGTTAATCTGTGGTACCGAGAGCAGGTTCTTGCTCATACTTGGAACATATAGCGCGTTCTTGATTTCGATCTCACGCTCTTCACCGTTGGGCAGAACCACCTTTTCTATGATGGTTCCCACACCCTTGATGGCCACCTTGTTGCCATCAGCCACCAAGAGTTCGCCCTCATTGCGCTCTGCCAAACTTGCGAACTTGGTCTTGTCGTGGCAAATGTGGTGCGTTGCACCACTGTCGACGGCCCACATTCCAGACACGTCCTTGCTCGTCGAAACTCCACATTCGAACGAGACTGCAAACGCCACTAGATCGGAGCTATTGCCTTCATCATGATGTCCCCACTGGACATTGTTAGCCCCGCGTCCACGACCATTGCCGCCGCGTCGGGCTCCCCGACCTTCGTTCTTCTGCTTTGCCCAGCAACGATCCACCGTGTGTCCCACCTTGCCACAATACGTGCATTGGTAGGGCTCACGCTCGGCGCTGAATGCCTTGCTTGCATCTTCAGCCTTCACCGTAGTCGCTGTCGTTGTCCCTTTTTCTCCTTGACGCTTGGCATGCTCATTCGTCAGGACTCTCACCACATCTTGAGTGCGAAGCTCGGTGCTGCTCATTTCCATGTTGAGCACCACATTTTCGTAGCTCTTCGGAAGACTGAGTAGCAGACAAATTGCAACGTCTTCGTCTTCCATCTTCGCACTGATGCCGCTAAGCTTGTACGGAGACGTTGAGGACCTCGTTGCAGTGATGCATGACGTTCGCGCCTTCAGCCATCTTGATACTGAAAAGTTGTCGCTTGAGGTAGATGCGTCCTGCCTTCTGCGACCCACCGTACAGCGTCTTCAGACTTGTCCACGCAACCCAGGCTTCCTCGCAGTTGTCCAGCACATGATGGTAGTCCACGTTCATGTGCAGCAGCATCATACCAAACGCGACGTTGCTTGCCTTGACGTAGTCATCGGACGCTCGTGGGTCGGTGAAAGTCGGAGTCACTTCACGGTTGACGACGTGCCAGACGGGCTTCGTCAAAAACACACCGCGCATGTACCGGCTCCACGTTGCGTAATTGTCTCCGTTGAACTTGTCAATGGAGGCGTTGCTGGTGGACGACATGGCGCTTGGGCTCATAACCTGTTGCATTGTAGATCGGAGCGAGGAAAGCGGAGCGAACGGAGCGGAGAGACCGAAGAGAGTAGAGCAGAAATCACTTGCCCAATAGTTGGAAGATTCGAAAGTGATTGATTATCGGGACTTGCTACTTACTACATGATTTATATGTGGTGTACATATAAATCATGTGAAGCGTCTCATCATCCTACGCGTCTAATCAACTATGTTAATTACCGTAAGAACTACGTCGTAAATACTAAGCTGAACAGGCGGTTCGGATTGGACCGGTCACGGTTACCAATACTGGTAGAAAACCGATGACCGTCAACACTTCGAACTTGGACTTGTCATAGCAGATGTGATGTGTTGCACCGCTGTCAATCGCCCACATTTTAGACATTCTCTTGGTCGCTGAAAGTCCGCATTTCAGCGAAACAGCAAACGCTACTCGATCATAGTCATAGTTGTTGTTGCCGTTGTAGCCTTGCCACTGGACTTGATTCGCTCCGCGTCCACGGGCATCGCCGCCGCGTCGAGCTCCTCGGTTGTCTTCCTTTTGCTTGGTCCAGTACCTCTCCGCCGTGTGCCCCAATTTTCCGCAGTATGTACACTGGCGAGGTTCACGCTCGGCACTGAACGCCTTCGCCGCGTCTTCAGTCTTCACCGATGTCGTATTGTCACCTTGCCTCTTGATGTGCTCATTCGTGAGCACTCTCACGACGTCTCACGATCGCAGTTCCGCGCTGCTCATCTCCAAGTTGAGAACGACGTTCTCGTAGCTCTTGGGGAGGCTGCACAACAAGCAGATCGCCACGTCCTCATCCTCCATCTTGGCGCCGATGCTGCTGAGCTTGGCGCTGATGTTGAGAACTTCATTGCAATGATGCATTACATTGCCGCCTTCCGCCATCTCCATGCTGAACAGCTGCCGCTTCAAGAAGATCCGTCCCGCCTTCTGCGATCCGCCATAGAGAGTCTTCAACCGTGTCCACGCAACCCATGCCTCGTCGCAGTCATCAACCACGTGATGATAGTCCGCGCTCATGTGAAGTAACATCGAGCCGAACGCAATGTTGTTCGTCTTGACGTAGTCATCACTGGCGCGAGGATCGGCGAAGGTGGGGGTGGTCTCCCGGTTGACCACGTGCCACGTCGACTTGGTCAGGAACACGCCACGCATGTAGCGGCTCCACGTCGCGTAGTTGTCTCCATCGAATCTATCAATAGAGATCTTGGTGACGGAATCTTGAGCAGAGGACATCGTGCTTGGGCTCATGACCTGTTAAAGTCTGAAGAGCACTGGGCGAGAGAACGAAGCTTGAAAGGCTTGAAAGAAGTCTACACTGCGAAGTGAAGACGACTTGTGTAGGAGAAGGAATATTTGGAAGTGAATTTATTTGTGGGTTTTGTTAAAGCTACCTGATTTATCTCTGCACTGATTTACATGTTGTCCACATATAAATCATGAATCATAAATCATGTAGGTCATCCAAACATCCTATGCGTCCAATTGTTGGTAAAAACTCACCGTAATTAGGCGGGTGGACAGGTTTACGGTTCCCATGGTAGCTGATAGCAGTACCTCAACCGTCAACTCACAATAAGTGATGAAAAAACAGCTTCTCCACGACCGCGTGCAGTGCGTCCACGACCTGGACTAGAAGGGTCAAGCGCGTCGGAAAACAACTCGTCACGTCAAGTAGAAGGCGAAGAAACGAAGGATTCTGATGAATCAACTCCTCCTGTGTTTGGCGTGCGAGTGCAAATGCCGTTGAAACAGCAGCGGACTTATCGGAGCCCTCAACCTTTGAGGCGGCAGTGAGCGGCCCTGACCAAGTGCACTGAAGAAAAGCAATTCATGCAGAGCTCGAGTCAATGCGACTTCGCGGTGTGTTTCGTGCAGCCAAGCTGCCCAACGGACAACGCGCCATTGGCACAAAATGGGTGTTCAAGATCAAGCGCAAGGCGGATGGGTCAATCGAGAAGTGCTAGGCACGGCTTGTGGCCAAGGGTTTCCGCCAAAAGTATGGCATCGACTACACGGATACATTTTCGCCCGTGATCAAGTATGTGACGCTGCGAACGGTGATCGCAATTTCCAGGCATTTTGGATGGCCCATCGACCAGCTTGGTGTGGTGACGGCTTTCCTGTATGGCATCATTAAGGAACAAGTGTTCTATGTGATTCCTGAAGGCGTTGGACTTGATAGTGCGTTCGACTGCCTGGAATTGGTGAAGTCAATTTACGGCCTCAAGCAAGCGTCGCGAGTGTGGAATGAGATGTTCGACGAGTTTTTGTGCTTCATTGGATTTCGAGTATCGGACTTCGACCCATGTCTCTACATCAAGACTTCGGACGGCCATTGTGTATTTGTACTGGTCTACGTGGACGACGTCTTGGTGACTGGAAGCTCGCTCGAACAAATTGCGCAAACCAAGAACGACCTGAAGACACGTTTCGAGATGACAGACAGCGGCAAATGTACATTTGTTCTTGGGATCGAGCTTTTTGGACGGTGAAGATGGCAGTGTGACTCTGTGTCAGCGCCGTTATGTCGATGATATCCTCAAGCGCTTTGGAATGGAGGAGTGCAAGGCTGTGGCGAGTCCTGTGGATGTCAGCTCTCGACTGATGTCAAGCAACACTGCGAGCAAGATCGATGTTCCGTTCGTGAAGCGGTTGGTGCTTTGATGCATCTGACGACTACAACACGACCGGACATCGCATATGCTGTGAGCTTTGTGTCGCGCTTCATGAAGAATCTCCAAGAAGAACACTGAGTTGCGGTCAAGCGCATCTTTCGCTACCTACAAGGCACCAAGATGCATGGAATTTGCTACAAGCCAAGTGCAAGGATCAACTTTCGTGGCTATTCGGACGCAGACTGGGCCGGCGACCTTACTGATCGCAAGTCAATGTCTGGCTACGTTTATGCTATTGGGTGCTCCAGTGAGTTGGGGCAGCAAGAAGCAGCCAACTGTGTCACTGTCTACAAGTCAAGCGGAGTACATTGCGCTAAGTCTGGCCATCCAGGAAGGCAAGTGGAATTACCGCTTACCATGCGAGATCATGGCGGCTGCTAACGAGGACGGACCCGAGCTCACGATCCGCAAAGACAACCAGTCCTGCATCAAAATGACCAAGAATCCGGTCAACCACGGCCGCGCCAAATACATTGATATCAAGTACCATCACATTTGCGATGAAGTGAAGCGTGGTGAAGTGAAGCTTGGATACTGCGAGACGAAGGTGATGTTGGCAGACATTATGACCAAGGGACTTCACGGACCGCGCCACAAGGACTTAACGGCGGCGCTAGGCATCTGTGCACGTTTGGATTAAGGGGGCGTGTTGACGGTCATCGTTTTTCTACCAGTATTCGTAGCCGTGACCGGTTCAATCCGAGCCGCCTGCTCAGCTTAGTTTATACGACGTAGTTCTCTTGGTAATTACCATAGTTGATTAGACGCGTAGGATGATGAGTTCTCTTGGTAATTACCATAGTTGATTAGACGCGTAGGATGATGAGACGCTTCACATTTTTATTTGTACACCTCATTTAAATCATGTAGTAAGCCCCGACAATCAATCACTTTCGAATCTTCCAACTAGTGAGGAAATGTTTTCTGCTCTACTCTCTTCAGTCTCTCCGCTCCCTTTGCTCCGCTTTCTGCCATGTAGCAGGTTATGAGCCCAAGCGCCATGTCGTCCACCACCAACGCATCATCCAACGTCTCCATTGACCAGTTCAGTGGAGACAACTATGTGACTTGGAGTCGATACATGCGCAGTGTGTATTTGACGAAGTCCGTCTGGCACGTCGTCAACCGTGAAGTGACTCCGACTTTCACCGACCCGCGAGCGTCCGGGACTACATTAAGGCGAGCAACGTCGCGTTTGATGTGATGGTGCTACACATAAATGCTGACTACCACCATGTGCTTGACAGCTGCGAGGAAGCGTGGACACGTCTGAAGACGCTGTACGGTGGGTCGCAGAAGGCAGGACGCATCTTCCTCAAGCAACAACTTTTCTGCACCAAGATGGATGAAGGCGCGAGCGTCATGCACCACTGCAACAAGGTCCTCAACGTCTCCGCCAAGCTTAGCGGCATCAGTGCGAAGATGGAAGACGAAGACGTTGCAATTTGTCTGCTACTCAGTCTTCCGAAGAGCTACGAAAATGTGGTGCTCAACATGGAAATGAGCAGCGCCGAGCTTCGTACCCAGGATGTGGTGAGAGTCCTGACGAATGAGCATGCCAAGCGTCAAGGAGAAAAAGAGACAACAAAATCGACTACGGTGAAGGCTGAAGATGCAAGCAAGGCATTCAGCACCGAACGTGAGCCCTATCAATGCACGTATTGTGGCAAGGAGGGACATACGGTGGATAGCTGCTGGACAAAGCAGAAGAACGAAGGTCGGGGAGCCTGACGTGGCGGCAATGGTCGTGGACGCGGGGCTAATAACGTCCAGTGGGACATTATGATGAAGGCAATGGCTGCGATCGAGTGGCGTTTGCAGTCTCGTTCGAATGTGGAGTTTCGACGAGCAAGGACGTGTTTGGAATGTGGGCCGTCGATAGTGGTGCAACGCACCACATTTGCCATGACAAGACCAAGTTTGCATGCTTGGCAGAGTGCAATGAAGGCTAACTATTGGTGGCTGATGGCAACAAGGTGGCCATCAAGGGTGTGGGATCCATCATGGAAAGGTGGTTCTGCCCAACGGTGAAGAGCGCAAGATCGAGATCAAGAACACACTATTTGTTCCAAGTATGAGCAAGAACCTGCTTTCGGTGCCACAGATCACAGGCATGGCAAGTTTCAAGTCGTGTTTGACGGGTCCAAGATGTATGTGACTCTCAAGAACTCACAGCAAGCAGTGGCGATAGCGGATTTTGTGGATGAACTTTACTGGCTTCGTACGACTCAGCAATCAGCAAATGTGACAAAAAGTGGAACCAGCTGTGCCGATCTACATGCTCAAATGGGCCACGCTCCAGTGGATGAACTTTACTGGCTTTGTACGACTCAGCGATCAGCAAATGTGACAACAAGTGGAACCAGTTGTGCCGATCTACATGCGCAAATGGGTCACGCTCCAGTTGACGTACTTCTCAAGATGATCAAGACCAACATGATCAAGGATGTGCGAGTCCCTCTTAAGTCGAATGGAGCAACTGCATGTCGAGGGTGTCAACAAGGGAAATGGTCCAAAAACCATTCCCGAGCAACCGTGACAAGCGTAACTACTATACGTTCGAGCTGCTTCATCTGGACATCTGTGGGATCATGGAAATCGAATCGCTCGGTGGCAGCAGATATCTGCTACTGATCGTAGAAGAAGCCAGTGGATGTATGAAGGGCTTTTGTTTACGAGTGAAGTCCAAGAGTGAAGACTACATCCGGAAGTACATCACTATGTTACAGACGCAGTTCAGTATGAAGCTCAAGTTTGTTCGACACGACGGAGTCCGCAAGTTTGCAACCAGGTCGCTGTGAATGTTCTACGAAGACGAAGGAATTGAACAGCAGACAACGGTGCCGTATGCACATCAAACAAACGGAACAGCAGAGCGTGCCATTAGGACTATTGTCACGATCGGCCGCAGCATGTTTCATCAGGCTAAGCTGGACAAGTGTTTCTAAGCCGAAGCAGCGATGACGGTCATCTACGTCAAGAATCGACTGCCGTCACCTAAAGTCGTGCACAAGACCCCGTTTGAGATCGTCTACAACTCGAAACCAAGAGTCAAGCACATGCGAGCATTCGGGTGTCAGACGTACATAATGACGCCGAAAGAAAGTCGACTCAAGTGATATCTGTTCAATTGTAGATCGGAGCGAGGAAAGCGGAGCGAACGGAGCGGAGAGACCGAAGAGAGTAGAGCAGAAAACACTTGCCCAATAGTTGGAAGATTCGAAAGTGATTGATTATCGGGACTTACTGCTTACTACATGATTTATATGTGGTGTACATATAAATCATGTGAAGCGTCTCATCATCCTACGCGTCTAATCAACTATGTTAATTGCCGTGAGAACTACGTCGTAAATACTAAGCTGAACAGGCGGTTCGGATTGGATCGGTCACGGTTACCAATACTGGTAGAAAACCGATGACCGTCAACAGTCACGGTTACCAATACTGGTAGAAAACCGATGACCGTCAACACGCCCCCTCAATCCGAATGCTCACGAATCCCGAGAGCCGTCGTCATCTCCTTGTGGCGTGGTCCATGAAGTCCCTTCGTCATGATGTCCGCTAACATCACCGCAGTCACAGTACTTGAGCTTCACTTCACCGCGCTTGACCTCATCACGGATGTGATGGTACTTGATATCAATGTGCTTGGCACGGCCGTGGTTGACCGGGTTCTTCGTCATCTTGATACACGACTGATTGTCTTCATGGATCATGAGTTCCGGTCCTTCTTCATTGGCAGCCATCATGATCTCACAAAGCAGACGATGAATCCACTTGCCCTCTTGAATCGCCAAGCTGAGTGCGATGTATTCAGCTTCAGTCGTGGACAACGAAACACTTGGCTGCTTCTTGCTGCCCCAACTCACTGGCGCACCGAGTAGCATGAACGTGTACCCCGATGTTGACTTGCGGTCGGTAAGATCACCAGCCCAATCCGCATCCGAATATCCACGGAAGTCGATCCTTGCACTTAGCTTATAGCAAATTCCATGCGTCTTGGTGCCTTGTAGGTAGCGAAAGATACGCTTAACTGCAACCCAGTGTTCTTCTTGGGGATTTTCCATGAACCGCGACACATAGCCCACAGCAAACGCAATGTCCGGACGCGTTGCAGTGGTCAGGTGCATCAACGCACCAACAGCTTCGCGAAAAGGAGCATCGACCTTGGTAGCTGCATCTCTTGAAACGAGTCGAGAGCTCATGTTCACTGGACTTGACACAGCCTTGCAATCATCCATGCCAAAGCGCTTGAGGATATCATCGACATACCGACGCTGACATAGTGTCACACTGCCATCTTCTCCATCCAAAAGCTCAATTCCAAGAACAAATGCACACTTGCCGCTATCAGTCATCTCGAAGCGTGTCTTCAGGTCTTCCTTGGTGTGTGCAATCAACTTGGGTGAGCTTCCTGTCACCAACACGTCATCCACATAGACCAAAATTAATACGCATTGGTCTTCCATAATCTTGATGTAGAGACATGGGTCGAAGTCCGATACTTAAAATCCGATGGAGCACACATACTCGTCGAACGTCTCGTTCCATACTCGCAAAGCTTGCTTCAGGCCGTAAATTGCCTTCACCAATTCCAGGCAGTCGAACGTACTGTCAAGTTCGACGCCTTCAGGAATCACGCAGAACACTTGTTCCTTCATGACGCCATACAGGAAAGCTGTCACCACATCAAGCTGGTCGATGGGCCATCCAAAGTGCCTGGAAATTGCGATCACCATTCGCAGCGTCACATACTTGACCACAGGCGAAAACGTCTCCGTGTAGTCGATGCCATACTTTTGGCGGAAACCCTTGGCCACAAGTCGTGCCTTGTACTTCTCGATTGACCCATCCGCCTTGCGCTTGATCTTGAACACCCATTTTGTGCCAATGGCGCGTGTCCTTGGGCAGCTTGGCTGCACGAAACACACCGCGAAGTCGCATTGACTCGAGCTCTGCATGAATTGCTTTTCTCCAGTGCACTTGGCCAGGGCCGCTTACTGCTGCTTCAAATGTTGATGTGCATACGGCACCGTTGTCTGCTGTTCAATTCCTTCGTCTTCGTAGAACAGTTGAAGCGAGTTGGTTGCAAACTCGCGAGCTCCGTCGTGTCGCACGAACTTGACCTTCTTACAGAATTGCGTCTGTACCATGGTGATATATTTCCGGATGTAGTCTTCACTTTCGGACTTCACTCGTAGACAAAAGCCCTTCATGCATCCACTGGCTTCGTCGATGATCAGCAGCAAATATTTGCTGCCACCGAGCGAATCCTTTTCCATGGGCCCGCAGATGTCCAGATGAAGTAGCTCAAACGTATCGTAGCTGCGCTTGTCTCGGTTGCTTGGAAATGGTTTTTGGACCATTTTCCCTTGTTGACATCCTCGACATGTAGTTGCTCCACCCGACTTGAGAGGGACTCGCACATCCTTGATCATGTTGGTCGCGAGGGGCGATCATCTTGCGAAGTACATCGACTGGAGCATGACCCATTCTCGCATGTAGATCGGCACAACTGGTTCCACTTGTTGTCACATTCGCTGATCGTTGAGTCTTCCGAAGCCAGTAGAGTCCATCGAGAAGATCGGCTGTCGCCACCACTTGCTGTGAGTTCTTGAGAGTCACATACATCTTGGACCCGTCAAACACGACTTGAAACTTGCCATGGCTGTTAATCTGTGGCACCGAGAGCAGGTTCTTGCTCATACTTGGAACATATAGCGCGTTCTTGATTTTGATCTCACGCTCTTCACCGTTGGGCAGAACCACCTTTTCCATGATGGTTCCCACACCCTTGATGGCCACCTTGTTGCCATCAGCCACCAAGAGTTAGCCTTCATTGCACTCTGCCAAGCATGTAAACTTGGTCTTGTCGTGGCAAATGTGGTGCGTTGCACCACTGTCGACGGCCCACATTCCAAACACGTCCTTGCTCGTCGAAACTCCACATTCGAACGAGACTGCAAACGCCACTCGATCGTAGCCATTGCCTTCATCATGATGTCCCCACTGGACATTGTTAGCCCCGCGTCCACGACCATTGCCGCCACGTCAGGCTGCTTGACCTTCGTTCTTCTGCTTTGTCCAGCAACGATCCACCGTGTGTCCCACCTTGCCACAATACGTGCATTGGTAGGGCTCACGTTCGGTGCTGAATGCCTTGCTTGCATCTTCAGCCTTCACCGTAGTCGCTGTCGTTGTCCCTTTTTCTCCTTGACGCTTGGCATGCTCATTCGTCAGGACTCTCACCACATCTTGAGTGCGAAGCTCGGTGCTGCTCATTTCCATGTTGAGCACCACATTTTCGTAGCTCTTCGGAAGACTGAGTAGCATACAGATCGCAACGTCTTCGTCTTCCATCTTCGCACTGATGCCGCTAAGCTTGGCGGAGACGTTGAGGACCTCGTTGCAGTGATGCATGACGTTCGTGCCTTCAGCCATCTTGATACTGAAAAGTTGTCGCTTGAGGTAGATGCGTCCTGCCTTCTGCGACCCACCGTACAGCGTCTTCAGACTTGTCCACGCAACCCAGGCTTCCTCGCAGTTGTCCAGCACATGATGGTAGTCCGCGTTCATGTGCAGCAGCATCATACCAAACGCGACGTTGCTTGCCTTGACGTAGTCATCGGACGCTCGCGGGTCGGTGAAAGTCGGAGTCACTTCACGGTTGACGACGTGCCAGACGGACTTCGTCAAAAACACACCGCGCATGTACCGGCTCCACGTTGCGTAATTGTCTCCGTTGAGCTTGTCAATGGAGGCGTTGCTGGTGGACGACATGGCGCTTGGGCTCATAACCTGTTGCATTGAGGATCGGAGCGAGGAAAGCGGAGCAAACGTAGCGGAGAGACCGAAGAGAGTAGAGCAGAAAACACTTGCCCAATAGTTGGAAGATTCGAAAGTGATTGATTATCGGGACTTACTACTTACTACATGATTTATATGTGGTGCACATATAAATCATGTGAAGCGTCTCATCATCCTACGCGTCTAATCAACTATGGTAATTACCGTAAGAACTACGTCGTAAATACTAAGCTGAACAGGCGGTTCGGATTGGATCGGTCACGGTTACCAATACTGGTAGAAAACCGATGACCGTCAACACGCCCCCTCAATCCGAACTCGCACGAATCCCGAGAGCCGTCGTCATCTCCTTGTGGTGTGGTCCATGAAGTCCCTTCGTCATGATGTCCGCTAACATCACCGCAGTTTCACAGTACTTGAGCTTCACTTCACCGCGCTTGACCTCATCACGGATGTGATGGTACTTGATATCAATGTGCTTGGCACGGCCGTGGTTGACCGGGTTCTTCGTCATCTTGATACATGACTGATTGTCTTCATGAATCATGAGTTCCGGTCCTTCTTCATTGGCAGCCATAACGATCTCACAAAGTAGACGATGAATCCACTTGCCCTCTTGAATCGCCAAGCTGAGTGCGATGTATTCAGCTTCAGTCGTGGACAACGAAACACTTGGCTGCTTCTTGCTGCCCCAACTCACTGGCGCACCGAGTAGCATGAACGTGTACCCCGATGTTGACTTGCGGTCGGTAAGATCACCAGCCCAATCCGCATCCGAATATCCACGGAAGTCGATCCTTGCACTTAGCTTATAGCAAATTCCATGCGTCTTGGTGCCTTGTAGGTAGCGAAAGATACGCTTAACTGCAACCCAGTGTTCTTCTTGGGGATTTTCCATGAACCGCGACACATAGCCCACAGCAAACGCAATGTCCGGACGCGTTGCAGTGGTCAGGTGCATCAACGCACCAACAGCTTCGCGAAAAGGAGCATCGACCTTGGTAGTTGCATCACTTGAAACAAGTCGAGAGCTCATGTCGACTGGACTTGCGACTGCCTTGCAATCATCCATGCCAAAGCGCTTGAGGATATCATCGACATACCGACGCTGACATAGTGTCACACTGCCATCTTCACCGTCCAAAAGCTCGATCCCAAGAACAAACGCACACTTGCCGCTGTCCGTCATCTCGAACCGCGTCTTCAGGTCGTTCTTGGTTTGTGCAATCAGCTCGAGCGAGCTTCCAGTCACCAAGACGTCGTCCACGTAGACCAGTATAAACACGCAATGGCCGTCCGAAGTCTTGATGTAGAGACATGGGTCGAAGTCCGATACTTAAAATCCGATGGAGCACACATACTCGTCGAACGTCTCGTTCCACACTCGCGACGCTTGCCTGAGGCCGTAAATTGACTTCACCAATTCCAGGCAGTCGAACGTACTGTCAAGTTCGACGCCTTCAGGAATCACGCAGAACACTTGTTCCTTCATGACGCCATACAGGAAAGCTGTCACCACATCAAGCTGGTCGATGGGCCATCCAAAATGCTTGGAAATTGCGATCACCATTCGCAGCGTCACATACTTGACCACAGGCGAAAACGTCTCCGTGTAGTCGATGCCATACTTTTGGCGGAAACCCTTGGCCACAAGTCGTGCCTTGTACTTCTCGATTGACCCATCCGCCTTGCGCTTGATCTTGAACACCCATTTTGTGCTAATGGCGCGTTGTCCGTTGGGCAGCTTGGCTGCACGAAACACACCGCGAAGTCGCATTGACTCGAGCTCTGCATGAATTGCTTTTCTCCAGTGCACTTGGTCAGGGCCGCTTACTGCTGCTTCAAAGGTTGAGGGCTCTGATAAGTCCACTGCTGCTTCAACGGCATTTGCACTCGCACGCCAAAACACAGGCGGTGTTGAATCACTAGAATCCTTCGTTTCTTCGTCTTCTTCTTGGCGTGACGAGTTGTTTTCCGGCGCGCTTGACTCTTCTAGTCCTGGTCGTTGACGCACTGCACGCGGTCGTGGAGCTGCTGTATCTTCATCATTGAGTCGGTTCTTGCGCTTGCCTGTTTGCGTGTACTCCATTTGACGCAGCTCTTCGTCATCAAGATCCAGCAATTCGAAGTCCAGGTCATCGACATCTTCATCAGTGATCGGCAGTTGAAGTCCAAAGGTGGACCCGTCGAGGTTGACATCCCGACTGATAACAACCTGCCCCGCCTCAATGTCAAATACACGATATGCCTTGGACACTTCTTCGTAGCCCATGAAATGCCAACACGAGCCTTGGGATCCCACTTGAGTCAATTCTCTTTAGGTGTCAGTATGTACGTCTGACAGCCGAATACTCGCATGTGCTTGAAACTTCGCTTGGAGTTGTACACGATCTCAAACGGGGTCTTATGCACAACTTTAGGTGACGGCAGTCGATTCTTGACGTAGATGACCGTCATCGCTGCTTCGGCTTAGAAACACTTGTCCAGCTTAGCCTGATGAAACATGCTGCGGCCGATCGTGACAATATTCCTAATGGCACGCTCTGCTGTTCCGTTTGTTTGATGTGCATACGGCACCGTTGTCTGCTGTTCAATGCCTTCGTCTTCGTAGAACAGTTGAAGCGAGTTGGTTGCAAACTCGCGAGCTCCGTCGTGTCGCACGAACTTGACCTTCTTACAGAATTGCGTCTGTACCATGGTGATATATTTCCGGATGTAGTCTTCACTTTCGGACTTCACTCGTAGACAAAAGCCCTTCATGCATCCACTGGCTTCGTCGATGATCAGCAGCAAATATTTGCTGCCACCGAGCGAATCCTTTTCCATGGGCCCGCAGATGTCCAGATGAAGCAGCTCAAACGTATCGTAGCTGCGCTTGTCCCGGTTGCTTGGAAATGGTTTTTGGACCATTTTCCCTTGTTGACATCCTCGACATGTAGTTGCTCCACCCGACTTGAGAGGGACTCGCACATCCTTGATCATGTTGGTCGCGAGGGGCGATCATCTTGCGAAGTACATCGACTGGAGCATGACCCATTCTCGCATGTAGATCGGCACAACTGGTTCCACTTGTTGTCACATTCGCTGATCGTTGAGTCTTCCGAAGCCAGTAGAGTCCATCCACGAGATCCGCTGTCGCCACCACTTGCTGTGAGTTCTTGAGAGTCACATACATCTTGGACCCGTCAAACACGACTTAAAACTTGCCATGGCTGTTAATTTGTGGTACCGAGAGCAGGTTCTTGCTCATACTTGGAACATATAGCGCGTTCTTGATTTCGATCTCACGCTCTTCACCGTTGGGCAGAACCACCTTTTCCATGATGGTTCCCACACCCTTGATGGCCACCTTGTTGCCATCAGCCACCAATAGTTAGCCTTCATTGCACTCTGCCAAGCATGTAAACTTGGTCTTGTCATGGCAAATGTGGTGCGTTGCACCACTGTCGACGGCCCACATTCCAGACACGCCCTTGCTCGTCGAAACTCCACATTCGAACGAGACTGCAAACGCCACTCGATCGTAGCCATTGCCTTCATCATGATGTCCCCACTGGACATTGTTAGCCCCGCGTCCACGACCATTGCCGCCGTGTCGGGCTCCCCGACCTTCGTTCTTCTGCTTTGTCCAGCAACGATCCACCGTGTGTCCCACCTTGCCACAATACGTGCATTGGTAGGGCTCACGTTCGGTGCTGAATGCCTTGCTTGCATCTTCAGCCTTCACCGTAGTCGCTGTCGTTGTCCCTTTTTCTCCTTGACGCTTGGCATGCTCATTCGTCAGGACTCTCACCACATCTTGAGTGCGAAGCTCGGTGCTGCTCATTTCCATGTTGAGCACCACATTTTCGTAGCTCTTCGGAAGACTGAGTAGCAGACAAATTGCAACGTCTTCGTCTTCCATCTTCGCACCGATGCCGCTAAGCTTTGCGGAGACGTTGAGGACCTCGTTGCAGTGATGCATGACGTTCGCGCCTTCAGCCATCTTGATACTGAAAAGTTGTCGCTTGAGGTAGATGCGTCCTGCCTTCCGCGACCCACCGTACAGCGTCTTCAGACTTGTCCACGCAACCCAGGCTTCCTCGCAGTTGTCCAGCACATGATGGTAGTCCGCGTTCATGTGCAGCAGCATCATACCAAACGCGACGTTGCTTGCCTTGACGTAGTCATCGGACGCTCGCGGGTCGGTGAAAGTCGGAGTCACTTCACGGTTGACGACGTGCCAGACGGACTTCGTCAAAAACACACCGCGCATGTACCGGCTCCACGTTGCGTAATTGTCTCCGTTGAGCTTGTCAATGGAGGCGTTGCTGGTGGACGACATGGCGCTTGGGCTCATAACCTGTTGCATTGTAGATCGGAGCGAGGAAAGCGGAGCAAACGTAGCGGAGAGACCGAAGAGAGTAGAGCAGAAATCACTTGCCCAATAGTTGGAAGATTCGAAAGTGATTGATTATCGGGACTTACTACTTACTACATGATTTATATGTGGTGTACATATAAATCATGTGAAGCGTCTCATCATCCTACGCGTCTAATCAACTATGGTAATTACCGTAAGAACTACGTCGTAAATACTAAGCTGAACAGGCGGTTCGGATTGGACCGGTCACGGTTACCAATACTGGTAGAAAACCGATGACCGTCAACAGGCGTGCGAGTGCAAATGCCGTTGAAACAGCAGCGGACTTATCGGAGCCCTCAACCTTCGAGGCGGTAGTGAGCGGCCCTGACCAAGTGCACTGGAGAAAAGCAATTCATGCAGAGCTCGAGTTAATGCGACTTCGTAATGTGTTTCGTGCAGCCAAGCTGCCTAACGGACAACGCGTCATTAGCACAAAGTGGGTGTTCAAGATCAAGCGCAAGGCGGATGGGTCAATCGAGAAGTGCTAGGCACGGCTTGTGGCCAAGGGTTTCCGCCAAAAGTATGGCATCGACTACACGGAGACGTTTTCGCCCGTGGTCAAGTATGTGACGCTGCGAATGGTGATCGCAATTTCCAGGCACTTTGGATGGCCCATCGACCAGCTTGGTGTGGTGACGGCTTTCCTGTATGGCATCATGAAGGAACAAGTGTTCTGTGTGATTCCTGAAGGTGTTGATCTGGATGGTGATTTTGACTGTCTGGAATTGGTGAAGACAATTTACGGCCTGAAGCAAGCTTCGCGAGTATGGAACGAGACGTTTGACGAGTTTGTGTGTTTCATTGGATTTCAAGTGTCAGGCTTCGACCCATGTCTCTACATCAAGACTTCGGACGGCCATTGTGTATTTGTACTGGTCTATGTGGATGACGTGTTGGTGACAGGAAGCTCACCCAAGTTGATTGCACACACCAAGGAAGACCTGAAGACACGCTTCGAGATGACTGATAGCGGCAAGTGTACATTTGTTCTTGGAATTGAGCTTTTGGACGGTGAAGATGGCAGTGTGACACTATGTCAGCGTCGGTATGTCGATGATATCCTCAAGCGCTTTGGCATGGATGATTGCAAGGCTGTGTCAAGTCCAGTGGATATGAGCTCTCGACTTGTTTCAAGCGATGCAGCTACCAAGGTGGATGCTCCGTTTCGCGAAGCTGTTGGTGCATTGATGCACCTGACCACTGCAACGCGTCCGGACATTGCGTTTGCTGTGGGCTATGTGTCGCGGTTCATGGAAAATCCCCAAGAAGAACACTGGGTTGCAGTTAAGCGCATCTTTCGCTACCTACAAGGCACCAAGATTCATGGATTTTGGTATAAGCCAAGTGCAAGGATCGACTTTCGTGGCTATTCGGACGCAGACTGGGCCGGCGACCTTACTGATCGCAAGTCAATGTCTGGCTACGTTTATGCTATTGGTGCTCCAGTGAGTTGGGGCAGCAAGAAGCAGCCAACTGTGTCACTGTCTACAAGTCAAGCGGAGTACATTGCGCTAAGTCTGGCCATCCAGGAAGGCAAGTGGAATTACCGCTTACCATGCGAGATCATGGCGGCTGCTAACGGGGACGAACCCGAGCTCACGATCCGCAAAGACAACCAGTCCTGCATCAAAATTACCAAGAATCCGGTCAACCACGGCCGCGCCAAACACATTGATATCAAGTACCATCACATTCGCGATGAAGTGAAGCGTGGTGAAGTGAAGCTTGGATACTGCGAGACGACGATGATGTTGGCAGACATATGACCAAGAGACTTCACGGACCGCGCCACAAGGACTTAACGGCGGCGCTAGGCATCTGTGCACGTTCGGATTAAGGGGGAGTGTTGACGGTCATCGTTTTTCTACCAGTATTCGTAGCCGTGGCCGGTTCAATCCGAGCCGCCTGCTCAGCTTAGTTTATACGACGTAGTTCTCATGGTAATTACCATAGTTGATTAGACGCGTAGGATAATGAGTTCTCATGGTAATTACCATAGTTGATTAGACGCGTAGCAACGCTTCACATTTTTATATGTACACCACATCTAAATCATGTAGTAAGCCCCGACAATCAATCACTTTCGAATCTCCCAACTAGTGAGGAAGTGTCTTCTGCTCTACTCTCTTCAGTCTCTCCGCTCCCTCCGCTCCGCTTTCTGCCATGTAGCAGGCTATGAGCCAAGCGCCATGTCGTCCACCACAACACATCATCCAACGTCTCCATTGACCAGTTCAATGGAGACAACTATGTGACTTGGAGTCGATACATGCGCAGTGTGTATTTGACGAAGTCCGTCTGGCACGTCGTCAACCGTGAAGTGACTCCGACTTTCACCGACCCGCGAGCGTCCGGGACTACATTAAGGCGAGCAACGTCGCGTTTGATGTGATGCTGCTACAAATAAATACTGACTACCACCATGTGCTTGACAGCTGCGAGGAAGCGTGGACAAGTCTGAAGACGCTGTAAGGTGGGTCGCAGAAGGCAGGACGCATCTTCCTCAAGCAACAACTTTTCTGCACCAAGATGGATGAAGGCGCGAGCGTCATGCACCACTGCAACAAGGTCCTCAACGTCTCCGCCAAGCTTAGCGGCATCAGTGCGAAGATGGAAGACGAAGACGTTGCAATTTGTCTGCTACTCAGTCTTCCGAAGAGCTACGAAAATGTGGTGCTCAACATGGAAATGAGCAGCGCCGAGCTTCGTACCCAGGATGTGGTGAGAGTCCTGACGAATGAGCATGCCAAGCGTCAAGGAGAAAAAGAGACAACAAAATCGACTACGGTGAAGGCTGAAGATGCAAGCAAGGCATTCAGCACCGAACGTGAGCCCTATCAATGCACGTATTGTGGCAAGGAGGGACATACGGTGGATCGCTGCTGGACAAAGCAGAAGAACGAAGGTCAAGCAGCCTGACGTGGCGGCAATGGTCGTGGACGCGGGGCTAATAACGTCCAGTGGGACATCATGATGAAGGCAATGGCTGCGATCGAGTGGCGTTTGCAGCCGCGTTCGAATGTGGAGTTTCGACGAGCAAGGGCGTGTCTGGAATGTGGGCCGTCGATAGTGGTGCAACGCACCACATTTGCCATGACAAGACCAAGTTTGCATGCTTGGCAGAGTGCAATGAAGGCTAACTATTGGTGGCTGATGGCAACAAGGTGGCCATCAAGGGTGTGGGATCCATCATGGAAAGGTGGTTCTGCCCAACGGTGAAGAGCGCAAGATCGAGATCAAGAACACACTATTTGTTCCAAGTATGAGCAAGAACCTGCTTTCGGTGCCACAGATCACAGCCATGGCAAGTTTCAAGTCGTGTTTGACGGGTCCAAGATGTATGTGACTCTCAAGAGCTCACAGCAAGCAGTGGCGACAGCGGATCTCGTGGATGAACTTTACTGGCTTCGTACGACTCAGCAATCAGCAAATGTGACAACAAGTGGAACCAGTTGTGCCGATCTACATGCGAGAATGTGTCACGCTCCAGTGGATGAACTATACTGGCTTTGTACGACTCAGCAATCAGCGAATGTGACAACAAGTGGAACCGGCTATGCTGATCTACATGCGCAAATGGGTCACGCTCCAGTGGATGAACTTTACTGGCTTTGTACGACTCAGCGATCAGCAGATGTGACAACTTTACTGGCTTCGTACGACTCAGCGATCAGCAAATGTGACAACAAGTGGAACCAGCTGTGCTGATCCACATGCGCGAATGGGTCACGCTCCAGTTGACGTACTTCGCAAGATGATCAAGACCAACATGATCAAGGATGTGCGAGTCCCTCTCAAGTCGAATGGAGCAACTGCATGTCGAGGGTGTCAACAAGGGAAATGGTCCAAAAACCATTCCCGAGCAACCGCGACAAGCGTAACTACTTAACGTTCGAGCTGCTTCATCTGGATATCTGTGGGATCATGGAAATCGAATCGCTCGGTGGCAGCAGAGATCTGCTACTGATCGTCGACGAAGCCAGTGAATGTATGAAGGGCTTTTGTTTACGAGTGAAGTCCGAGAGTGAAGACTACATCCGGAAGTACATCACTATGCTACAGACGCAGTTCAGTATGAAGCTCAAGTTTATTCGACACGACGGAGTCCGCAAGTTTGCAACCAGGTCGCTGTGAATGTTCTACGAAGACGAAGGAATTGAACAGAAGACAACGGTGCAATATGCACATCAAACCAACGGAACAGGATAGCGTGCCATTAGGACTATCGTCACGATCGGCCGCAGCATGTTTCATCAGGCTAAGCTGGACAAGTGTTTCTAAGCCGAAGCAGCGATTGTTGACGGTCATCGGTTTCCTACCAGTGTTTGTAACCGTGACCGGTCCAATCCGAACCGCCTGTTCAGCTTAGTATTTACGACGTAGTTCTTACGGTAATTACCATAGTTGATTAGACGCGTAGGATGATGAGACGCTTCACATGATTTATATGTGCACCACATATAAATCATGTAGTAAGTAGTAAGCCCCGATAATCAATCACTTTCGAATCCTCCTTCTGCCGAGCAAGTCTTCTCTACTCCGCTCCTCAAGCCTCTTCGCTCCCTCCGGTCTCTTCCGGTCTTCTCGTCACTCCCGTGCCATACCATCAACAGGTTTGAGCCCAAGCGCAATGTCTTCTGCCGGCCACGCATCCTCCAACGCCCTTATCGATAAGTTCGATGGGGACAACTATTCGACCTGGAGTTGATACATGTGTGGCGTGTTCCTGACAAAGTCAGTGTGGCATGCTGTCAACCGGGAGAACTCCCCGACGTTCGTGGACCCTCGAGCGCAGGACGACTAGTTCAAGGCCAACAACATCGCGTTTGGAACGATGTTGCTGCACATGGGTGCGGATTACCACCATGTGGTCGACAACTGCGAGGAAGCGTGGGTTGCGTGGCAGAGCCTGAAGGTGCTGTACGGTGGATCCCAGAAAGCGGGAAGGATCTACCTCAAGCGTCAACTCTTCAGCATGAATATGGACGAAGGCGCCAGCGTCATGCATCACTGCAATGAGGTCCTGAATATCTCTGCCAAGCTTAGCAGCATTGATGCGAAGATGGAGGACGAGGACGTCGCAATTTGCCTGCTGCTCAGCCTCCCTAAGCGTTTTGAGAACGTTGTTCTAAACTTGGAGATGAGCAGCGCAGAGCTTCGTACCCAAGATGTGGTGAAGGTGCTCACGAATGAGCACACCAAGCGCCAAGGGGAGAAGGTGACAACAACAGCGGCGATGGTCAAGAGTGAAGATGCAGCCAAGGCCTTCAACACTGAGCGGGAGCCATACAAGTGCACCTACTGTGGGAAGGTGGGACACACCGTCGATCGCTGTTGGACCAAGCAGAAGAATGAAAGTCGAGGAGCCCGACGCGGCGGCAATGGTCGTGGACGCGGGGCAAACAATGTCCAGTGGGGACAATATCGTGATGAAGGCAGCGACTACGATCAAGTAGCGTTTGCAGTTTCGCTAGAGTGTGGACTCTCAGCGAAGAAGGACGTGTCCGGAATGTGGGCAGTCGACAGTGGTGCAACACACCACATTTGCCACGACAAGACCAAGTTTGCATGCTTGGTAGAGTGCAACGACGGTAAAATCTTGGTGGCGGATGGCAACAAGGTGGCCATCAAGGGTGTTGGAACCATCTTTGAAAAGGTGGTTCTGCCCGACGGTGAAGAGCGCGAGATCGAGATCAAAAACGTGCTTTACGTACCAAGCATGAGCAAGAATCTACTATCGGTACCGCAGATCAAGGAGCACGGCAAGTTTCAAGTCGTGTTCGACGGGACCAAGATGTTTGTCACTCGCAAAGGATCACAACAAGTGGTGGCAACAGCAGATCTTGTGGATGGCCTCTATTGGCTTCACACAGCTCATCGATCGGCCAATGCGACAACAAACGGATGCAACGGTGTCGACTTACATGCGCGGATGGGACACGCTCCAGCTGATGTGCTTCGCAAAATGGTGGCCACGAACATGATCAAGGATGTGAAGGTACCTCTCACGTCAAATGGATCAAGCGCATGCCGAGGATGTCAACAAGGGAAAATGGTCCAAAAACTATTCCCATGCAACAAGGACAAGCGCAGATACGACACCTTCGAGCTACTTCACGTCGACATCTGCGGACCCATGGAGATGAACTCTCTGGGTGGCAGCAAGTATCTACTGCTGATCGCTGACGAAGCCAGTGGATGCATGAAGGACTTCTGTCTACGTGTGAAATCGGAGAGTGAAAACTACATCACACGATACATCAGGATGGTGCAAGCGCAGTTTGGCAAGAAGGTCTAGCTCGTCCGACACGACGGAGCCCGCGAGTTTGCAACCAACTCGCTTCAAGAATTTTACGAAGATGAAGGCATTGAGCAGCAGACGACAGTGCCATATGCACACCAGACCAACGGCACGGCAGAGCGCGCCATTCGGACTATCGTCACAATTGGTCGCAGCATGCTCCACCATGCTAAGCTGGAAAAGTGCTTCTGGGCAGAAGCAGCATTGACGGCAATCTACGTCATGAACCGTCTGCCGTCGCCTTAAGTTATGCACAAGACTCCATTCGAGATCGTCCCCAACTCCAAGCCAAGTATCAAGCACATGCGGGTGTTCGGTTGTCAGGTTTACATACTGACACCGAAGGGGGAAGCGGCTCAAGTGGGATCCAAAGGCTCGCACTGGAATATTCTTGGGCTACGAAGAAGCGTCCAAAGCGTATCGCGTTTATGACATCGAGGCGAGGCAGGTGGTCACCAGTCGCGATGTCAACTTTGACGAGTCCGCCTTTGGACTTTCGCCGCCAACCACCACTGAAGACGCCGATGACATTGACTTCGACTCCCTCGATCTGGATGATGAAGCGCCAGGTCAAGCGCAGTAAAAGCAAACAGGCAAGCGCAAGAGTCGTCCCCATGATGAAGGAGTACTAGCTCCACCCACGCGCACAGTGCGTCAACGGCCTGGACTAGAAGAATCAAGTGCGCCAGACAATCACACGACCCACCAAGATAAAGATGAAGAAACAAAGAAAGCTGATGCATCAACTCCGCCTGTGTTTTGGCGTGCGAGTGCGAACGCCATCGAAACGGCAGTAGACTCAACCGAGCCATCGACTTTTGAAGCTGCGGTGAGCGGTCCTGATCAAGTGCATTGGCGCGAAGCTATCCGTGCGGAACTTGAGTCGATGCGACTTCATGAAGTATTCCGCGCAGCCAAGCTACCTAAAGGACATCGCGCCATTGGCACGAAGTGGGTCTTCAAGATCAAGCGCAAAGCGGACGGATCAATTGACAAGTACAAGGCACGCCTTGTGGCAAAGGGTTTCAAGCAACAATATGGGATGGACTACACGGAAACATTCTCGCCCGTCGTCAAGTACGTGACGCTGCGCATGGTGATTGCAGTCGCCAAAAATTGCGGATGGACCATCGACCAACTCGACGTGGTGACGGCATTCCTGTATGGTGTCATGAAGGAACAAGTGTTGCGTCATCCCTGAATGCGTGGAATTGGAGGGCTCCTTCGATTGTCTGGAGTTAGTGAAGGCAATCTACGGACTCAAGCAAGCGTCGCGCGTATGGAACGAAACGTTTGACGAGTTCGTGTGTGCTATTGGATTTCAAGCGTCAAGCCTCGACCCGTTTCTCTACATAAGGATCGTGGAAGGGCAATGCGTGCTGCTGCTGGTGTATGTGGATGACGTGTTGATCACTGGTAGCTCATGCGAGCTAATCGCACGCACCAAGACCGACCTGAAGACACGATTCGAGATGTCTGACAGCGGCAAGTGTGCATTTGTGCTTGGAATCGAGCTTTTGGACGGCGCAGATGGAAGTGTAACACTATGCCAGCGTCGGTATGTGGATGATATCCTCAAGCGCTTTGGCATGGATGATTGCAAGGCAGTCGCAAGTCCAGTCGACATGAGCTCTCGACTTGTTTCAAGTGATGCAACTACCAAGGTCGATGCTCCTTTTCGCGAAGCTGTTGGTGCGTTGATGCACCTGACCACTGCGACGCGCCCGGACATTGCGTATGCTGCGAGGTACGTCTCGCGCTTCATGGAGAATCCGCAGCAAGAACATTGGACGGCGGTGAAGCGCATCTTTCGTTACTTGCAAGGGACCAAGTCGCACGGAATCTGCTACAAGCCAAGCGACAAGATCGACTTTCGTGGCTACTCGGATGCAGACTGGGCCGGCGACCACGCTGATCGCAAGTCGACGTCTGGTTACGTATTCATGCTGTTGGGTACGCCAGTGAGTTGGGGCAGCAAGAAACAGCCAAGTGTTTCGTTGTCCACGAGTGAAGCTGAATACATCGCACTCAGCTTGGCGATTCAAGAGGGAAAGTGGATTCATCGTCTGCTTTGTGAGATCATGATGGCTGCCAATGAAGAAGGACCGGAACTCATGATCCATGAAGACAATCAGTCGTGTATCAAGATGACAAAGAACCCGGTCAACCACGGCCGTACCAAGCACATTAATATCAAGTACCATCACATCCGTGATGAGGTCAAGCGCGGTGAAGTGAAGCTCAAGTACTGTGAAACTGCGGTGATGTTAGCGGACATCATGACGAAGGGACTTCACGGGCCACGCCACAAGGAGATGACGGCGACTCTCGGGGTTCGTGAGTGTTCGCATTGAGGGGGCGTGTTGACGGTCATCGGTTTCCTACCAGTATTGGTAACCGTGACCGGTCCAATCCGAACCGCCTGTTCAGCTTAGTATTTACGACGTAGTTCTTACGGTAATTACCATAGTTGATTAGACGCGTAGGATGATGAGACGCTTCACATGATTTATATATGCACCACATATAAATCATGTAGTAAGTAGTAAGCCCCGATAATCAATCACTTTCGAATTCTTCTTCTGCCGAGCAAGTCTTCTCTACTCCGCTCCTCAAGCCTCTTCGCTCCCTCCGGTCTCTTCCGGTCTTCTCGTCACTCCCGTGCCATTCCATCAACAGCGATGACGGCCATCTGCGTCAAGAATCGACTGTTGTCACCTGAAGTCGTACAACAGACCCCGTTTGAGATCGTCTACAACTCGAAACCAAGAGTCAAGCACATGCGAGCATTCGGGTGTCAGACGTACATACTGACACCTAAAGAGAATTGACTCAAGTGGGATCCAAAGGCTTGCACTGGCATATTTGTGGGTTACGAAGAAGTGTAGAAGGCGTATCGAATTTACGACATCGAGGCGGGGCAGGTGGTTATTAGTCGCTATGTCAACTTCGACGAGTCCACATTTTGGACTTCAACTGCCGATCACTGATGAAGATGTCGATGACCTGGACTTCGAATTGCTGGATCTTGATGACGAAGAGCTGCGTCAAATGGAGTACAAGCAAACAGGCAAGCGCAAGAACCGACTCAATGATGAAGATACAGCAGCTCCACGACCGCGTGCAGTGCGTCAACGACCAGGACTAGAAGAGTCAAGCGCGCCGGAAAACAACTCGTCACGCCAAGAAGAAGACGAAGAAACGAAGGATTCTAGTGATTAAACACCGCCTGTGTTTTGGCGTGCGAGTGCAAATGCCGTTGAAGCAGCAGTGGACTTATCGGAGCCCTCAACCTTTGAGGCGGCAGTGAGCGGCCCTGACCAAGTGCACTGGAGAAAAGCAATTCATGCAGAGCTCGAGTCAATGCGACTTCGCGGTGTGTTTCGTGCAGCCAAGCTGCCCAACGGACAACGCGCCATTGGCACAAAGTGGGTGTTCAAGATCAAGCGCAAGGCGGATGGGTCAATCGAGAAGTGCTAGGCACGGCTTGTGGCCAAGGGTTTCCGCCAAAAGTATGGCATCGACTACACGGATACATTTTCGCCCGTGATCAAGTATGTGACGCTGCGAATGGTGATCGCAATTTCCAGGCACTTTGGATGGCCCATCGACCAGCTTGGTGTGGTGACGGCTTTCCTGTATGGCATCATTAAGGAACAAGTGTTCTGTGTGATTCCTGAAGGCGTTGGACTTGATAGTGCGTTCGACTGCCTGGATTTTGGTGAAGTCAATTTACGGCCTCAAGCAAGCGTCACGAGTGTGGAATGAGATGTTCGACGAGTTTGTGTGCTTCATTGGATTTCGAGTATCGGACTTCGACCCATGTATCTACATCAAGACTTTGGACGGCCATTGTGTATTTGTACTGTGTTGCATTGTAGATCGGAGCGAGGAAAGCGGAGCGAACGGGGCGGAAATACCGAAGAGGGTAGAGCATAAATCACTTGCCCAATAGTTGGAAGATTCGAAAGTGATCGATTATCGGGACTTACTACTTACTACATGATTTATATGTGGTGTACATATAAATCATGTGAAGCGTCTCATCATCCTACGCGTCTAATCAACTATGGTAATTACCATGAGAACTACGTCGTATAAACTAAGCTGAGCAGGCGGCTCGGATTGAACCGGCCACGGCTACGAATACTGGTAGAAAAAAGATTACCGTCAACACGCCCCCTTAATCCGAACGTGCACAGATGCCTAGCGCCGCCGTTAAGTCCTTGTGGCGCGGTCCGTGAAGTCCCTTCGTCATAATGTCTGCCAACATCATCGTCGTCTCGCAGTATCCAAGCTTCACTTCACCACGCTTCACTTCATCGCGAATGTGATGGTACTTGATATTAATGTGCTTGGCACGGCCGTGGTTGACCGGGTTCTTTGTCATCTTGATACGACTAATTGTCTTCATGGATCATGAGTTCCGGTCCTTCTTCATTGGCAGCCATCACGATCTCACAAAGCAGACGATGAATCCACTTGCCCTCTTGAATCGCCAAGCTGAGTGCGATGTATTCGGCTTCACTCACGGACAACGAAACACTTGGCTGTTTCTTGCTGCCCCAACTCACTGGCGTACCCAACAGCATGAATACGTAACCAGACGTCGACTTGCGATCAGCGAGGTCGCCGGCCCAGTCTGCATCCGAGTAGCCACGAAAGTCGATCTTGTCGCTTGGCTTGTAGCAGATTCCGTGCATCTTGGTGCCTTGTAGGTAGCGAAAGATGCGCTTGACCGCAACCCAGTGTTCTTCTTGGAGATTCTTCATGAAGCGCGACACAAAGCTCACAGCATAGGCGATGTCCGGTCGTGTTGTAGTCGTCAGATGCATCAAAGCACCAACCGCTTCACGAATGGAACATCGATCTTGCTCGCAGTGTTACTTGACATCAGTCGAGAGATCACGTCGACTGGACTTGCGACTGTCTTGCAATCATCCATGCCAAAGCGCTTGAGGATATCATCGACATACCGACGCTGACATAGTGTCACACTGCCATCTTCACCGTCCAAAAGCTCGATCCCAAGAACAAACGCACACTTGCCGCTGTCCGTCATCTCGAACCGCGTCTTCAGGTCGTTCTTGGTTTGTGCAATCAGCTCGAGCGAGCTTCCAGTCACCAAGACGTCGTCCACGTAGACCAGTATAAACACGCAATGGCCGTCCGAAGTCTTGATGTAGAGACATGGGTCGAAGTCCGATACTTGAAATCCAATGGAGCACACATACTCTTCGAACGTCTCGTTCCACACTCGCGACGCTTGCTTGAGGCCGTAAATTGACTTCACCAATTCCAGGCAGTCGAACGTACTGTCAAGTTCAATGCCTTCAGGAATCACATAGAACACTTGTTCCTTCATGATGCCATACAGGAAAGCTGTCACCACATCAAGCTGGTCGATGGGCCATCCAAAATGCTTGGAAATTGCGATCACCAGTCGCAGCGTCACATACTTGACCACAGGCGAAAATGTCTCCGTGTAGTCGATGCCATACTTTTGGCGGAAACCCTTGGCCACAAGCCGTGCCTTGTACTTCTCGATTGACCCATCCGCCTTGCGCTTGATCTTGAACACCCACTTTGTGCTAATGACGCGTTGTCCGTTGGGCAGCTTGGCTGCACGAAACACATTACGAAGTCGCATTGACTCGAGCTCTGCATGAATTGCTTTTCTCCAGTGCACTTGGTCAGGGCCGCTTACTGCTGCTTCAAATGTTGATGTGCATACGGCACCGTTGTCTGCTGTTCAATGCCTTCGTCTTCGTAGAACAGTTGAAGCGAGTTGGTTGCAAACTCGCGAGCTCCGTCGTGTCGCACGAACTTGACCTTCTTACAGAATTGCGTCTGTACCATGGCGATATATTTCCGGATGTAGTCTCCACTTTCGGACTTCACTCGTAGACAAAAGCCCTTCATGCATCCACTGGCTTCGTCGATGATCAGCAGCAAATATTTGCTGCCACCGAGCGAATCCTTTTCCATGGGCCCGCAGATGTCCAGATGAAGTAGCTCAAACGTGTCGTAACTTCGCTTGTCACGATTGCTTGGGAATGGGTTTTGGACCATTTTCCCTTGCTGACATTCTCGACATGTACCTGATCCACTTGACTTGAGAGGCACTTCCACATCTTTGATCATGTTGGTCGCGAGGGGCGATCATCTTGCAAAGCACATCGACTGGAGCATGACCCATTCTCGCATGTAGATCAGCACAGCTGGTTCCACTTGTTGTCACATTTGCTGATCGCTGAGTCTTCCGAAGCCAGTAAAGTCCATCCACAAAATCTGCAATCGCCACCGCTTGATGTGAGTTCTTGAGAGAGTCACATACATCTTGGACCCGTCAATCACGACTTGGAACTTGCCATGCCTGTGATCTGTGGCACCGAAAGCAGGTTCTTGCTCATACTTGGAACACATAGTGTGTTCTTGATCTCGATCTTGCGCTCTTCACCGTTGGGCAGAACCACCTTTTCCATGATGGTTCCCACACCCTTGATGGCCACCTTGTTGCCATCAGCCACCAATAGTTAGCCTTCATTGCACTCTGCCAAGCTTGCAAACTTGGTCTTGTCGTGGCAAATGTGGTGCGTTGCACTACTATCGACGGTCCCCATTCCAAACACGTCCTTGCTCGTCAAAACACCACATTCGAACGAGACTGCAAACGCCACTCGATTGCAGCCATTGCCTTCACCATAATGTCCCCACTGGACGTTATTAGCCCCGCGTCCACGACCATTGCCGCCGCGTCGGGCTCCCCGACCTTCGTTCTTCTGCTTTGTCCAGCAAAGATCCACCGTGTGTCCCTCCTTGCCACAATACGTGCATTGGTAGGGCTCACGCTCGGCGCTGAATGCCTTGCTTGCATCTTCAGCCTTCAGCGTAGTCGCTGTTGTCGTCACCTATCCCCTTGACGCTTGGCGTGCTCATTCGTCAGGACTCTTGTTGCATTGTAGATCGGAGCGAGGAAAGCGGAGCGAACGGAGCGGAGAGACCGAAGAGAGTAGAGCAGAAAACACTTGCCCAATAGTTGGAAGATTCGAAAGTGATCGATTATCGGGACTTACTACTTACTACATGATTTATATGTGGTGTACATATAAATCATGTGAAGCGTCTTATCATCCTACGCGTCTAATCAACTATGTTAATTACCGTAAGAACTACGTCGTAAATACTAAGCTGAACAGGCGGTTCGGATTGGATCGGTCACGGTTACCAATGCTGGTAGAAAACCGATGACCGTCAACATACTGGTCTACGTGGACGACGTCTTGGTGACTGGAAGCTCGCTCGAACAAATTGCGCGAACCAAGAACGACCTGAAGACACGTTTCGAGATGACAGACAGCGGCAAATGTACATTTGTTCTTGGGATCGAGCTTTTTGGACGGTGAAGATGGCAGTGTGACTCTGTGTCAGCGCCGTTATGTCGATGATATCCTCAAGCGCTTTGGAATGGAGGAGTGCAAGGCTGTGGCGAGTCCTGTGGATGTCAGCTCTCGACTGATGTCAAGCAACACTGCGAGCAAGATCGATGTTCCATTCGTGAAGCGGTTGGTGCTTTGATGACGACTACAACACGACCGGACATCGCCTATGCTGTGAGCTTTGTGTCGCGCTTCATGAAGAATCTCCAAGAAGAACACTGGGTTGCGGTCAAGCGCATCTTTCGCTACCTACAAGGCACCAAGATGCACGGAATCTGCTACAAGCCAAGCGACAAGATCGACTTTCGTGGCTACTCGGATGCAGACTGGGCCGGCGACCTCGCTGATCGCAAGTCGACGTCTGGTTACGTATTCATGCTGTTGGGTACGCCAGTGAGTTGGGGCAGCAAGAAACAGCCAAGTGTTTCGTTGTCCGTGAGTGAAGCCGAATACATCGCACTCAGCTTGGCGATTCAAGAGGGCAAGTGGATTCATCGTCTGCTTTGTGAGATCGTGATGGCTGCCAATGAAGAAGGACCGGAACTCATGATCCATGAAGACAATTAGTCGTATCAAGATGACAAAGAACCCGGTCAACCACGGCCGTGCCAAGCACATTAATATCAAGTACCATCACATTCGCGATGAAGTGAAGCGTGGTGAAGTGAAGCTTGGATACTGCGAGACGACGATGATGTTGGCAGACATTATGACGAAGGGACTTCACGGACCGCGCCACAAGGACTTAACGGCGGCGCTAGGCATCTGTGCACGTTCGGATTAAGGGGGAGTGTTGACGGTCATCTTTTTTCTACCAGTATTCGTAGCCGTGGCCGGTTCAATCCGAGCCGCCTGCTCAGCTTAGTTTATACGACGTAGTTCTCATGGTAATTACCATAGTTGATTAGACGCGTAGGATAATGAGTTCTCATGGTAATTACCATAGTTGATTAGACGCGTAGCAACGCTTCACATTTTTATATGTACACCATATCTAAATCATGTAGTAAGCCCCGACAATCAATCACTTTCGAATCTCCCAACTAGTGAGGAAGTGTCTTCTGCTCTACTCTCTTCAGTCTCTCCGCCTACTTCGCTCCGCTTTCTGCCATGTAGCAGGTTATGAGCCCAAGCGCCATGTCGTCCACCACCAACGCATCATCCAACGTCTCCATTGACCAGTTCAATGGAGACAACTATGTGACTTGGAGTCGATACATGCGCAGTGTGTATTTGACGAAGTCCGACTGGTACGTCGTAAACCGTGAAGCGACTCCGACTTTCACCGACCCGCGAGCGTCCGGGACTACATTAAGGCGAGCAACGTCGCGTTTGATGTGATGCTGCTACACATGAATGCGGACTACCACCATGTGCTTGACAGCTGCGAGGAAGCCTGGGTTGCGTGGACAAGTCTGAAGACGCTGTAAGGTGGGTCGCAGAAGGCAGACAAATCTTCCTCAAGCAACAACTTTTCTGCACCAAGATGGATGAAGGCGCGAGCGTCATGCACCACTGCAACAAGGTCCTCAACGTCTCCGCCAAGCTTAGCGGCATCAGTGCGAAGATGGAAGACGAAGACGTTGCGATCTGTATGCTGCTCATTCTTCCAAAGAGCTACGAAAATGTGGTGCTCAACATGGAAATGAGCAGCGCCGAGCTTCGTACCCAGGATGTGGTGAGAGGGGCTGACGAATGAGCACGCCAAGCGTCAAGGAGAAAAAGGGACAACGACAGCGACTACGGTGAAGGCTGAAGATGCAAGCAAGGCATTCAGCACCGAACGTGAGCCCTATCAATGCACGTATTGTGGCAAGGAGGGACATACGGTGGATCTTTGCTGGACAAAGCAGAAGAACGAAGGTCAAGCAGCCCGACGTGGCGGCAATGGTCGTGGACGCGGGGCTAATAACGTCCAGTGGGGACATTATGATGAAGGCAATGGCTGCGATCGAGTGGCGTTTGCAGCCGCGTTCGAATGTGGAGTTTCGACGAGCAAGGACGTGTTTGGAATGGGGACCGTCGATAGTAGTGCAACGCACCATATTTGCCACAACAAGACCAAGTTTGCAAGCTTGGCAGAGTGCAATGAAGGCTAACTATTGGTGGCTGATGGCAACAAGGTGGCCATCAAGGGTGTGGGAACCATCATGGAAAGGTGGTTCTGCCCAACGGTGAAGAGCGCAAGATCGAGATCAAGAACACACTATGTGTTCCAAGTATGAGCAAGAACCTGCTTTCGGTGCCACAGATCACAGGCATGGCAAGTTCCAAGTCGTGATTGACGGGTCCAAGATGTATGTGACTCTCAAGAACTCACAGCAAGCAGTGGCGACAGCGGATTTTGTGGTTGAACTTTACTGGCTTCGTACGACTCAGCAATCAGCAAATGTGACAACAAGTGGAACCGGCTGTGCTGATCTACATGCGCAAATGTGTCACGCTCCAGTGGATGAACTATACTGGCTTTGTACGACTCAGCGATCAGCAGATGTGACAAATTTACTGGCTTCGTACGACTCAGCAATCAGCAAATGTGACAACAAGTGGAACCGGCTGTGCTGATCTACATGCGCAAATGGGTCACGCTCCAGTGGATGAGCTTTACTGGCTTTGTATGACTCAGCGATCAGCAAATGTGACAACTTTACTGCCTTCGTACGACTCAGCGATCAGCAAATGTGACAACTTTACTGGCTTCGTACGACTCAGCGATCAGCAAATGTGACAACAAGTGGGACCAGCTGTGCTGATCCACATGCGCGAATGGGTCACGCTCCAGTTGACGTACTTCGCAAGATGATCACGACCAACATGATCAAGGATGTGCAAGTCCCTCTTGTTGATTGGTGAAAAGCTTGACGACCGAAACTGGGAGTGATGCTGGGAGTCCACTCGGAAGACCGGAGGAGACACTTGGGGGGTAGATGGAAGATTCGAAAGTGATCGATTATCGGGGCTTACTACTTACTACATGATTTATATGTGGTGCACATATAAATCATGTGAAGCGTCTCATCATCCTACGCGTCTAACCAACTATGTTAATTACCGTAAGAACTACGTCGTAAATACTAAGCTGAACAGGCGGTTCGGATTGGACCGGTCACGGTAACCAATACTGGTAGAAACCGATGACCGTCAACACGCCCCCTCAATCCGAACTCGCACGATTGCCGAGAGCCGTCGTCAAGTCCTTGTGGCGAGGTCCCGAAAGTCCCTTGGTCATGATGTCCGCCATCATCACGGAAGTCTCGCAATACTCGAGCTGCACTTCACCGCGCTTGACCTCATCACGGATGTGATGGTACTTGATGTCGATGTGCTTGGCGCGGCCATGATTCACCGGATTCTTCGTCATCTTGACGCACGACTGGTTGTCTTCACGGATGACGAGGTCCGGTCCTGGTTCGTTTTTGCGGCCGCCAAAATCTCGCATAGCAAGCGATGCACCCACTTGCCTTCCTGGATGGCCAGACTCAGTGCGATGTATTCCGCTTCACTCGTCGACAGCGACACACTTGACTGCTTCTTGCTTCCCCAACTCACAGGAGCACCCATCAGCATGAAAGTGTAACCCGAAGTCGACTTGCGATCAGCGTGGTCGCCGGCCCAGTCCGCGTCCGAGTAGCCACGAAAGTCGATCTTGTCGCTTGGCTGGAAGCGGAGTCCGTGCGACTTGGTCCCTTGCAAGTAACGAAAGATGCACTTCACCGCCGTCCAATGTTCTTGCTGCGGATCCTCCATGAAGCGCGAGACGTACCCCACAGCATACGCAATGTCCGGGCGCGTCGCAGTCGTCAAGTGCATCAAAGCTCCCACAGCTTCACGAAACGGAACATCGATCTTGGCCGCTTCGCTGCTTGCGACAAGCCGAGTGCTCAAGTCGACCGGACTTGCTGTGGCCTTGCACTCATTCATGCCGAAGCGCTTGAGGATGTCGTTGACATACCGTCGCTGGCACATCGTCACGCTGCCATCCGATTCGTCCACCAGTTCGATGCCTAGTACAAAAGTACACTTGCCACTGTCGGTCATCTCGAAACGCGTCTTGAGGTCGGCCTTCGTCTGCGCAATCAACTCGAGCAAGCTGCCGGTGACCAACACGTCATCCACGTAGACCAGCACGAGCACACAGTGACCGTCGACAACATTGATGTAGAGACATGGGTCGAACGCCGACGCTTCGAAACCGATAGAGCATACGAATTCGTCGAAAGTCTCGTTCCACACACGTGAAGCTTGCTTGAGACCGTAGATCGCCTTCACCAACTCGAGACAGTCGAAGTCGCCATCCATCTCGACGCCTTCTGGTATCACGCAGTACACCTTCTCCTTCATCACTCCGTAGAGAAAGGCTGTCACCACATCGAGTTGGTCCAGTGGCCAGTCGAAATACTTGGTGATCGCGATCACCATACGCAGTGTCACGTACTTGACCACGGGCGAGAACGTCTCTGTGTAGTCGATGCCATACTTCTGCTTGAAGCCCTTGGCAACGAGACGCGCCTTGTATTTCTCGACCGATCCATCCGCTTTGCGCTTGATCTTGAACACCCACTTGGTGCCGATCGCGCCTTGGCCTCTTGGCAGTTTTGCCGCACGGAAAACTCCACGAAGATGCATCGACTTGAGTTCCGCCTTCACAGCGTTTCTCCAGTGAGCTTGATCAGGACCATTTATCGCGTCTTGAAAAGTCACAGGTTCTGCTAGGTCCATTGCTTCCACTGCGTTTGCACTTGCACGCCAAAATGTTGGAGGCGTCGAGTCGTCATCTTGATCGTAGACGCTTGCATCTTCTTCGTCATCAGACATCGTTTCTGGAGCACTTGATCGTCGTTTCTGGTGACGGTTGGAGACGTGTTCCGGCGCACTTGCTTGTTCCAACCCAGTTCGAGGGCGAGCTGAACGTGACATGCCGGGTCTTGCTTCACTCTTGCGCTTGCCAGTCTGCTTGTAGACGGTTTGACGCACGTCGTCCTCGTTGATCGCGAGGAGGTCGAGGTCCAACTTCACATCTTCATCATCGTCACTTGGTCGGTCCATTGAAAAGTCAAAAGTCGATTCGTCGAAGGTGATGTCACGACTGATCACCACTTGGCCCGCCTCAATGTCGTACACTCGATAAGCTTTTGAAGCTTCTTCGTAGCCCATGAATATCTCTTCACGAGCCTTCGGGTCCCACTTCAATCGCTTCTCCCTTGGTGTCAGGATAAACGCCCGACATCCAAACACGCGCATGTGGTTGACACTTGGTTTCGACTTGTACACGATTTCGAACGGAGTCTTGTGGTCGATCTTGGGTGAAGGCAGGCGGTTCTTGATGTAGATCGCCGTCATTGCCGCTTCAGCCCAGAAACACTTCTCCAGTTTTGCATGATGCAACAAGCTGCGTCCGATCGTGACGATGGTCCTTATCGCTCGTTCTGCGGTGCCGTTGGTCTGGTGTGCATACGGCACCGTGATCTGTTGTTCGATACCATGATCTTCGTAGAAGGTCTTGATGGAGCTGGTCGCAAACTCATGCGCTCCATCGTGCCGAACAAACTTGATCTTCGTGCCGAACTGAGTTTGAATCTTGATAATGTGGTTCTTGATACAGTCTTCACTCTCAGACTTGGACCGCAGACAGAAGCCCTTCATGCAACCGCTGGCTTCATCAACCACAAGCAGTAAGTATCTGCTGCCACCGATCAAGACTTGTTCCATTGGCCCGCAGATGTCGAAGTGTAGCAACTCGAACACACTGTGGCAAAGTCACTACTCAAGTTTTGTACGAGGATCGGTGGCCACACCTTTAAAGCGCCGCTTACTGGTGGAAAAAGAGGCCATGAGACTCGGCGATCCAATACGGAGGTGGAAGATGATCTTAACGGGATTGGCGAACCGATCCAACTGTCGTTAGACTAATGGGTATGGATCGACCTGGGACGGAGCGATCTGGAACGATTTACATGGAACAATCTGGGACAAGGATCTGGGACCGGGTGATGGGATATGACTCTGCGACGAAGGTGTAACATCTTGCAGAATGTTATGGGGCGATTTGGAACCAGACATCGGGATGAAGTCATACAGCTCATTGGAATGCCGGTCAAGAAGAAGTATACGTACATTGAAGCAGGCTAAGATCAGATCGCAGATCGACATGCTGTGGCAACGGTTTGTTGGAGAATTGACACATCTGGGACAAGGTGACTCCCCAAAGTGCATCTGGGACCAGGTGGTACGGGTCGGTGAATCGGCAAAGAAGGTGCAACACCATACGGATCGGTGATACTCTTTACCGATCCTAAATTGGGAGTACTGATTTTGGTTAATTATACACCGATCTGGAAGTTTTGCATACTCAGGGGAGTCAAGGAAACCGATGTCGAGACGTATGAATGAAGTTTTCGATTGGATAACACTGGAGGATGATATTGAAGCACGTATGAGGAGATGAAAAAGTGTTAATTGCCGATTTAGACCGGATCGACCTCCAACATCTCGATATTGGATGACAGATCGGTCATTTTCCACACTGATCATGAATATATGGTTGATGAAGATACTGGATCATGTGGAATATACTTGATAGAGGTCACTAAGTGATGTCAAGAAGTTTCATGCCGAAAGAGCCAGTGGAAGCTGTCCGAATTGACGTCGCAAAGTGAATTTGGGACACCTTCGGCATTTTGGGTCATATATTGGGTACTTGGGTGCCAAGAATGGGTATTTGGTACCATATAGGAGATTTTGGTCCATTTGGTGCTCTAGGTACGATATCGGGGATATTGGCGCTATCATTGGAGTACAGGGCACGAAATTTCGACACGTGGCAAGGGGGCGAACCAGATTCAAGGCGATATCGGTTTGAAGAGTGACCTATAGTTAAGAATAGGCTTAAGGGTAGGTTGGATAGTAATTTGGTTGGTTAATAAACAGACTTGAACTCTACTTCTTCTGCTCACGACGCACGTTATCCTCCCCTCTTCTCCAGGCAAGATTGATTTGGCTTCCCCGGCGGGTTAAGGCACGCGTGTTACAGGGACACAGAAGACCGATCTTGGATTGTTGGCCAAGATCGAGAAGAGCGATCCCGGGATATCTGGCCCGGATCGATCAAGTACTCACACTCAACTCAACTGCTAGGGTAGCAGCACACAACGGAAAAGGAAAAGGATTTTGGACACAGGATCGCGAGACGGCTCAAGTGGTCAGAAGATCTGGACAAGGCGTTCAAGACAAGACCGAGCAGGATCGAAGCGATCCCCTGGACAGATCGGCACGTTTCATTTTGGCGAAACAAGACACCGATCTACCCAAATTGCGCACTTCTGGCAAGATCGGCCGATCCCAAGACCAGATCGGACCGATCCCAAGGCAAGATCGACGCAGGACTTTTATTTGCTGAGTGAAGATTTCCGCACAGCAAAGACCCCGATCTCGAAGACAAATCAAGATCGGTGCGATCCAAGATCGGGATCGCAGAACCCCCGTTCGTGGTGTGAAGATTTCCGCACCGGAAGCGAACCCTCAACCCAACCTCTCAGCGATATCGACATCTCCCAAGGCCGTTACGAAGAGCTCAAGCCAGCCCAACCGACGGGTACACAAGGTGAGCACAAGGTCATACAACAAGGCACGGATCGGAGTACCCCCTCCGTGAGTCGGCAAGTCTGGGCAAGTGGAAGATCGACACTCATACAAGCAATTTTGTGAGATCGACTTCACCACAATGGTGCGCGTGCCCGGATCTTCTGAGGCCTCTGGATTTCACCGTGAGTCCACTGGCGAAGATGTCAAGATTAAGCAAGAACCTGGGATTGAAGTGTCAGCGACAAAGGGATCGACGCAGACACGCAGAAGCACAAGATCCTCAGATCATCAGAGTTTTGGGAGGGGCTCTGATGAAATGAAAATGAAAGAGGAAGATCGAGAGATCGATCTGGAAGATAAACCTCAATTCCCTCCTAGGGTCCCTTCGGGGGCCACCGCAGATCGCACTGCAAAGCGCGATCTGCTGGATGAAAATCCAATGGTGAAAACCAAATCGGCGAAAGCCAAACCCTACATCTTAGTCGATAGATCGCCCGACCTCAAGCCGAAGAGCACAATCGCGAGATCGACCACATCAGAACGATCCGCGACGAGATCGATGGGATCAGATGTCAAAGATCGCCAGATCGGCCGAACCGTGCAATCGAAGATTGGAGCCAAAGAGGAATACGATGAAACACCAGATAAGATCGCGATGCCAAAGACGGAACATAACCCAATAAAGATCGCGTCCATGGAGAAGGAGACGACGGGTGAAGCGCGGGGAGCGTGCAAAATGGCAGTACTATTATGGCCAGTTGAAGACGCTGCTCAAGACGGACCCAGTGTTCAAGATATTAAGGCCCAAGGTGATTGGTCCTCTGGATAAGCCGATCTCGGTCCCACTTCACGGGACCAACAAAGTCGACGAGATCAATTTGATTTTGCAGATGTTGGACGACATGGGTATCTGCCCTGACGCTTTTGATGGAGATGAACTGCTGAGTTGCAGCTTGGAACAGTTGAAGGACGCGGCGAATGAGTTTGTAGAGATCATGATAATGCTGGTGGGCAAAGCGAATACTCCTGAAGACAAGATCGGGACGCCCTCGGGCTCGCTCCGTAAACACCCCGCGGGATCGCCCGCTACGCCTCGGATGACTCCGAGAGCGAGTCAGATGGATCCATCAGCATTCGTCAGATGTCTCTAGGACCATCGGGTGGAAGGTTCTTAAAGGACAAGATCGGACAAGCCAAGATCGACGCCTATAAGGGACAAGCCAAGAGCAACATGCCGCAGAGATCGGCCAGTACCCGCACTGGGCTGGAGGATCAAGAAGAGGGCGATCTAAGTCGGTACTTCAATTCAGCCATGAAGAAGTACGAGGCGGATCAACGTACAGCTCAGCGAATGAATCGACAGCCAAACCGCTACCCAGATCGACGTACTTTGCTCCAACCTTCACACGAAAGCCTTGACATGCCGGATGTGGAGATGGAGTCGGTGGGGTCGGACATTTACCAACATATCCATGAGGCGGCGGAATACGACCCGGATGATCTATGGATGCCCGAACCACGGCGCCCTCATGTAGCCGCGACCGGTGCGACTACCGGAGGGGGAAGCATCACGCAGAGGATCAGAATCTCAGCGATTTCTGAGCTGAAAGAATTCTCAGGGAAGGATCGGGAAGAAGACAAAGCACGGACCTGGATCGGCAAAGTGAAATCAGCGTTTATCAGGGACCAAGCACCGGGCGAGGAGAGATGTCTGGTCTTCGGTGATCTCATGGTGGGCCCAGCCCGCTACTGGTATCGACAGCTGAGTAGATCGACGAGATTCAATTGGAAAGAATTGATGAACAGTTTTCTTGTGGAGTATGCGGGACACGGGATGTCCGCGAGCAGGCAGTACTACCATGCAGAGAAACGATCGGAGGAAGATCCTTTACAGTACCTGTATCGGCTTAATGTGATGGGAATGCAGGCGAAGATACCGGTGATGACTGGATTGCCAGCTGCGCGCAAGGAACATGTCAATCATTTCATTGACACCTTGGACGACCCCGATCTGTCCAATCAATTGCTACTGCTGAATGTAGAAGACGCGGGAGCCATGCAAAAGACACTGCACGGTTATCAACAAGGGAGATCGCGTCAAGGGAAAGTGATGATGGGATCGTCCAAATTCAGGCAGAAGGGAACTCAGGGTCCAGCGCTGTCTAAGCCTGCACGAGCGGTAAGGATGGTCCGTACCGAGGACGTCTGCAGCGAGTCAGGATTGGACACCTGCGGATCGGATTTGGAAGATCGATTGAGATCGATCCATGTGGCTGCTACTGCGGATCGCCGTTCATCCCCCAATGACGTTGCAGCAAACGCGAGATCGGTCGACCCGAACACTCGTCAAGACTATCAAGATCGCAATATGCCATTGAAGCCGTGTACTCATTGCGGATCGACCAAGCATGGAGATCTCGGTTGCTGGAAGCGGCTCACTTGCCAGAAGTGTGGGCGTAAAGGACACCCCTCTGACAATTGTTTTTTCGTGTGTCGTGCTTGCGGTGAGATGCACGACCCGGGGAAGTGTCCCATGGAGGAGTTCTACAACATGATCCGTCAGTGGTACGTCCCGAATAAGCATGCGGGGATGCTACCAGAGAAGGCCGAGAAGATGTTAAACTAGGACGCTCGCCAGGTTTGAATCTGGTACGAGCCGAGCGTTCTGGGCTCTGCATTATTGCATACGTGGAAAAAAAGAAGACAGATCGCGAGAGTAAGCAGGATATTGACGTGGAAACAAATATATCTCGTTCGAAGTTAAAACGTGTCGCTTCCGTGTCCCATCTGAAGCGGATCGATGAGTACTCACGATCTGAACCAGCTATGGAGATCGAGCTCGCTTATGGTGAATCTCGCGGATACTGGAAACATTATTCACCCGGGAAGTGGTTCAAACAAGCGAAAGCCGTTGGCAAGATCAACAATGTAAAAGCTACTCTGTTATTTGATTCTGGTGCTGAAGTGTCGATCATTGACACCACCTTTGCTCGTGAGGTCGGTTGCAATATTGACGAAAGTCAACGACAAGAATGTATCGGGATTGGAGAAACTCCGTACATGACGGTAGGACGTACCAAGATCAAGGTGACCCTCGCGGGATCGCTGGTATACTATTTCAATGTATGGGTAGGCGATCTGGCAGGGCAAGAAGCGATTCTGGGTATGGATTTTATGGTGCCTGCTGGAGTGCGGCTCGATCTAGCGGATGGCGCGCTATGTCTACCAGAAGAAATCCGCATTCATCTCGCAGGACGTCGCCCCGCGTACGGATCGAAGATACAACATATAACGGCGAAGGACCAACACGTGGTGATCCCGGTCGGAGAGTCAAGGGAAGTGAAGATCGGGATCGGAGGGGCTAAGATGAAGTTGTGGGTCGCTAGAGGACTAGATTGGGTCCCCACTGTGATCTTGGGGTGGGGTAAGACGAAATACCTGCAGATGACCAACATTGACGACCGTGAGATCATACTGCCCACCCACACTATATTAGGCATGTGGGTCGAAGGCGATATGGTACCGCGAACTCAAGGTTTGGTGACAGTCGGGTCAGGGAAGTACAAGGAATGGCAAACTCTGGCATATGAGGCTACGACGGATCGAGTGAACGAACTCCCCGAAAGAACAGATCGGACCATTGGTAGACCGTCCTACGTATGCCGCTCCCAAACGCATCTTGAAACGTCCGTCTGATGCGTTACAGAACCTGTCTCCGGCGATCTCCACGGTAACGCCGCAAGCTAACGATGACGATTCGCAAAAGGCAGATGCTGTAGTTGCGAGGGAAGTAACGGTCAGGGGAGACGAACTATCGCGGATGGAGAACGGTCATGAGATCGGTACCCAACATGCAACGAAGGGAGACCGCGACACCGGTCAAGAAGGGCTACGTGACAGATCGTCTCTACCGAAGGCTGAGCCGACTGACCGACTGTTGAAATTGGGCCAGCCGGAAGAGACGAAGGAGCCTAAAGAAGAAATAATGCTAAATACTGAAGACGTCGAGATCGCAGAAATACCAGTTTATCACCACGAGAGCGGAGATTTGTTGCGGAAGATATCGAGCAGCATATGGCCGTGCTACCAGAGATGTCGGCGACTACGGAAGAAGTTACGATTGAGGACATTCAGATCGGTGATCCCGATGTGCCTCTCACCACAGATCAACACCGGCTCAGATCGCTGATCTGGAAGAGCCGTCACCTCCTCATGGGTAAAGGTAATGCTCTACCACCACCAGCACGAGGCGCGATCTGTGATATTGATGTCGGTGGGGCAGCGCCGATAGCGCAAAGAGTGCGTCCGGTCGCACCCAAATATCGGGAGAAGCTGTCAGATCTCATCAAAGGACTATTAGCAGCCAAAATCGTTCAGTCATCCACGTCACCTTGGGCGTCTCCGATAGTGGTGATCATCAAGAAGTACGGAGTGGATATTCGCCTTTGCATTGATTATCGAAGAGTGAACCAGCTGACGCGTCTGATGGTTTATCCCATGCCGTTGATCAGCGATCTGTTGGAAGATCTGGATAAAGCTCTATGGTACTGTTCGCTAGACATGGCTAGTGGATTTTGGGTCGTCGAAATGACTGAACGAGCAAACTGATCTCAGCGTTTGTCACACCGTTTGGCTTGTTCGAGTGGCTGCGAATGCCTTTTGGGCTTAAGAACGCGCCCCAGATCTACCAACGTCTGGTGGACAATGTGTTGTATGGATATCTCAAGATCGGCCAGAGATCAGCCTCTGATGGCCCGATCGATGTGTTCAAAGATGGAGAGCCTGAGACAGATCGACGACCCTCTATACTGGGACGCCGATCTTACATTGACGATATTCTCATACCAGCCACGTCATAGGGATCTTTGTACACAAAAGTAGAACGGTTGCTGGAGGCATGTGATAAGTGGAATCTGTCTATCAGCCTCACGAAGAGCTTTTGGGGTGCCATAAGGTCGATTATTTGGGACATCGAGTGTCGATGGATGGTCTGGAGGCTCAGCCCAAGAACCTAGAGTCGTTGGTTAACATCCCGTTTCCTAGCACGCTACGAGCTATGCAATCCTTTCTCGGGAGCTTGAACTACTACCGTCGCTTCATTGAGGATTTCGCGGTGTATGCCGCGGTGTTGTATGAGTTAAGAGAATCGGATTTCTTCGAGATCGGCCGATCTCAGCTTGCAGCAGGAGACGAATGCTCCAACGAGGGTCGATGGACGGAAGCCAAGGTTGCTTTCACTATGCTAAAAGCTAAGATAGCTACAGCTCCCATGCTCAAGCATTTCGACCCAGATCGGTCCCCCGTAATCGTGGTCTACGCTAGCAAGTGGGCTGTCTCAGCGGCCCTGATACAGGAGTACGATGGCGTTTATCATCCGGTTACGTTTACTAGCCGCACTTTAAAGCCTAATGAGCTTAACTACGGAACGGTAGAAAAAGAAGTGCTGGCGCTACTTCGTGTGTTGGATGTATGCTATACTACGCTTGCCTCGCGGGAGATCACTGTACTGACCCGACATTCTACGTTAGCCTGGTTGATGCAGTCTCGAGGGCTCAACGGGAGATTAGGACGGTGGGCTGCTTTGTTGTCAAATTGGACTATGGAGGTGAAGAAATGTGAAAGAGGAGAGGAAGAGATCCTGGGCATGTTAGCAGCGAGTATCACTCCGAGAGGAGAAGTGGAAGAGATGCTGATTGCGATCTCCCCACGAAAAGACTGTCGACTCAAAATATCGATGCCTCCTCCAACGGTGGAAACAGATGAGGAGTTGCTGGTGGCCAGTTTCGATGGATCGGCTAGGATAAAAAAGAAAGGAGGGTCGTTCAGTGCCGTGATATGGAAGTTACCCGAATGGACGATCGTGGCGGCCGAATCGAGATATGTTCACGATCTGACTGTGAATGAAGCTGAGTATAATGGCTTGCTACTGTGCTTTGAGTTACTCGCCGATCTGGATAGGGGGCGAGTAATACTGTGTGGAGATTCCAGTCTGGTGATTCGACAGATGCGCGGTGAGATCGACTGCAAGGCACCGGGCCTTCAGCTTCTGAGACACAAAGCGTTGGAGAAGCTGCGGTCATGGCCTAGTCACGAGTTTCTGCATATGAAGCGAGAGTGGAATCAGAGCGCAGATCGACTAGCCAGCACAGCATTGCAGAGCGAAAAGGGAAGAACGGTTGTAGCTGAAGAGGATCGGCAAGATCTGATGACTCTGAACCGTCTCGATGAATTGTTGAAGCCCAAGCAAGATGGTCAGCTAGCTCGGGTAACTGCGATCGCGAGATCAGCCAGGAGGATACGTCATGAACCTGAAGTGATACAGGAGGAGATAGTACAGAGGATCAGGATTCAACGAATTGTCCAAGCTCAAGATGAAGAGCGTTGGATTGTCAATCTCAAGACATATCTAAGTGGCGATGTATCAAACTTGGATGCGGTAGAAGTGAAGATGTGCGCCAAACTGGCGCCGGAATACGAGATCGATGAGAACAATCTGCTATTTTTTTGCCCCATGGCGAAAAGAGAGTCGGAAGATCGCGATGGTTTGATGCGGTTGGTGATCCCTGAGACGTTGCAGCAGGATTTTTTGCATCACTATCACACGAGTCTGGAAGGAGGCCATCAGGGTATTGGCCGAACCTATCAGAGGATCAGATCGCGATTTCATTGGAGAGGACTGTATCGGAGCGTTCAACGATATGTGGGCGAATGTACCGACTGTGAGACCGGGAAAGGAAACCCGATGATTCATGGGAAATCCCCGGGCAATCTACACGCAACCTATCCATTCCAGATCATCGCCATGGATCATATACCGTCGTTGCCCAAGTCCATCAAGGGGAACACCGAACTGCTCATTTGGGTCGACCTTTCTCGGGGGATATGTGATTGCAAAGGCTAGCTCCTCTCGGACGGCACAAACAATAGCGGAGAATTACGAAGAATGTGTGTTTCGACGCTTCGGAGCTAGCGAGGCTATCAGGCACGATCGAGAACCGGGATTTATGTCCGACTTCTTTCGAGCCTTCAGTCGGATCGTAGGACAAAAACAGCGTGCTACTATGGCTTACAGGCCACAAGCAAATGGAACAGCCGAACGAATGGTGCAAACCCTGACACATTCGCTCAAGATGTACGTGGCTGAAGTTGACCAGCGAGACTGGGATGAGTATGCTGAGCGGCTCACATTTGCCATTAACACTGCACAAGATCGGATCCGGGGGATACCCCGTTTTATCTGATTCATGGGTGGGACCCGCGATCGACTTTGGAGGCTACGCTACCAGTGGGGAAATACGGGGACACGAGATCGCGATCCAAAGAGGTGGAGATACAAAATCCAAAGACAATACCAGCGAGCCCGATCTGCAGTGAACGATCGTTTACAAGCCGCGATCCAGGAGCGAGCGGATCGACACAACGAAGATCTGGAACCACACGAGATCGAAGTAGGAGCGCAAGTTTGGCTATACCTGGACCGAGTTAAAGAGGGATATGCGAAGAAGCTAGCGCACATGTGGCATGGGCCATTCCGAGTTGCGGACGTATGTGGAGATCATGCTGTAAAATTGGAGATCGCTGGAACCCCATATCGGTTATTTCCGATTGTACATATATCGAAGCTAAAACAGGTAAAGACGTTCCCTGAACGCCCGAAGGATCAGCTTACGATAGAGGAATCAGATCGCTTGGATTTCGATGAAGCTCTGCTGCCAGAAGACAGTTGGGATGGCGATCTTGAAGAAGGGGAATACGAAGTAGAGGCAATATTGGACGTGCGATCTGGTAGAAAAACCCGTTATGGGCGAGTACACCGGCAGTTTCTGGTGAAGTGGAAGGGATATCCCGATCTAAGTTGGGTGGACGAGGCCGATCTAAGTTGTGGGGCGATCTTGCAAGAGTTTGAGCGGAACCGAGTGAGTCGAAACCGTTTCGACGTAATGCAGTCTCATGAAGGCAAGTCGGACGAACCTTAACAGTTCGAACAAGTATGCGGGAGGTAGCATATGCGGATGTAGGGGTTGAAAGATGTGCTAGACGGTAGCACATGCTGGTGGATGAGGTTTTTGTATGTGAGTATGGAGATAGTCAAGTGAATTACCTTCCTGAATGATGTGGAGCGATGAGGATCGAGATCGTGGAAGTTGCAAAGAATTGAAGTACCAAAAAGAAGATGATTGAATGACTTACACGATTATGAAAGACGATCGGGCTTGGATATCGATCTTGGACTAAGACGATGGAGCAGGTTTGAACTTGTCCTGCAGACGAGGGATCTGCGATCCGGGATGATCCCAATAGGCGTTACGGAACTGGTTGCGCCAAGGATCCTCTTGGTCTGCCATGTCCAACGCCCCTAGCAAGTCAGCTGGGTCGTTAGAGTGTCCTAACCCTGGATACCAAACTCGGTCTTCATGTGGGCGCGGATAGTGGAGGAAGAAGGGATCTAGCAAGATGTCGAGATCGCAGTGGCCAGCGATCATGCCGCTGAGTATCATCTTCAAGAAGTTCTTCCAACGCGCTCCAAAGCGAGAACGGCGTTGTTTTCGTTGGCGCCAGAATGTCTGCATGAACCGTTCAGATCGCCGTTGAGCCGGAGGAATCGGGAAAGCATGAGTGGATTCCCACAGAGCTTGTCGATGAGTGGACTCAAGCTCCAGGTACCGATGACTCATATCACGATACCACCCAGTCATGGTGAACGATATCGGGTTCACTGGGACTATGACATTATCCCAAGGGGCTGTAGCGTAAAGAGCCTCGATGTGTTGCCGCGAGATCAGCCCAGAAGCCCAAGTCCCCGTAGGCGGAGCTCGTCCATGATTGTAGAAGGGAAACAGAAAATTCCTGGGCTTGGAGTAGTGGTGAAACAACAGCTCAATGGTCATGGTCCTCACGCAAACCATCGCGATCCGCGAAACGGACCATGGAGCGATCTCGGAAGCTACCCGTCGGGAGGGCGCCAGATAGTTGGGAATCCACCGATCCCGTGGTTGCTGGAGTGGCGGAAGATTGTCGAAGTCAACGGAAGAGAAAACTCTGTTAGCCACTTGGCGTGCCGGAAGGGTGATGCTGTTTTCGCTATCGGACGAATGGCGATCCGAAAGCGCAGTGGACTCCGGAGGCGGACTAACAGAGCCAGTCTCGCTGTGTGTCTCCCCTGTCGGCGATACCTCCACGTCTTCTACGCCGCCATTATCTTGAATTTCGACTACGGGGACAGCCGCGACCGGAGTGGATGGGTACGAAAGATAACGAGGCTCCGGAACGTCTGGAGAAGGCGAACGCAACAGTGCTTGAGCCAACGCAGTAGCTGCGGGGGGAGAAGCGGGAACAACCCGAGCGGCCGGAGAGGGGTTCGGGGTCGAAGATCGGGCATCCGATCTAGGTTGACGACGAGCGGCCGATCTCGATTGGGATAATGCAGCACGAGTCAAGTCATCCGAGCTAGAATCCGACTCGGTCAGCTCCTCACTTCCCGATCCAGTCCCAGAAGCCGCGGACGAAAGCGGAGAACAAGAAGAATTGGGTGGAGGCTCGGGTGGGAGCCAATCCGGGAAGTTTGTTCAAAGGCATTGAAGGGTTCAACGACAATAGCCGGGAAGCCACACGGGCGGTGGAAGAATCACTGGATCGTGACCTTGGTTGAATACGCCGACGCTTGGCAGGCGGGCCGGACGATCTCGATCTGGACCTACGGGCAAGCGATCTCGATCCCGGGGGTAGTGGGAGCAGGGGGCGATCCGGCCGGAGTAGCACTCTTAGGCGTCGATCGAGCGGTCAACGCAGACGACCGGGATCCGAGTATAGCACTGTTCAGTGTGTCGAGGAGAGCACGGTGTTCAGCTATAGCCTGATCCCGATCATGCTCCACCACCTGCAACTGGTCGTGTACCTCGAGGTGTTCCGCAAGCTGACGACGTAGGTTGGCGTTCTCCGCCTGCGAAAGTGCCAACTGACCCTCTAGGGGAGTCAAACCATCCACTTGTTGTATGAGATCGCTGATCGAAGACAGTCCATCTGCGATCTCCTCCTGAGACTGGAGCCAATTGCTCCTTCAAGTGCAAAAATCTATGTGAAGGAAGGATTTGTCCATGGTCAGCTGATCACGCTGCTGTCGGAGAGAATTGAGTTCGGCTTGGAGCGGATGAAGCTGAGCCCTCAAAGCATCCACCTGTCGTTCCAAGTTCCCCTGAGCCTCGTCGTTGGCACATATCAAAGTGCGTAGCCGACGAATCTCCTCCGATTGATCTCGATATATCCGCAGAGCTCGATGGCAATCACTCAAAGAATGCACTGCGTCGACGTAGCGGCCCTGCATCCAGTCATATCGAAGCTGGACGAAGGAGACAAAAAGGAGCGGCTGATCTGTACAGCGAATCAAGCTCGTCTTGTAAGCGATCCCCCGGGCGACGGCATCTCGGTAGGACTGCTGAAGCGCATGAATGGTGTCGGCTTGGCTGCAGAAGGTATCCTCTCGATCCCACAAATACGAGATCGTGGCCATCGTGAGACGAACGTCGTCGGCAGAAACCCTGGGAACGAAGCCGGTGACGCCCACAGCTGGAGCAGACCTTTCACGAGATTCATTAGCGGCCGGGATGTCGGATCTGGACGCATCTGGGGCCGCCGGAGGAGTGGGAAGCGGGAATGGCTCGGAAGAACGATCTGATAATTTCCGCGTCGGTCGAGAGCGATCCGACCGATCTGGGATTACTGAGAGACTCATGTTGATCTGGGACGATAGGAGCATACCACCCGCGATCCGGCGATCTAGATGGCGAGTCTCGGGATGGAGACGAGGGTCTGGTCGGCTGTCGATCTGGCGATCCTGTGGGGATTGTGGGCGATCCGGTTGGGCCTAGATGGCGCGGAGACCCAGGCCGATCGGGGACCGCTGGGGTGTGTCCTCCGAGATCGGGCGATCCGGGTGGCGACAGGTCGCGATCCGGAGACAGAAACATGGTGGGTCCTTCTGAAGAGATCGGCGAGGTGGGTGGATGCGTCGGAGAGGCCATGAGACGGACTTGAGTGCTTGGAACGAAGTTGATGAGTGACTGTACTGAGGATCAATTGCTGTACAAAAGACTTCAGTACAGGGGGGGGTTGTGAGCAAAGTCACTACTCAAATTTTGTACGAGGATCGGTGGCCACACCTTTAAAGCGCCGCTTACTGGTGGAAAAGGAGGCCATGAGACTCGGCGATCCAATACGGAGGTGGAAGATGATCTTAACGGGATCGGCGAACCGATCCAACTGTCGTTAGACTAATGGGTATGGATCGACCTGGGACGGAGCGATCTGGAACGATTTACATGGAACAATCTGGGACAAGGATCTGGGACCGGGTGATGGGATATGACTCTGCGACGAAGGTGTAACATCTTGCAGAATGTTATGGGGCGATTTGGAACCAGACATCGGGATGAAGTCATACAGCTCATTGGAATGCCGGTCAAGAAGAAGTATACGTACATTGAAGCAGGCTAAGATCAGATCGCAGATCGACATGCTGTGGCAACAACGAGTTTGTTGGAGAATTGACACATCTGGGGACAAGGTGACTCCCCAAAGTGCATCTGGGACCAGGTGGTACGGGTCGGTGAATCGGCAAAGAAGGTGCAACACCATACGGATCCGGTGATACTCTCACTGATCCTAAATTGGGAGTACTGATTTTGGTTAATTATACACCGATCTGGAAGTTTTGCATACTCAGGGGGAGTCAAGGAAACCGATGTCGAGACGTATGAATGAAGTTTTCGATTGGATAACACTGGAGGCATGATATTGAAGCACGTATGAGGAGATGAAAAAGTGTTAATTGCCGATTTAGACCGGATCGACCTCCAACATCTCGATATTGGATGACAGATCGGTCATGTTCCACACTGATCATGAATATATGGTTGATGAAGATACTGGATCATGTGGAATATACTTGATAGAGGTCACTAAGTGATGTCAAGAAGTTTCATGCCGAAAGAGCCAGTGGAAGCTGTCCGAATTGACGTCGCAAAGTGAATTTGGACACCTTCGGCATTTTGGGTCATATATTGGGTACTTGGGTGCCAAGAATGGGTATTTGGTACCATATAGGGAGATTTTGGTCCATTTGGTGCTCTAGGTACGATATCGGGGATATTGGCGCTATCGTTGGAGTACAGGGCACGAAATTTCGACACGTGGCAAGGGGGCGAACCAGATTCAAGGCGATATCGGTTTGAAGAGTGACCTATAGTTAAGAATAGGCTTAAGGGTAAGCTGGATAGTAATTTGCTGGGTTAATAAACAGACTTGAACTCTACTTCCTTCTCTCACGACGCACGTTATCCTCCCCTCTTCTCCAGGCAGGAATTGTTTGGCTTCCCCCGGTAGGTTAAGGCACGCGTGTTACAGGGACACAGAAGACCGATCTTGACTGTTGGCCAAGATCGAGAAGAGCGATCCTGGATATCTGGCCCGGATCGATCAAGTACTCACACTCAACTCAACTGCCAGGTAGCAGCACACAACGGAAAAGGAAAAGGATTTTGGACACAGGATCGCGAGACGGCTCAAGTGGTCAGAAGATCCGGACAAGGCGTTCAAGACAAGACCGAGCAGGATCGAAGCGATCCCCTGGACAGATCGGCACGTTTCATTTTGGCGAAACAAGACACCGATCTACCCAAATTGCGCACTTCCGGCAAGATCGGCCGATCCCAAGACCAGATCGGACTGATCCCCCCAAGGCAAGATCGACGTGCAGACTTTTATTTTCCGGTTGAGTGGGGGAAGTATTTCCTCATTAGCAAAGACCCTGATCCTCGAAGACAAAAATCACAATCGGTGCATCCAAGATCGATCGGGGTGTGGCGGAACCCCGGTTCGTGGGGGTGTGAAGATTTTCGCACCTTAAGCGAACCTTCAACTCCAAACCTCTCAGCGAGATCGATATCTCCTTGCCTGCCGTTACGAATGAGCTCCGGCCAGCCGGCCCAACCGACGGTACGTACACAAAGGTGGAGCACAAGGTCGCAGGCGCGCCAACAAAGGCACGCGATGCCACGGAGTACCTCTCCGTGGAATGGGGGGCAAGTCTGGGGCGGGGGGCGGAGACGCAAACGATCCCCAACCTGACCCATTCCGATCCAATGAACAACACAGCGAGCTGAAAAAAGCACATCAGCCGACAAGCTTTCGCCCTCCTGACGCCTGGGTCAAGTCAATCAATCCAACCAAACCCAAAACCAGTCTGTTCCCGAGCCCAAATTCCAGTGTAAGAAAATAATGAAATTATACGCCTCATTTGTGCGCTCTGTCACGCCTCGTGCTCTTCGTCCCCCGCCACGCCCGTGGCGCTCTTGTTCATTTGTTTTCGAGCTGGAATCGATCCTGACAATACGCGACGAGGAGCTCCGCACACTCTTTCGCATCGGACCTTCCTCCTCGCGTACGTTTTCGCTGGGAACGAGGAATCCGGTTTACTCGAACGACGTCGAGGCAATAACGACCTCGTGCGGCTCTTTTACCGCTTCTGGCTGCCGAAACATCTCTCTTCTGCTGCCGATGCCAAGGCGGTGGTCGTCGTGCTCCACGGCGTGAACTCGCACAGTGCGCGCAACAACAAGTTCATGGTCGAGGTCCTGCAGCACGGCTTCCTTTGTCGCAGGTATCGACCACGAGGGCATGGGACGCAGTGATGGCCGACACGGATACTTCTCCAGTGTCCACATCGCTCGCGGACGACGCGATTGCGTTCGTGGCGCTCGTGAAGGACAAATATCCGGGCAAGAAAGTGTTTCTGCTTGGCGCGTACGTGGCTGTAGAGCAGTGAGCCGAGCTGCTGGCAAAGGCTGTAGTACCCTCTAGAAGCTTTGCCAGCAGCTCGGTTGTGTGTGCAGAGAGAGAGAGAGAGAGAGAGTGCTGCTGTTGTACACGTGCTGATGGATGCTGGTTTTTGTGTGCTGGTGGCTGTAGATCGCTTGGCGGCCTGGTCGTCCTGCATGCACTTAGTAAAGGCGGTCCGAAGCTCGTGGATGGTGCGGTCATTTTGTGTCCAGCTACCGAGATCCATAAGGCCTCGCGGCCGTCTTTTGTCATGGAAACTATTGGCAGGATGCTGCATGTTTATATGCCAAAGTTGCCGCTTGTGACGGCCAACAGCGGCCATAACAACTCGCCGGAAGTCGCGGCACTTGCAACTGCAGATAAGCATGCGGATCCTCTGTACTATCCCGGCAAGATGCGCATTGGTACGGGACTAGCCCTTCTTGAAGGTATTAAGAGCATTCAAGACAAGCTCGAGTTGATTGAGACACCGTATCTGCTGCAGCACGGCATGGAAGACAGGGCTTGCAGTGTCACGGGTTCAGCGGCACTTCACTTAAAGACGCGCAGTGCCGACAAGACATTCAAGACGTACGAAGGAGCGCACCATGATCTAGCCAGCGAGCCACCCTCGCATCCGTGATGCAGTGGTGCGCGACTTTGTGGCTTGGTTAGAAGACCGTGCCAAGCCGTAGTCGATGCGAGAGCATCTCAAGCGTCAGTTGGTGATTCTCAGACGCTCACGACCTGATGATACAGGGAAAGAGATGCTCGTGAGGGGTCGTCTCTACTTCATTCAATTTGATCGGCCGGCAAGTCCCGTACAAATTGGAGGAGTTCGAGGACGCCGAATGGTCGACATCAATACAGTCCCAAGTGGTGAGAGCGTTGTTCCTGTCAAACCTTCACAGCGTTTCGTTAGCATGCTTCAAAGACCAGTAGTAAGCAACTCAAACATCCATTACGCTCTGTCATTCACATCTCTGCAGACACGTCCCAAGCAAGATCACCAAGAAGCACAGCAACTGGAGATAGACAGCGAAGCGAGAGCAATCAAGAACCCAAATCGGCGCTCTCACTTGCCGTCAATCTTGCCGTCCATGGCATCGACCAGCACAACCCGCTTCGCCATGTACGTGTGCAGGAAACTTTGCGTCCGTACGCATAATACCGACACACTGTACCAGATCATACAGCCAACCTGCAGAACAAGCAGCACAATCACTGTGAACCAGTGCGAGGGCCAGACAAAGGCCACGACGATCGTGAGTGCCAAAGCACCCATCCAAGCCCGGCCTGCTTTGCTTCGCTTGCGCCGAGAGCATGCGCTTCCGAAGATGTCCCGGGTCCCATGATAAAACGAGGCTGGAAAAGTAGCCAGATTGCTCAGCGAGTAGAAGAACGCGGAGAAGCGCACATGGTGCGCGCTCGTACACAGCATGACTGTCGCTGCAAAGGCAAAGAGTCCACTGAGCGCATAGCAGCCAATAGCCCCTAGCAGACGCTGGTTCAGCGTCATGTGGTCGAGTCGTCCCCAATGTCGTCCAGCAGACCGTCCTCCTCGTCGCTCGAGTCCTTTCGACGTCCCCGTTTGACCTTCTTCTCCGAGCCCTTGACCTCAATGTGAACAGCCTCCTTGGTCGAGTGCAAGAGGCTACTGCCACTGCTCTCTGTACGTCCCTGGTCTCCCCGCACTGCCTTGTTCACGCTGTCTCGCGTCTCTTTCATCGCCTTGTTCACGCTGTCTTTCGTCTGTTTACCGGTCTTTTCAATGCTCTTCTGCGCCTTCTTGCTCGTCTTCTCCAGCTCCTTCTGCATCTTCTCCATCTCCTTCTGCGTCTTCTTGGAAAGGTCCTCGAGTTTCTCGCTCGCCTTCTTGCTCTGTTCCTTCAATTGGTCCATCATCATCACTGCCCAGTTCCGCTCGCTCTCTCCGCTCCAGTTGTTGACCGTGTGAAAAGCAGGATGATGGATGGATACTCGGATGTTCTGATTCGCCTGAGAAATGACGTTAGGTGGGTTTTGGGGCCAACTCAACAGACTAGTTTGTGTGGCACAAGTCGAGGCACAACTAGCATCGGTGGCATAGATGCCTGTGTAACCGGACGCGTACTTAGCCTGTTTGGAGTCAGGGTACGTTTCTAATTGTCGGTGCTAGAGTGGCATCGCTGCGAATGAAATCGCCTGGAGAGACAGCTGTAGAATGACTGCGACACTTGACGAGAAGTCGGCAAACTGAATAGTGCGCACATAAACCAGTTCCTATGAATTCTACATTTTTGTACTGAATTTGGACTCAGACGAGTTGTCCTCACGTTGCAGTCAGCTTCAATACGTGCTCCAACTTGCGTCAGCTCAATGTCTACCCGCATCAAGACCACGCACGAGTTAAGATACAGTGACATTCGTCATGGTATAAACTTCCGTAAAGAGTATCTACTAGCGAGCTAGCAAGTTAGGTACTGACGTACTTGGCTGCTTTGGACCAGCCGCTCCGGAGGACGGCACGACCATAGGGGACGAGCGAGGCGCCATACCAGAGCATCGCAGCATACTGAACAAGCACGAGCAGCAGCACTAGCGGGCCTGCCTTTGGAAAGCCAAAGGCAATGACAAGCGTCGCAACCATAGAGCTCATCCAGACACAGCAGGCCAGACGCCGAACGGGCATGCACATGACTCGGAGCTGCCTCATTGGCCCCACCAAGAAGAGCGAGCTGCCAATGCTGCAGACAGCTCCGAGCGTGTAGAAAAATGCAAACTGTTTCACGTGCTTCGGTCCGCCCCACATCATCAACGTGGACAACAAGCCGCACAACGTGCCAAAGCCGTAGCAGCCGAGCGCTCCGTAGAGTCGCTGGCGCCTAGTAAGGCCGCACTCGTGGCCCAAGTCACCCAGCAACAACCCCTCTTTCTCTTGACCAGAGGTGGTGGCCTCACATGTCTCCTCCTCCTCCTCCTCCTTCTTCCAAGTCGATGCTCCCCCGCTCTCGCTGGTCGTCGTCGACGCAGCTGCAGACGACGCAGTCGAGAGCTTCCCAGCGGCGGCAACTTGGTGTGCAGCACGCCAACTTTCGCCTGCAACGCTGCAGCGCCTTTCTGCCGTGCGGAATGGAACGAACCGGCAAGCGACAAGTGCTGGGCCACGTCGTGGAGCGACTCGGCCGTGTGGCGCACGAGAGTCGTCGCTTGCGTCGACTTCGCCTTGACCTGCTCGAGCATGATGATGTTCTGTGCTTTAGTTTGGGGGTTTTGCACGGCATCACCTTCTTTTGACACAAAACGAGGTGCTTCACCAAGTGCCATCACCCGCTTGGCTTTTCAACGAATCACACGTCGATTTACTCTGTCAAGTTCAATTACCTCCCCGCTAATTGCTACTACTACTACGACTGCGACTGCGAATACTACTACTATTTTCCACCGTCGTGTATCATTATTAGAACTACTACTAGTACTATTATTGTTGTCGTGATTATTATCTCGCCATGTCGGACTCGGAAGAGTACGAGTACGAGTATGACAGCGACGAGGAGCTCGATCACGACGAGCAGACGTCGACAGGAGCTGCTAAAGACGAGGAGAACGAAGGCGCTGGAGAGCAGCAGCGCCGTGTCGCTCGGGATGCGCAGATCGCGCTCGAGAACACGTTCTACGAGGCCGAAGATTTCTACCATCGCGGCGACTGGACACAGGCGTTTACGTATTTCGAGCGCGTGATTGCAATGGAGAGGGAGACGAGGCAGCAGAAGGAGTGCAAGTGGAGCTTCCCGGCGCTGGAGCAATTGGTGAAGATCTGCGTCCGTCGGTGTGAGTGGGACGAGATGCTGCGGCACTACGAGCAGATGCTGGAACACTTGGCGTTTGTAACGAGGAACGAGAGCACCGGAGTCGATCTCGTCTATCTTGGATGTTGTATCGGACGCATTAGGCAAAGAACGGAAAGGAGGGGCCAAGTATACGTCGAGAATGTACGAGTTGACGCTGGAGAAGCTCAAGGACGTGAATAACGACCGACTGTGGTTCAGCATGAACACCAAGCTGGGGAAACTGTACTTGGACATGCACAACTTTGACCAGTTGCAAAAGCTGTTGCAGCAGCTCTATGCATACTGCCAGACGTCGGATGGAGAGCAGGATAATGCGAAAGCGACGTCGCTGTTAGAAGTCTACGCTCTGGAAATTCAGGTATGGAAGCTAGCGACGCATGTTTGCACGAAATGCTAACAGCGGTCAGTGTACGTGTAGCTATGTGTCGCTACCAAGAACAGCATCAGAATGCGCGCCGTCTACCCAAAGACACTGGATCTGGACGCAGCTGTGGCTGATCCGCGAGTCATAGGGTGCGTGTTAAGCTTGTTGCTATGTCCTCGCAGTAGATGATTGCTGGATGGCGTTGATGTATGTTGCACAGCTTTATCCGTGAGGAGGGTGGTAAAATGTACTTGGAAGAGAAGGAATGGATGCTGGCGTATAACGAGTTTTTCGAGGGCTTCCGCAACTACCAAGAAGCTGGAAACTCACGAGCAACGCAGTGTCTGAAGTATGTTGTCCTGGCCAATATGTTGACCAGCTCGAATATCAATCCTTTTGATTCGCGAGAAGCAAAGGTGTATCAAGATGTGGAAGAGGTCGGCGCGATGCTGCTGCTGCGGAGTGCCTATGAAGCCAACGACATTGTGCAGTTTGAGAAGGTGTTGAAGAACCCAAGCTACAAACTGCTGAGTGATCCGATAATGAACCAGTGCTTGAACCCGTTGCTGCGCAATATACGATGTCAAGCTATGAAGACCATTGTACGTCCATACCGAACGATCCGCGTTGAGAGCCTCTCAAAGCGGATGAACATTACGACGGAGGATGTCGAAGATATTGCTATTGCCCTCATTCAAAATTGCGAGCTAGACGCCAAGATTGACCAGAGCAGGGGCTTCTTGTCTTGCAGACACGACAAAAGTGCGTCAAATTCGCTTGCACTCTTTAGTTGTGGCTGCTTGATTTCTGACATTTCTTTCTGTTTCTGGTTTATAGAGCCCGAGGTGCTCACAAGACGTACGATGCGTTGGATCGATGGACTCGAGCTCTTGCCTCGACACATGCATCGGTTGCCGCGCGGGTACTTGCACCACCGTGACATCAGAAGATGTAATCTTGTGCAATTTAACTCGAGCAATCGAGATGGTGTACTATTGGGGTCAATCGCGTCTTCTCATTTCATCTGTCTTACTAGAATTGCCCGTCCGGCAGCCGGTCAGCATCGAGGCTTCGTCATCATGCAACCTGACATTGGTTGTTGTGTTCAGTGATATAGCTTGTCACTGCTTCGTCGGATGCTGCAGATGGCACTACCTGGTACATAGCACATTTAGCCAAGCCGATGAGAGAAACCGAATCGGACACTACTATTGTCTCGCAATGACGTGCGTCAGTTCGGCTGTCCGAGAGAAGCGCCGATGGAACCACATTGAACGCCGCACCAAGCAGCGCCTGCGTCGACAGTACACTGTAGTTTGTGAGGATACTGATGTTATCAGCGCCAACAAGAAGTGTCAAAGCCTCTATCAGCTCCTGACGCTGAATCGCAGCACCGGTCGGTACGTCCTCGACCTTGTCATCGCTGCTCGTCGTTCCTAGGAGAACATCCATATCCACAAGCGCAAACAGGACAGGTACCGACAGCGGTGTAGCAGCGAAGCGCACAACCGAGTCGGCTCATGACATGACGACTCTGGACAAGCTTCAACTCGCAGTCCTTGCCGCCAAGATCAAGGGTGATACCAAGCACGTCTTGAACCGTGGAAATTACATGTTCCAATGCCCGCTTAAAGTCGTCCGGAAAGCGATAGAGCCACGCTAGCAACAGAGCAGCAAACAAGTCGCCCGTGCCAGTATAGTAACTGTCAATCCACGGAAAGCGCACTTCGTACTGCTCGCAATAGAGTGCAGTGTCCATGGCCCCGCTAGGGACGGATCTTGCTGCCAATGACCACAAACTCTTTCGGCAAACTCTCGGCGGCCTCTGCTACCTCCTGAAAACTGCTGATCACCACGACTTTTGGTCCCATAATGTGCAGCTTTTTACACGCTTGCATGGCATCAGGTACCGTCCGAAGCTCCATGTCTGCTAACACCTCGCTCTCATACTGATTTGGAGTCAAAACGTCGCAGATCGGCAAAACCTTCGACCGGTACAAGTCCACTTCCAAACATCATACATATTCGAAAACATGAGATTGGTGCGAACATTTCTACACATCATTGACCGGAACGTACCCATTTCTATAGGGACATACAGCCTGCCCCGATCGCCCAGTACGGGGTCACAGACGTATACAAGACGCTCGGCATGTGTCTGAGCAGCTCGGAGACGCTCGTATACACGCACAATTGCAAGCAACAGAGACACGGAGCCCACATAGCCAGTAAGCAAGTGCGTATACGCATCTTGCAGCAGACTCATTAGCCGCCATGCCGTCCAGAAGGTCGTGTAGCTCTTCGCCTGTGAGACGGCGACCCGCGACCTGCTTGTGAGCCAGCATGGTTGGAAAACTGCACGCTATTGATAGGGTCAACATCCATGCCCAGGAGCTGCAGCGGAAGCACGGCACTCTTGTTACCAACGTATCCTTGGACGACGTGCGACTGGATACTCAACACGCGGCCGCCTCTCTCCGTCTGCTCTGCCATGGGTGGATGTATGCAGTCTCGGTACTACTGAAGACGCTTCGAGCGGATGTTGTGTGTGACACACAAGTACGTATACAAAGTCTCGACACAAGGGTGGAACAAGGCACAACGTCGAGGCTGTGGGAATCATTGGATATAGAAATCCCCATGTTTCGTGTGAAGTAGTTGTTGTCGTTGTTGACACACTCACGCAGGCATAGCCAATGAATAGAAAAATGCAGGGGTTACATCCACAGCCTGTCGTGCTTTTTATCACGGCTCGATGACAGGATAAAGAGAAAAGCGCTGGCATTCTTGCTCTCTTACAGACTCGTCAATAGTGACGGCACATTGCGGTAGAAATGTAGAGGGACGGCAGATGCCGGTCGAAACGCGAAAGGGGGAAGGTCCCATCTCGTAAAGACTTCCTTCATACAGACGACGGCGCTTTTGTGACACTGCGTAGGACAGGGAATATGGAGGAAGGGGCTCGCGCATAGTGGGGTCCTACCATATGCCGCCAACAATTCAGCAAATGGAGAGTGGATTACTACTTGCCTGTACGAACGCAACCTCTGCTTGTTGCTTCCGGTCCAAGACAGCCTCCTCAATCCGGTTTGGGGGTTACCTAGTACAGGTAGGATGTAGCCCTTGTTTCTGGTGAAGCTGCCAGCTGTTGCTAGTTCCTGAGTGACGGTACCTACACTTTGGACATGCTACCGCCTTCCTTGTCGATACCTTCACCAGGACGTCCCACTGAGCTCGCACTAAAGAGTGTAACTTCCAGCACTACGTTCCAACGAGCAGCAGCTAGCAAGAAAGCTGGTGACCTGGCCTACCTGTGTGGCGTCCTTTGCGCTAAGGACCTGAAGTTTACTTGGCTGCACATTGGCTAACAAGTGTCGTGACGAACGTGTACGCAATGGGTCGTCAATTAGGACCGCAAAGCAGGCGGCAGTAAACTTGACGTTGACATGAGTTCTTTCCAGTGCGCACCGAGGTCGTGCGTTCCTCTCTCCCTTGCTGGCAGTACATGGAGGTACCTACAGGCGTCCGCGTCATCTGCTGCGACACGTGCTACGTTTGGGCTTCAGCTGTCGCGACTGCTGTCCGGTTGTCTGTTAGCAGATGGAGACTGGGCCTTTCAGCAGTCAGAAACGCGAGCCACCTCTTCTCTGAGTGCAAAGGAGCCGGACTCATCTCAAAAGACGTGGAAAGAAACCTCGCGCACGTCGTGGATAAGTAGAACCATCGGGTTGGAAAATACGCACAGCTGGTTCTACAGCACTCGACGCCCACGGTCATGAACGACGGACTGTTTGTTGTGGAGCATTACGGCATTGGCCTTCTCACCGCTCGCAAGTCGGACCTTCATTTCTCAACTTGGTCTAGAAGCAGAGAGAGAGAGAGAGAGACTGACGAAGCTTGGAAAGAGGGGATACAGAGTATGGGCAGAGCTCGTGGTTTGCTGCTACTTTCTGCAGCTGCGACGTTTGCCATTCAGCAAGCAGGTACGATCAACAATACACTTGCTCGCCCACTCACACCCATCCACCCGTCTCTTCACTTGTGGCAACGTGTCATCCACCAACCTCTTTTTGTGTTGTAGTTGATAGCTGGACAGACCGGACGGCATCGAACTTGACGCTCCTACCTGCTGCAAACTTGCTCATCTTGACACGAAACAACTACCCGACGCCCACGACCTCGTCCGAGACTGTCACTGATGATACAATACCCAGCAGGATGCCGGATACAAATCCGCCAGTTGTCGCCTACACTCCAGCTACGACCGAAGCGAACCCACCACTTGTCGCCGACACGCCAGCTACGACCGCTCGTTTGATCCCCGTGCCTCGGACTTTGACGCAGCAATGGCGTCTGAAATCGAGGAAGAGACGGACGAAAGTTATACCTCAGTGCTGTGGCAACTTTTAGTCCGAGATCGCCACCTGGCCACAGACCAAACTCTGCCCCGGTGACTCACCCGAAGGTTACGGACGCCGCCGCCGCCAGCGTCTTCTCCCACGAAGTCATCCATAGCTCCCTGTGGACACGCTCCAACAATCGCAATGGAGCGGTGGAAACGCAAGCGACCACTCAGCTGGCATGGCTACTTTTGCCAGTCGTTTTCGGGTCCGTCGCTTGTGTCGGAAAGTTCTGGCGGCAGCAGTCATGATCAAGAAAGAGTAGCATTGAGAAGGGCGAGGAGACATGTCGACCCGACCCCGATTGCGAATATAGCGGCGCAGACCTCACGCCTGATAATCCCCGCGTGGTGCGCTCGGTATAAGCGCAAGTAGGATCGCCACCATTGCTCGAAGGCAGCTAGTAGTGGCAGCACCAGCTGCTACTGGTGCCAAAGACTGGCGGCATCGACTGCACCTGCTGACTATGCGCGAACAAACTCGTCCGTCCTCTGTCCACGTCCCTCCATTCGGGAGTACCCGGTGCAAAGGTGCGCGTGAGTTCCTCCGGAATCAGGGACTCTTCGCAAATAGGGAGACGAATATGGAGTTCAGCTACAAACGCACCCTTCGTGGAGAAGCAAATGACGCGACGCTTGCTTCCGATCGCGCTCGGGTCACTTCATCTCGCTCGACTCTTCAATTGCAGCAGTAAATAACGCGGAGCCAGTACCTCGGTGCACTAAGTCCGCTTTGTCCATCTTTTTTTTCTTCAAGCTTGCTTCTTGATCTCGAGCGAGTGCACGCGTGGATAGTCCTGTCGAATCAACCCCCTGGGAACAGATCTTCAAACGATCCACGGCAACAGACGCACACGAAAGCAAAATGCAACCGTGGGAGGAAAACATGCTGATTCCAATCGGCAATCCTCCCGCCTTGCCTAACGCTCCACTCTTCCTCTTCCCTCTACTTGCTACAACGTCGTCATGCCTTCGTAGTCCATTAAGACGGGCCACCTCTCGGCACGATGTTGCGATACATTTTGTAAAATCCTCATCGGTGTCTGAGTCAGAGTTATCGTGAGCCCCTTTTGGGAGCCGTCACTCGGTTGTCGGGGTCCAGCACCAGCATGAGCTGCAGCAGCTCGAGCAGACCACTCTGAGCGTCCTCGCGAGAAATCATCTCTGCCAGCGATCGCATCCTCCGCACGTGATCGACGCTTTCGTCACTCGACGAACCAGCAGGCCAATTGAGCCGCCCACGACGGAAAAACTTGGACGAGGTCGAGTGTTTCGATGCCTTGGCTGCCATTTTCACGGGAAGCGGTCCGATGCAGCGCTCCATGAGAGCAAGGTGTTCCATGTTCTCGTGCGTTGCAAACAGCAGTTCACCCAGGTAGAGCTCTGCAATGATACAACCGGCGGACCAAATGTCCGACGGATAACTCCATCCGAGCCCGAGAATCACCTCGGGCGAACGGTATTGACGCGTGTTGATAATGGAGCTCTTTGACTCGTCTTCGTACGTCGCACCACCAAAATCAATAAGCTTTA